GTTATTTATGTATTTATATTTTAATTCTTTTTCCTTTATTGATTTTAGAGAGAGAGGAAGTGAGAGGGAGAGACAAACATCAATGAGAGAGAACATCGATTGGCCGCTTCCTGCATGCTTCCCACTGGGGATCAGGGCCACAGCCTGGGCTTGTGCCCTGACCGGGAATCGAACCGGCGACCTCTTGGTGCAGGGTCGACGCTCAGCCACTGAGCCACACCAGTCGGACGTTATTTTATTTTTTAAGGGGGTTTACTAACCATCATATGTTATAGATGGGGAGATGCAAAATGATGTCATAAAGAAGCCACCTTACAAAATGTTATTGCTCACAAAATTCCTGTGAAACAATCCCTTATTATCACCCATTGGACTTTTATAGCTTTGTAAACCAAGGCCAGTGAGATTAAATGACTTGTTTGGGACTTGGTAATGAATAGATTGGAGAGTTCAAAGAGCATTAACTGTTTCCTGTTTCCTGTTTGTGGACCCATTCATTAACCCAGCAGAATCTCTCTGTCTTCTTATTTTTCACAGGAGTTTACAAGAAGGGTGTTTGTCTTTGTTCCCATTGCATTTTATAGAAACCTCTAAAAATCGCTTTTTTATTGGAATTACTTGTTCGAATTTCTCCATCAGTGGTCAACATTGTATTCTGTTTATCTTTGTATCCTAAGGGCCCAAGCACTCAAGAAATACTATATTGAATGAATGAATGAATGAATGAATGAGGAATGGAAAATCTGAAATTTGCTAATGCCTGAACATAGCTAGGTCTCCCTTTAGTTGAATTTGTCTCCAGTAGTGACTTCTCTTTTTTTTTTTAATCCTCACCCGAGGACATTTTTCCATTTTTTGTTCAGACAGGGTAGGAGGGAGAGAGAGAGCGCAAAACATCAACGTGAAAGGGACACATCGAGTGGCTGCCACTCGCACAACCAACCAGGGCCGGGGACAAACTGCAACCGAGGTACATGCCCTTAGCGGGAACCAAACCCCGGTCTCTCCGGACTGCAGATCGACGCTTTAACCGCCGAGTCAAACTGGCCAGGGCGTGACTTCTCATTTTGACTTAGATTGACCACATGTTAGGAATTATGTGCCCGTGTTCTGAGAGTAAAGAGAATGACAGTCACTTGCATTTGCCATGGGAATCTATTTCTTGTTTTGGTGTTGAAATAATTTTCTTTAGTAAACTTGATATCTGCCCCTAAAACATAGATTTGAAAGTCGTGGCTTATAATTAATGTAGACGCACACATTAGGATTCTCTGGAACACACAAGAAGTAAAACCTGGATTTATAAAGTCATGTTTAAATGCTCAGAAAAAATTTTGACTGTAGGATGTTTAAGTGGGGAAGTGTTTGAGCAGTTTTTAGGACTTCATGTGACTTCCTGTCTCTGTCGAAGATACTTTGAATGACGACTGACGATCTTTTCCGGGGAAAAGGAGAGCAACTTGTCTGTTATATGAGTTAAGAATTTCGGGTTTTGGGGGGCGGGGGAAAGTGGAAGGAAACTCTTCATTTTAGGAAGTAAACAAGCTTAGTGGCGTGGTGTTTTTCCCCTGGGTAAATGTGTGTTATCTCACCTGCATTTAGAGGAATAGCTGCTAGTCTATTTTGTGGTGATTTTTTTATAAAGCTTCTGATCTAAACGAGGCCTGTGGTTTGCTTGGAGATTTTACTGACCACAGCCTGTTAGATGCCTCTTGGAAAAACAATCGTCATGGCAGTAACTTAGACTCACCCCCAAAGAATTCAGCAGATTATCTGAGGAGATTGCATCATCTTTAACTAATGTGCTGCGTTCTGCTCATAGGATGTTGGTTGGACTTGCTCTGAATGCCATGGGGTAGGGGAGGACACCCCCATTTTATCTAGGTGACCATTTGTAGAGTCCACAAATAGCGTAGGGTTAGGAGGTCAGACTGCAGTGTCGGCGGCGTGGGCACACTAGCTGCCCACATTCGTGGGACTCCTGCGCGGTCAGACACGCTGAGCAAGCGCGTGGGGTGGTTTTAGCTAATTCTCTCAGCAGTCTGCAGCGATCCCCGCTGCGCTTGTGAGGGGACGGATTTGGAAGTTAAGCAGCCTGACTAGGTAACAGACAGCACCCGAGTCTGCCCAGCTTTCGAGCTCACGCAAGTGGATTTCTCCCTTCGCTCGCTTCTGAGACGTCGGGGTGACCTCAGCCCCGCAGGGTCTTTTTTCGTTAGCTGGTTTGCCTGGAAAAGTGGCCTTTTCTGTGCAGGTCCCGAGGAGAGGGTCACCTTTCATTTATTCAGCACGTCTTTGTAAAGTGCCTGCTCTGCCCTGCTGGGCACTGGGGGTCCTGCGTGGAGTTTCTAGTGACACCGGCAGGACACCAGCGTGTGCCCTGCACCCTCCACAGGCCCTCCCTGCCTAGGGTGCTCAGCCTCGACTCCTGTGCTCCTGAAATCAGCTTCACAAAAAGTTTCTCTTCCAGAGAAAAAATATGTCGCTGTGAGGCGTTCCCATGGTCTGTCTTCAACAAAGGGTTAAACAGAGCTGGGGGAGGGGTAGAGGTGTCATTCCAAACTCACAAAAACTGCATTCAGAGGAAGAGTAGAAACAAACGCTTTTAGCATTAAGAAGCAAGCCGGAAAAAAAAAATACACTTAGTGTTGGTCTTAAGAAATTAGGAAGGAAAGAAGAATAAACCAAAAGGAAGTAGGGAAAAGGAGGTAATAAGATGTGAAGATAATTAAACAAAATAAACAATATTAAAAAACAAAAGGGAAAAAACTTAAAAGCTGGTTCCTTGTAAAGATCAGTAAAACAAATTACCTTCCCAAGCTAATCTGCATTGAACACAATCTCACTGGACTTTTAAAAAAAGAATTAGCCAACATGATCTTAAATTTATTAAGCAGCTAGACCCACTTAAGAGGAATGCTGCTCACAAAATTAACGTCTGTCATAGGGGCTGAGTTAGTGAACCGGAGCGCACCCGCCCAGCGGAGTGGGGTGCGGTTGCGAACGGACAGGACCCTCTCCATGTTGTAGATGGAGCACAGCGAGGTGCAGAGTCGTTTACGCAGTACCCTGGCTTTGTGTAAACATGAAACGGAGGAAAAGCATCAGCTAACGTTGGCTCCTGCAGCATGAAGAATGCTGGGAGGAAGCTGTACGTCACTACTGTAATGGTCTGTGATGGAGGGGAAGGGCAGGGAGCGGACAAGAGCTGAGGGAGGGTGGGAGGGAGAGAGAAAGATAGAAACATCCATGACAGAACATCAATTGGCCGCCTTCTGCATGCCCCCCGGTGGGGATCAGGCCAACAACCTGGGCATGTGCCCTGAGCGGGAATCGAACCGGCGACACTGGCTGGGCCATATTTGTGTTTAAAATTTTGGAACCATTAGAATGTATTGGCTGTTGAAGAAGTAGTTGACATTCATGATGTACAAAGAGGTTTTTGTTTATTTTTAATATATTTTTTGATTGAAATTTTTTTTTTAGAGAGAGAGGAAGGGAGAGAAATAGAAATATCGATGTGAGAGAGAAACATCGATTGGCTGCCTCCTGCTCACCCCCCCACTGAGGATCAAGCCCGAAACCCGGGCTTGTGCCCTGACTGGGACTCCAACTGGAACCTTTCAGTCCATGGGACGAAGGTCAGTCCAGTGAGCACACCGGCTGGGCTGTAAAGGGGTTTTTACATCGTGGGAAAGCGGGGAGCATCCCGAAGGAAGAATGAGGCAGGTGTGTCTGGCGTCCTGGCCACGCTGTGGACGGTGGAACAGCGTGAGCAGTGACCGTCTCTGGGTGTTGAGAGCACAGGTGTTACAGTTTGGGGGGCTTGTAATGTTCTTAATTTCCTGCCATGATCCACCTCTTTTAAATTGGTGGAATAAAAAAAAAAAAAAAGAAGCTCCGAAAAAGAAAATGGCAGAATACTCTACGAAGAAGAGTATTGAGGGAACCCAGGCCGGCAGGTGGATGGAGGCCGCAGAGGGGCAGGAACGGGACGCCGGGGCGGCGGCCCAGGCAGTGGACCCATGCGCGCACACGAGAGAGAATGTGGTCGAGTGAATACTTGAAATAGACGGTGGCACAGGAGGAAGAAGTAGATGCCGGTGGGATGATTTTGGAAACAGGGTTCAGATATTGCCTCAAATAATGGCTGGGACAAAAAGTCAGACATTTAAAAAATCAGCTTTGAACACTGTGTGTAAAATAACACGTGAAGAATAGCAACTGGAGTCGTGAAGAAAGGGAGAACCTCACAGTGGAGGATATCAGTGTTTCGAGTGATTTACATCTTCATGCAACATGTAGTCAGAGAGGCCACAGACAAATGTGTGTGGATGTGTGAATATTTGTCGTTTTGTTGTTGTTAGTCCTCACCCGAGGATATTTTTCCATTGATTTTTAGACAGAAGGATAGAGAGAGAGAGACAGCGATTGGTTGCCTCTCACAGGGCCCCAAGCGGGGCCCGGGGTCGAATCTGCAACCCAGGTATGACATGCCCTTGACTGGAATCGAGCCCACGACCCTTCGGCCCGCAGGTCGACACTCTAACCGCTGAGCCAAACCGGCCAGGGCTGTGTGTGTGGTTGATTTCCGAGGATAAAGGTGTAAAGGAAGTTTGAGAAAACAAACAGCAGTTGTTATAGTGGATTTGGGATGAATTTTGATTTCCTGTAATGATGTAGAGGTTTCATTTTTTTGCAGCAAATATTTACTTTGAAGCAGGGAAATCACTCCGGATTAATGAAGTGTTTTTCTAACGAAGGGAATAATTTGGTGGGCAACCTTAATAACTGCTTATCACATAGGCTGTTTCACTACCGGGGTCTGTCAGCTATCGACTCCTCTGGTTATGTGTCACCCAGGTCAGCTTTGCCACCCTTTGGAGATGACCCTCTAAGGAGTGGCAGGGAAGGGAAAGAGAAGCCCGCCAGTAGAAGTGATGGTGCGCAGTGCTCCGGGATTATGTTCATGTCTTCATTTTCACACTCTCTTCTTCTAGGTTGGTGGCACTAAGGCTGGTGTAGTCCGGTTCCTCGGGGAGACGGACTTTGCCAAGGGGGAGTGGTGTGGTGTGGAGTTAGATGAGCCTCTCGGGAAGAATGACGGGGCTGTTGCTGGAACCAGGTTTGTTTGGAATCGGGCAGCATCTTGTCTTCCTCTTGCACGGAAGGTGCTCAGGCAGACCCCACCAACAGTGCATGACACCGTGGCGATGTCTCGGAGAGCCGCCAGGGTGAGGTGCTGGTTGGACTTCCTTTTCCCTCTGCCTGGCAAGGGTTTTATTAGGTGGGATCACTCACTGTACCGCTGAGCTCCTCTGCTGTACGTTTATCTGATGGTAGAACTATTATTCCCTTTGCTACCTTAGTGACAGGTGAGTAATCCTGCCTCTGTGCATCATTCTGTTATTGACGAGTGTGTTTGCTAAAACACCGGTGAGGTTGTTTCTCAGCCCACACCCCGTGGATGCTGCGTGCTGTGTGCCATCCCCGCCGAGCAGTAGCATCCACAGCAAACCAGCCATGAGTGACGAGTTAGGAGAGCGCTCTCCTTACGATTTCTCGTAATTAAGTGTTGTTTTTTTTGTTACTGTTCTTATTATCGTTCTCTAAAGGTACTTTCAGTGTCAACCCAAATATGGCCTGTTTGCTCCCGTCCACAAAGTGACCAAGATTGGCTTCCCTTCCACGACGCCAGCCAAAGCCAAGGCCGCCGCCGTGAGGCGGGTGATGGCCACCACGCCCGCCAGCCTGAAGCGCAGCCCGTCCGCGTCCTCGCTCAGCTCCGTGAGCTCGGTGGCCTCCTCCGTGAGCAGCAAGCCCAGCCGCACGGGATTAGTAAGCCCCCGTTTCCTTACTGCATGTCCCTGCCTCCCGGGAGGGGCTCACTCCGCGTCACCTCGGCGCACCTGCTCTGCTCCATGAACTGCTACGTCGCCCCTCACCCGCGAGCTAGGTCAGGTGTCGCTCATGTCAGTCCGTACAAGTGTCACGAAATGAAACTCGAGCGAGAGTACACGGTTCGAAATGAAGTCTTTAACAACCCCGTTCAGATTCTTAAGGCTTTACGACGTAGCAGTTCTGGGGGAGTCTACAGGAACTATTGATGAGATTGACGGCTTTTCTCTGAAATTACTTTGGGCACAAGAATGACAGGAAAATTGTGGGGGGGGATCCTTTTCCTTAAGGACGTAGGTCTCTTTCTCATTTATTTCGAACCATTTTAGGAATGAAAGCGTTTTGAGAAAAGTCGTGTTCTCAGAATTCTAATATTAATACAGCCTAACCCCGAAAGCAATTCATGTGCATGTTCCCGGCTTGGGCCTGAGGACACAGACGGGATCTTTTGGAACTTGGGCTCGGAAGAGCTGTGTTTTGTTTTGTCTCCTTTCTCCATGTCTTCCTCCCACCCCTCCTCCTCTCCCCCCTTTTCCTCTTTAGTTCACTAAAAATAGAGCCATCAGAATTAAAATAGGCAGCGTCTCATTCTGGTTGCTAAGACGTGTTTTATCAGGGTCAAAGCAGTGACTTTGTGGCTCCATCCTCTGCTTTTACGTTTATTTACTTGAAGCGAGGCAGACAGCGCTGAGATTTGAGACAGCAGCACTGCCCTGGCTGAACCCCGGGTCTCTGCGGGGTGAACGACAGACAGGCTTAGAACTTCAGTGGCGTGATCTCCGTCTGCCTTCTTCCGGTTGATGTCAGGCAGAGGAATGTGTCCCTGAGGTGGCGGCCGTGCCGCCGTCCCTGCCAGCTGCACTTCCTTCCTCGCATGCTCGGGGCAGGGACACCCGCCTGGACTATTCCACTTTGCATTTGAAAAGACAAGTCCGCACCTTCAACCGAAGAATGACAGGTGGGCTTCATGAACAAGCTGGACAAGAGCAATGAAGTGAAGGTGAAGAAACCCCTCATTTCGGACAGAGGCTCGTTCCCAGGGGCCGGCGGACTCCAGAGTGGGCGTCCGGTTTGCTTTGCCAGTCCTGGCCAGTTCCACAGAGGGTCAGGTCTGGGTTAGGAATTTTTTCTTGAGTGATTACAGTCACGCTGTTATTATAAGTCCATGTCTCTGGAAAATAACCAAACTCTTTGTGGCCGCCCCCCCCCCCCCCCAGTCTCTCCTCTTACTTTCAGATCAGTTCTGACCCCTCTTCGCTCTCACCTCGTTCAGCGAAGGACACTGACAGGAGAGAGGAGTCTTGTTGCCTCGTGAAGCAGCTTGTTTTAAAGATATTTTTATATAGGGTGGCTGTTGTTTCTAAGGCAAAAGTCACCATCAAGGAATATACCAAGGGCCTGGCTGCTGTAATCAGTGGATTGAGCTCAGTCCCACGGACTGAGAGGTCCTGGTTCGATTCCCCGTCAGGGCACACGCCTGGGTTTTGGGCTCCATCCCCAGTGGGGGCGTGCAGGAGGCAGCCGATCTGTTTCTCTCATGGATGTTTCTATCCCTCCACTCCTCTTTCTCTCTCAAAATCCATAAAAATCATATTTAAAAAAAAGAATATGCCAAGAATATAGGAAAGTTGACGTGTGATTTCTTAGAAATGGATCTCAGCATTATAACCCTATTTATATACATAGAAAAGTCTAAAGATTTTTTTGTGCAAAGTGATCTGAACGTGTCGAGCGCAGAGGGGCCCAGACTCTCTGGTTTCACAGCTAGTGGCTCAGCTGTCTCTTCATGAAGCCTCCAGGCCAAGAGAATTTCAGCTCACAGTTCTGTTTATTAAGTTATTAGGTTTAAACAACTTAATATTTATGTCCCAACACTTAGTTGATTCTTTTTTTTATCCTCACCCGAGGACATGTTTGCATTTATCTTCAGATAGAGCGGGAGGGAGAGAGGGAGGAAGAGAGAGAGAGAAACATCAATGTGAGAGAGACACATCGACTGGCTGCCACCCACATGACCCCAACCGGGGCCGGGGACAAACTGCAACTGAGGTACATGCCCGTAGTGGGAACCGAACCCGGGACTCTGCGGTCCATGGACCTGAGCCAAACTGGCCAGGGCTATGTCCCAACACTTAGTGGCTGTTTAAAAAAAAATGATACCTGTTAATTAAAAGAAATATTTTAAATTTATTCTTGAATAACCACAAGTAATTACTGTTAGGTCGTATGCTACTGTTAGGCATCTGTCTTTTTTTAATCCTCACCCAAGAATATTTTTCCATTGATTTTTCAGACAGAGTGGAAGGGAGGGGGCAGGAGAGAGAGAGAGAGAGAGACATCAGTGCGAGAGAAGCACATCGACTGGTTCTGTCTCACACGACCTTGACCAGGGTTGGGGATTGAAACCACAACCCAGGTACATGCCCTTGATCAGGAATCAAACCCAAGACTCTTTGGTCCATGGGCCAACGCTCTAACCACTGAGCCAAACCAGCCAGGGCAAACCTTGGAATCGTGTTGAACACCGTCCCCCTCACTTTCTGTGCCAAATGATTTTTGCAAAGTACTTGCTTCTTGTCATGGCAGTAGCTAAAACCCAGCATTGGAAAGACATGACGTTATCTAAAGGAATGTGTGACCATCTGAGGAGTGAAGAAATAGAATGGAGTTGCTGTGGTCCAAGCTGCTGAATTACTAAAATCACATAGGCCAAGGGGCAAGGAAACAATTTTATTCTCTTTTAAATTAGCCCAGGGACTTAAACCTCTTAGGAAAGAATGTTCACCTCTCCAGACCACCTGATGCCCATTAGCCAGACCGCTGGACATCTGGAGGATTATCATTTCGGATCGATCCAGAGACTAAGAATGCAGGACTGATTCTTCTCAAGAACGTCCTTTTTATTATGCGAACGTCTAGATTTTATTCCTTCTTCAGAGGAACGCTCTGCGTATTTTCTAGTTGTGTTTCTGGTTTGCAAACCTTTCTAAGACCCTTGAATAAATCTTGAATGTTTATTTCTAGCCAAAGCCTGTTGAAACGGAATTGCCTCAAGCTAGTAGTTTGCATGGTGTCCAACAGGTGTCGCTGTTTCCCTTGAAATGTAAAAATGCTTCGTGAATTTGCTGCAGCCCCCTGGAGTATCTCAGCAGGATTTGGGAACCTCCTATTTAGTGTATTCAGGAAGAAATGTTAGTATGGGAAGTACACTGTAACCGTACACGTAATGAAATTGGAAAATCAAGGTCAGATGGTAAAAGAGAGAACAGGAATTCCCCCTGCCCCAATATGTTGAAGTAATTCAAGGAATTTCGCTGAACAGAAACCGCAGAGGACGATTCGGGTTCCCTTGGATCCTTGAGTCCCATGGTTATCCAATTGCCTCGCTGTGAGCTGACGTCAGAGCCTCGTCCTCAGTCTGCATCCCGGACGAGGGCGCAGACAGACCGAGGAAGAGAAGAGCATGCAGGTGAGGTTCAGACGGCGGGAGATGAAGTCAAGGCCGCGTGGAGCAGAGTCGCCGGCTGAGAGTCAGTGATGGCTGAGGAAGTGGCCCTGGACACACGCCCGCCTGCCCAGGGATGAGGCCTCTTCTCGACCAGCAGCCTGAGGCCCCGCTTGGAGAACAGCACTCACCTTGTCCAGTTACCTGTTCACATTTATTGGGAGATCCTTTTCTGTGTGTTTTTGGTGACTTTAGCCTCGCGACAGAGGACTCGGGCATATGAAACAGATGACGGAGCTGAGACAGGGTCCTAGTCCGCCCCTCCCCCACTCCTCACTGTCCTACCCTCTCCTGTGTGGTCTTCCTCCCTCCCTCCCTCCCTCCATCCCCTGCTTCTGTTTGTCCTTAAATGTCTTTTCCCTCCTTTTTCTCTCTCACGGTCTCTTTCTTTCTCTTACGTGTGTACTTGGCCAGCCACGTGCGCACACGCTCGTCCACTCCCAGTCGCTGGGCGCTCAAAGGCAGACAGTGTTTCCTCTTCCTCTTATCTCTGCGAGTCCCTCTGGCCATGGGGATTCGGCCCCTCGAGGCGGCATCGCCTCGCCTTTCACTGAGACACAGGAAGGCAGACCTCACAGAGGTCCAGCTGTTCAGCCAGTTGAAGGAGGGTTCCTGCCGCCAAGGGGTGCCTATTGGCCACTTAATGGTATTTAGAAGCTTAAGTTGAAACAAGTCTTAACCTCAAGCCTAAAGATAAAAACATTTGCCCAAAATGCCGTAACGAGAAGATAGCTGTACACGAAGCTTAGGTCGGAATGGAGCTGAGAGAAGCGCATGAGGCGGGTTCCGTGAGATTCTTCTAGATCCCTACAAGGCCCTGCCAGCTGAGCGCGGGGTCCCTGTGATCCGAGCCACGTACTTGTCTGTCTAGGCATCTTCCTGACTGTTCCTCACCCTCTTTACACTGGTGTGAGATTTCCCGACAGGAGGCACACGCCATCCCGTCGTCTTGATGAAAAGCCTTTTCTGGTCATTGGCCAGCCCGCGTGCTTCTGCTTTGCCGAGAACACGCCCGCCATGCATGCCTCGCTCCCGCTGTGTCCCCGTAGCACCAGCGCCCTTCACGTCTTTAACTTTCCTTTGCAGTTGACTGAAACCTCCTCCCGTTATGCCAGGAAGATCTCCGGCAACACTGCCCTGCAGGAGGCCCTGAAGGAGAAGCAGCAGCACATTGAGCAGCTGCTGGCCGAACGGGATCTAGAGAGGGCGGAGGTGGCCAAGGCCACGAGCCACGTGGGGGAAATAGAGCAGGAGCTAGCTCTGGCCCGGGACGGACACGACCAGGTGAAGTCTGGCCTTTTCGTGGAGACGGTGATGGGTCTAAGCTGGTGTCATGGCAGAGATGGTGACAGGCTCTGAATGGAGGGAGGAGGCCGAACTACCTACCTGGTGCTTGGAGCCGGGGAGCTAGTCTTGGGGGGCACTAGGAATGTCTTCGCTGGGCTTGTTTGAAAGCTGTGACCTGGGGGACCCGTTTGCATCATCGTAAAGACGGAGTTTCGTTCTTCTTGAGTCCGTCCACCTTAGCCTTTGGTCTTTACGTCCAGGTCTTTTGGCCTGTCTGTGTTAGGTGAGCTAGTTTGCTAGGACTTTACCCGTGATTGCAATTTCTGTTTTGCAGATTAGCTTTTGTGTGAGTTTCAGCTTCCATAGCTGGGAGTTGTTTTAACGTTGCCCTCTGTTGCCGTCATGGTGTGGCTTCCTTCCTCATCTTCCAGGAGTGCTGCGGAGAGCAACCTGTTAAAGGTCATAGGATGCATTCTAATGTGGAAGGGTTTAGAGTAACCCCAGCCCACCGTGGTACCACTTAGCCATAGCTCTTGGGAGGCACCCCTGGGCCTGTGTGGGTCAGAGGCCGCTCACGGACCTCCTTGCCTCCCCAGCATGTCCTGGAACTGGAAGCCAAGATGGACCAGCTGCGAGCGATGGTGGAAGCTGCCGACAGGGAGAAGGTGGAGCTTCTCAACCAACTCGAGGAGGAGAAAAGGTGATCCTGAACCGTTCCCTGGGGCACATGCGGCCTTTCCCTTTAAATGACCTTTCCCGTCAGCAGTCAGGGCCGTGTTCAGAGGAAATGGAAGTCTTCATTCTGGGTGAGGGGGGTTTGCTTTGATTTGACTTCTTCCAAGTCGTTTGGAATCATCTAGACATGGCCCGATTCACCGAACAAACGTTTCCTGCGCCAGTGTGGTGGGGTTCATGCGAACCCAGCTCCCCCAGGCCCTTCCTGGTGAGGGTGTTCTGGGCCTCGGTTCCCTGGCACGTGTGGAACACCTTCCCTGTAGCTGAGGGCACTGTATTGTGTCTGCTGCGTGAAATGTGAAGTCCCTGTCCTTGAGAAACGCAGTCCCTTTGTTAGGAACATGAGGCTCTCGTGTGAGGCCATCCGAGAATTATCCAGGCCAGGACGAACCCAGGGCTGGACCGAGAGACAGAGAAAGCAAGTCTGGGTCTCATAAAAGGATTTTGAGGGTGTTAACAAACATCATCTCTCTTTAAAAAGTGTCTTCATGGAAACCATGTCAGTCTCTCTGGTTATGGGAAGTTTGTTCTCTGCTGCTGCCCCCAAGGCCTGCGGTTGTAGCTGCCACAGCGACTCGACTCACTGGTGACCTCGTGGCCCTGCGCCCAGGGCGGTCACAGGCAGTGTGGCAAGGGGACCACAATGCAGGTGGAATAGTCTCTCAGCAGGGACTGCTCTCCCGCTGGAGAGAGAAACTGCATGAGGGATGTCCCTCGCCTCCCGGACACGGATGCAAGTACGGGGAGGCGGTGCCTGTCCTCCAGCAGCATCGCTGTGCTCGTAAACCCGCCCTCGCCCTGCTGCCTGCTGGCCGGGCACCCGCCTCCCGGCGTTGCAGGCGCTTCGCTTGTTTCAGATTTCACGAAGCAGCATTTTGTGTTCTTGATTCTGATAGAAATGCTAGTGAGTGTGAAGGACGTAGGTTATGAACTTTGTCCCCCTTCCCTTCCTTCCCTTACACCCGATTTTGTAGAGATGCATAACGTGAGTATTACCCAGATCCTCCAGCTCTGCAGAATACTGTACTTCACTGACTTGGGACGGCGTTCACGGAAAGCCACTCCCACCGTCACAGATTGTAAAATGTGAGAAAGTGTGCCCTTTAGAAGTGACTAGTCTTGGCCAGGCACCAGCGTTGTCCCAGGGGTCTGTCTCTGCATGGGTGGCCCGCTCGCCTCGCCCAAAATAGCCGATGTGGGGTGCTATAAAGAGAGGTCTGCTTTCTGGGCCCCTTTCCTCCATGTTCTGTCATTAGAAAGTAGAAATTACAGACTCGCATTCTCAAACCTATTTCTGTGGTAATCAGGCCTCTTCCCATTGGGCAGATCTGGTCTTGATTAGATCCGTTCTGGTGGCTGTGACCGAGGGGAGCAGTTGATTTGTCTCAGCTCTTCCTCCTGCCTTCTGGAGGGCGCACCTGGTAAACCTGGGGCTTCCCGAGTAGAACGGCGCTCTTCACGGCATAAACCAGAGGCCTAACGATGCCTTCTTTCCACCGCCATCTGCTAAGTTCACCAGGGTGCCGATCGGGGAGAGAGAGAGAGAGAGAGAGAGAGAGAGAGAGAGACGCACACGCGCGCACACACACACACACACACACGATGTTTTCGATAAGGCCACCCAGTTCCTTAGTTCCTTCCTAAGTGCTTTGTTTCCCTCTTGTTCCACAGGAAGGTTGAGGACCTTCAGTTCCGGGTTGAGGAAGAATCAATTACTAAAGGCGATCTTGAGGTAAAACTCCTCCAACTCTCGGAAGCTTTTGTGGGTCCCAGTGTTCAGAAATGTGGACGAAATCACTGTGTCAGCTGATGTGGCCGGAACAGGCGGCCGAGGGGTGGCAGGAGCCCCAGCCCCTGGCCCACTGGGCTGCCGGCCTGGCTCCGGCCGAGGCGATGGAGCCGTCCTGAGCCTGCGACCGTGACTGTGACTATGGTCCCGCCTCCAGTGGCCCCGTAAAATTTCTACTACTCTTCTCTCGCGCTTTGAAATCCAAAACCTTAAACTGGAGTTAATTGAGTCATAAATCTGGCAGTGTGTCCGCAGTGAGACTACGTCCCTCTGATGACCAGAAACGGTGTGCCTTGGAAGGAGCACTGTTTGCTCCCTCGTCATAGTCCAAAACAAAGCTCTCGCTTTCTCGCAGCCTTGTTGTCCGGTTGAGCAGGATAAGTCCTTTACAACCCTGTAAAAGGAGTAATGTGTTCTAGTAGTTGATTTTTTTTTTTTTTATAAAAGTCATTACCAGAAAAAAACAAGAGCAGCGTATATTTTAGCTTCTTTTACTTCCATGGCCTATTTTAAATTAATAGAGATCTCCCTTTACCATCCAGTTTCTCTTCTTGTGACAGTGATTCCTACTAGTTTTTTAATTAGACACCAGAATGTCATGGTTTTGATGCTTTTCAAACCACTGCTAGATATATGACAAGTAGAAATTATTAAAATTTTCAAATGCTTCAGATTTTTGGTTCTTTAATCTGTAACATTTTAGTGAAAATTGCACTTTTCTGTGCAACTCTCAGAATATACATTTCTGCTACCATTACAACTTGAGTATTGCCTGCCCATACCATGCTGAAATTTCAAGGGCCCTTCCAAACAGGAACTCTGAATTCTTTGGAAATAAATGTATCTTTATAGTTAACAAAAATTAAGGAAAACGGTTTTCTGAGTTTTAATTTTATAAGACCCAGGATTTAATGGGTTATTAGTAATAATAATTCTTCACTCATTTCATATACTGTACAATTACATTTCTTTAGTTTACCTTTGTGTTATTCTCATCCATTTAAAAACACCCCAAAGTCTCATTAGAAGTTTCATATCATCATCTAATTCATTTGGAATATAGCTAGAGTGTTTGGAGAGGGACAGATTAAAATATTTACATCAGCACTAGGCTAGTATATAGTCTGTCTGATAAACTTACCTGAAATTAAAGTTATTTTGAAACCCTAACATCGAAACTTTAGCTGAATCTCTCTTTTGTTGTTGTTTAATTTTTTTATTTTTTTACTGATAGCAAAAGAGCCAGATTTCTGAAGATCCTGAGAATGTAAGAGGGCACTTAACTGTGTGGACATTTCCTTTGTTAACACAGATTGATTACAGATTAAAATGCTTATTGATGTACTCAAATACTAACTGCATAATCCGACCTTGAGGCATTGACCTTAATATTTCTGTGCATGTGGCTTTCAGAGCAGTTACATTTGTATCCCGAAGAAATTGTATGTAATGACTCAGCTCCATAAACCCATTTGTTTAATGCATAGGCATATGTTTACTTTATAAAGAATTTTGTCAAAAAGGGGGGGAAAAAAAGAAGTTTGCCCGGGTGCCTGGCCTTTCCTTATCTCATGTCTTCTAATGTTAATAGAATTATCCCAAAAGAGATGAGAGCTGACAAGCATAAAACGTACTAGATGAAGGAGATACAGAAATTCTGGGGGAAGTTTTCCCAAATTGTCTCGTTTTATTCCCAGGAGAGTTAAAGGGACTCGCGAGTCCCAGACTGGTTGCCTGTGGTGTGAGCGCCCCCGCTGGCCAGTGCCTGTCCTTGCCGCTGACTAGAAATTCAAACTTGGCATTTGTCACTGTGTTCTTTCCTCTCATTTTTGAAACTGGAGGCCAGCATCCTTCAGTGCAGACACTGAGCGTTTTAAGTTTATTATTTTCGAAGTGAGTTTTCTCCAGGTAGCAGTGTTACTAGGCCTACTCTCTTCCTTCTTCCCTCTGCCTAAGATCAGCACCCAGTTCCAATCTTACCAAAGCGACCTCAAAAGCCGGGCTTCTTGGTGTCCCTTACCCACTGTGGTACCAACCGAAAGAAACCTGAACACGTGTCATTGATTTACCACCACAAGGGAACAGAATTAAAACAAAGACTGTTTCTCCCCACCACCTCCTGGCACCTAAAACCGACAACTCAAGACCGAACTCGAAAACAGCCTCCGTTCGGAAGGTTTCCTTTTTGTGAAGCTACTTCAGTGATCTGGTCTCCTCTCCTTCCCACACAGGCTCTGCTGCGTCCAGTGTCAGTCTGCATGGGGTCCCCCCCGCCCCCCGCCCCTCTGTGCGCGCTTCTCGCAGAGCCTCTGCTTCCCCTCCCAGCCCCGGCCGGCCCGGGACCGCCCTCTGGGCTCCGTGGCGTGTTCTCAGAAAGGAGTCACTCAAAGAGGAGGGCTGTCCAGTTGAGTGCAAGGAAGTGGATCACTAGCTCCCGTGCCGATGGCCGATAAAGACAGCTGTCCCAGATCGTGTGTGAGCGTCCCCCGCAGCAGGGAGCTCTCGCTGCAGCCCCCTGGAAGGGCTTGGGAGGGGGAGAAGAGCAGTCAGCGGGTAGTTGCTTTTTACCGTGAAGCAGTGACCTTTCGCCCACGGGACACCGCGCTCTGTGTCCAGAGAAGAGGAAAGGCGGTGTTGCCTTTTGCTTTTTGGATTTCAGTGCTTGAGGCTGTGGCCACGGTGATGTCAGATTAGATTCTTTTCTTGTAAAAGCAGGTAAACTGGAACTTCTAAGGCGCACATGGGCAAAGGGGGCTCTCCAGGCAGTTAGGTTTCTGATGTTGTTATTTTTGTCGAGTGTGAGAGCTGAAGCAGGTTTTGCTTGGTTTTTAATTTTGTCTTCACTCTTTAAATATTCCATGATGATTTCCACCTGGTTTATAAGCAAAGAGAGCTCTAAATGCATTGGCGTACCCAGAACACCGCTGGAGCGAGTCAAGACGTTTCTAGTGGGAACCAGTCCACCCTCTGCCTAAGCTCTGCACTGTTTGTTACTTTGTGTGGACTTTGTTTCATTTTCTCGTTGCCCATAATGGTCCAGACTGGTAGATCTGACCAGGATTTCCTCCTGTTTTCCTCTGGTGACAGCCTTTAGAAAAGCCACCGTTGGAAACAAATGAGCGCTTTTATGGCTCTCGCCTGTCAGATATGAGGATTGCTCAGAATCTCAGCAGAGGCCATTGGTGTGATTTCCGCAGCCCTAGTTCCTAGATTCCCTTTGTTAGGTGTCATGCGGGACCCTTGTTCACGTCGCGTGTGTGCTAAAGTACAAGGACCTCCTTTAGGGCCTAACTGAACGCCGGCAAGGTTTGCGACATGACCTTTTCCATATTTAGGTCCCGGCGATCACTGTGAGGGTCAGTGTACTTTTCAAAGTCACCAAGTCCGTCACCTAGATAGACGTTAATGCCAAGTAGCTGTGGTGGGGCGGAGGGAAAAAGGATAGTTTAGAGGGGTATTAACGATTCTAATTTGTGCTGATGAACTTCACTTATCAATATAACTTATATTTGGCTGCATGCATCTGACACTTCATCTTGCCTCATGTGTTTTTCCATGTTTCCTTTCTCAGTAGCCTAGCTCATGTGCCCCGCCCACCTCATCCTTGTTTGTCATCTTCATCCTCACCCCCAGCCTCCTCATCTCACCCCATCCTCTTCCTTCTCCATTCCCCGTCTGGTCCACCCTTTGGCGGAAGGTACTGGTGGCTCAGCCTGCATGCCGCTGTCTCTCCTCCTGTGCTGGCATGTCATGGTGGCACTGTTGTGTTCTCTTCCTCTTCCTTTTCACTAACAGACGCAGACCAAACTGGAGCATGCCCGCATTAAGGAGCTTGAACAGAGCCTGCTCTTTGAAAAGACCAAAGCTGACAAACTCCAGAGGGAGTTAGAAGACACTAGGGTAATGGTTTTCACTATTTCATGAAGCAGACCCGTGTATGTGGATGGTGGACACCTCGGGCGACGTGCCCGGCAGTTTGCCTAAGCCCGACCCAGTGGTTCAGCCTGAGTTTGGTCTTGCTACCATTCATGAGCTTAGACGGATGGGTAGGCACAGAAGTTTCATATCAAATCTTTTTTTGGTCAAAGGTAAAACTCATTCCTTTGCGTAACTCAACCAAAGTCAAGATCAGAAAGTCCATGAGATTCTACATGGTGCCCCCAGCTGCACTGGAGGTTCTTTGTATTGACGCCTTGAAATTCACCGCTCCCGTTGGCCACAAGCAGTCAATTGTCCTCTTATTCTCACATTCCTGGTCACTGGGTTTTCTAGAAAATTTTCTGTTACTGTGTGTGTGTGTGTGTGTGTGTGTGTGTGTGTGTTTAACTTGAATGCTCTTTTCCTGCCTTCTTCCCTGGCCTCTTGGGGGAGGAGAATGGAAACATTGATTCTCTTAAATGAGAGTTAAGGACTGTCACCCCAGGGACCTCCTTTTTCCCCTTGATACCTGCTTTCTCTTTGCATTTCCCTTCTTTCTATTCTCCTAGAAAGCTAACATCTCAGTTGTCAGGGAGGAAAGTGTGTTGGGACCAGAATGGCTTCTTGGACCTTTTACATTTATGATGTTCTTGCTTATACATTTACTAAAGTGCCTACACAGTGCCTGCTTCATGCCAGGCACTGTTCCGGGTACTTTACAAGTATTATTAACTCAGTCTCACCATGACCGCAGGAGGGAGCTGGTGGTCTTGTCCCCATGTGACAGATGAGGACACTGGAGCACAGGGAGGTTAAGTGATTTGCCTAAGGTGACACAGCTAATAGTGAGGTACAGCCGAGATTTGTGTCTAGGCCATTTTGCCCCAGAGTCTGTGCCCTTAATCGCATGGAGTCTGTCTATTACAGAAGTAGTTTTGTGCTAAAACATAGTCTGAGTCATTCACAGAAAAAATCATGTATATGTGTGTATCTATCTATCTACTTATAGATATAGATATATGTTATCTTTGAATCATGAATTTAACTCAATGGCTAAATTGCCCAGATCTTTAAATTTTCAAAAATTACTCTATCTCTGATCAAATATCAATATCCTGATTATTTTCCTTTTGAATTATCAGTATTTTAAAAAATTTCTCTTGTTGAGAAATCATCGAGTAATCTAAAAAAATCTAAATAATTGAGCGATTTTTTCTTCTCTAAATCGTGTTTTTATTTTCTAAGAAGAAAGAAAACATTCTCAGTCAGCCTCACAGCTAAAGCTATCTCCTGTGTATTTGGAAGGAAACACACCCGGGTAGTTTGGGGGTGTTCCGTCATTCCTCGAGAGCCAGAGACTCTGACCTGGGAAACAGAAGGGGCTGATGAGATTAGCTCCTTTAGTGTGACTGGCTGTTGAAATACGGATATTTTTTTACTTCCAAACTCCTCTCCCAAATTACTTTGTCAGCAGATAACTTGGATGCTTTTTTTTTTTTTTTTTTGGCTGTGGATAAGAAGGCACCCATTTACAACATAGCTTATTCAAACTGTCATTTTTCTTTTTTTCTAAATTAAAAAAAATTTTTTTGATTAGAGAGGAGAGAGCGAAACATCTGTTTCTTTTGTTCCACTTATTTTACACATTCATTGGTTGATTGTATGTGCCCTGACCGGGGATTGAACCCGAAACCCTGGTGTAGAAAGACGATGCTCTAACCGACTGAGCTACCTGATCAGGGCTCACACTGTCATTTTCCTGTAACAAGTCGTGTCTTCTGTTGATCCTCACTGTTGGTTTTTCAAGTGCGAAACTAACCAGTGGCCCACAGATGTTTCATGTCACCTACATTCCCCTCAGGAAGTACTTTCGAATCCCTCTAAGCCAGTAAGCCCGGCTTATGAGCAGAGTGCTCAGTAGAGATCTCAGCAAGAATAAGAAATGACACCTGATTTTTCTGGCCTCAAACTAGCAGGAGAGGCAGACACACAGATGGTTGCACCTGAGGGCAGACTTTGGGACATAAGATAAAACAGAGAAGTACTGTGAAAATACTGCATAAAGTATAATAACATGATTTATTACTTGCACTTATTTCTTTACATGGCATTTCCTCAGTGCGACTGATTGTTCTGACTAATAAAGCATTATTGCCCGGTTGGATCTATTTATGTCATAGACCTGGTAGCAGTGGGGTTTGTTACTATCTTGTGCCTTACTGTGGTAACAGACTCTTGAACTACCCCACCCCACCCCCCAGAAAAAGTCTGTTAATGAATTTACATCTTTAACCTAAAGCCGCAATAGCCTTGAAACACAACAATTATAGTCAGCTCTGAAATAGTTAATGATTTCATTATGTAGTTTTGGAGACCCGAGTATTTTCTTTTCCTTTTTTGTGGACATTTTAGTCTTTACCAATATCACAGCCTGTAGGTGGGCAGAGGAGACAGAGGCAACACAGCCATTATTTTTGTCCCGGTAGAGGCAGTGAGGGGCAGGAGTCTTCACCTGGAGGAGTTTGATCCTTGGCGTTTGGGACTCACTGGTGTGGTTAAATCATTCATGTTCCCTTCTATTTCCCAGGTTAGTCAAATAATTTTTGTTCCCGAGGCTACCATTTCCCACGTATTTTGTATACGAATCTGACTGCCTAACAAGTAACAGAGGGAGATAATTTCCTAAGAAAGAAAGGGCACAGGTTATGAAAGTGTTTTTCTTAGTCCTGGGGTGTGTGTTTAAAAGAAGCGGGTCCCTGGGTCCTATCCCAGAGTGAAGTAGAATCAGAGCACACGGGAGTGACTGGGCACCTACACTGTAGACAGATGTTTAGGTGGCTCGTGTGCACAACGGAGTCTGAGAACCACTGGGTTAGGGAAGAAGGTACCGACCTCAGAATGCTGACAGAGTTAAACAGTCCAAAAGGGGGCGCTATATAGGATTCTTATATGTAATTGCAGGTAAGTCATCCTCTGTCTTTGTCCTTTTTTAAAAAAGGTTAGTAAATTAATTCCTCATCCAGTTGAGGCTTTTATTCTATAGTTGATGTGATATTTGTTGAAACATTGGATAGGCAATTTTACATCTTTGATACCAATGCTATGCAATAGAAGTATAATACGAGCCACGTATATGTAATTGAGAGTTTTCTGGTACTCATTAACATAATGTTTTAAAAGATACAAAGGAACAGATGAAATTAATAATATATTTTATTTAAACTAATATATCCAAAGTATTATCGTTTCATCACGTAGTCAACATAAAATCATTAAGATATTTTATGTCCTTTTTCCTCCAAGTCTTCAAACTCTGACATATATTTTCCACTGACAGCCATGTCTTCAGATAAGCCCATCTCAGTGCTCAGTAGCCACATACGGCCAACGGCTGCTAAACTGCCACCGTCCTTTAAAATCATCTTCATCAGACCTATAAGCACTTATCCGGAGTGAAGCGGGGTAGGAAAAAACAGGCAAAATAAGGAGGGTTTTTTTTTCTTCAGCAGGCAGATATATTTGAGAACTTTGAAAGTTACAGTTTCTGTTAACTTCTTATCAGTTAATAGTTATTTCCCCAATTTAAGCTTCTTTGGAGGAAACATTAATATTTTTGGAGTTAAACTCCAAGTCAGTTTTAGATTCCTTTAGCATCTTGGAACGGTGGAAGTTTGCCAGGGATGGTAGTTTTGAATTGGAGCTACCAGAATTGGGCTGAAGCCAGGATCACAGTCAGATAGATCGACATGTAGGCTTTGTGTAGGCCTTTGGGGTCCTTTGTTGCCTAGAGGTCGGGGAGTTATTTAAGATCTTCAACGTGAAAGAAAATCGTCCGTGATTTGTTATTTAAATTGCCTCTTTTTCTTTGGACTGCTGTTAATAGGTGGCTACAGTGTCAGAAAAGTCTCGTATAATGGAGCTAGAAAAAGACCTAGCGTTGAGAGTACAGGAAGTAGCGGAGCTGCGAAGAAGGCTAGAGTCCAGTAAACCTGCTGGGGATGTTGACATGTCACTCTCCCTTTTGCAAGAGATAAGCTCTTTGCAAGAAAAGTTAGAAGCCACCCACACTGCCCACCGAGGGGAGATCGCGGCTCTGAAGGAGCAGTTTGGAGCCCAGGAAGAGACGCGTCAGAAGGAGATGAAGGCCCTTCAGGCCACCGCGGAGAAGCTTTCCAAGGAGAACGAGTCACTGAAAAGCAAGCTCGATCACGCCAACAAGGAGAACTCGGACGTGATAGCCCTGTGGAAGTCCAAGCTGGAGACCGCCATCGCGTCCCACCAGCAGGCGATGGGGGAGCTGAAGGCGTCCTTCAGCAAGGGGGTTGGAGCCGAGACGGCGGAATGTGCCGACTTAAAAACGCAGATCGAGGCAATGAGACTAGATTACCAGCACGAGATAGAACATTTGCAGAGCCAACAAGACTCGGAACGGTCTGCTCACACTAAAGAGATAGAAGCCGTCAGGGCCAAGCTGATGAAGGTCATTAAAGAGAAAGAGACCAGCCTGGAAGCCATCCAGTCGAAACTGGACAAGGCAGAAGACCAGCACCTGGTAGAAATGGAGGACACCTTAAGCAAATTGCAGGAGGCGGAAATCAAGGTAAAGGAGCTAGAGGTACTGCGAGCCAAATGCAGTGAACAAACTAAGGTTATTGATAATTTTACATCGCAGCTCAAGGCTACCGAGGAGAAGCTCTCGGATCTTGACGCCCTTCGGAAAGCCAGTTCCGAAGGTAAATCGGAAATCGAGAGATTTAGACAGCAGCTCGAGGTGGCTGAGAAACAGATTAAAAATTTAGAGATGGAAAAGCTTGCTGAAAGTGACAAGGTTTGTATTGACATCCTCCATCTTTTTCTTTTCCACTTGTTATTCTTATTTTTGCATTGTATGTGTTTTGATTTTTTTGTTTTTTGAGTTGAGGTTATTCATCTTCTGGATTCCCGATTTAATTAAAACAGATTTCTTGGTGCTAACAAATTTCCCAGTTGAGTATAGTATCTTCTGATTGTCTTGGGTATGGTTTCATATGAGGAGATTTGAGAAAATAATGGCCTGATTAGGTGAATTTGTTTTGGTTTCCTATTATCTGGATAGTATATTCCTTTACCTCTGTGACCTCCTATTTAAGTTTGGTTTCAGTCTAGAATCTCTTTTTAAAGATTTTTTTTGGTCTTTATTGATTTGAGAGAGAGAGGAAGGGAGAGGGAGAGAGATAGAAACATTGATGAGCAAAAACACTGATTAGCTGCCTCCTGCATGCTCCCCACTGGGGATCAGACCCACAACCTGGGCATGGGCCCTGGCCGGGAATCGAACTGGCGACCTCTTGGTGCAGGGTCGATGCTCCACCACTGAGCCACACTGAGCCGGGCTAGAATCTCTTTTTAAGACAGAGAACTCCCCGCGTTGACGGGGTCAAGGTAAATGAAGTACATAGAAACGTATGAGAGCTCCTTTCCCAACGGCATAACTGCCTTGTCTGTGCGGTCACAGATGAAAGCAGGTGAACTCTGAGTGTTCCTGTTACAGATGAACGAGCTATGATGAGTAACAGTCAAGGTGAAATTAAGGCCGAGAGCCCGGAGTGCCTTGCAATGCCACGTATCTCATGGGGTCTTCTCTGGGCCACGAGGAGAGCTCGGTCTGTTTCCTGCTGTGGGGGAAGACAGGACGAGCATGCTTTCAGTCCAGGCCCGGGAGATGATACGACACACTCACCAGCTACATTCCCTACAGCTAGCCCCGTTCAGCGTCGTCTTCATTTTAAGGCTTGTTGGCGGCGTGAAGGCTCCTCCTCAGTCCTCCTGCTGCTAGTTGAGGTGCTGACCCAGTGTCCTGAGCCTTTTGCGGGAGAAGCTGCTCAGTCGGCAGAGAAGGAAGGGTTAGGGTTAGGGTTAGGGTTAGGGTTAGGGTTAGGAGAGGAGGGCAGACAGCGGCAAAAATTGTGAAGTAACCGCAGTTGAAGATGATAAACTATTTACAGGACATTTTTCTCAGATCTCCTCACTTGGTTCCTAAATACCAATCAAACTAAAAAATTAATTAGTGGAGAATATGTAGCTAATGGGTGGTGTACTTTTTTACATCAAGGTGGAATGAAAGCCCATTTCTGATGACTGTGGTCTAGTATGTTTTTAAAATTTTGTTTTTATGTTAAATATTGAAATGCTTGAGGCATATAAAAATACAGAAAATGATAACATAGACCACATGCATCCATCGTTTCTACCTGAAGACTTTTAAAGTCCAGGAAATGAAATTCCTTCACTAACTCATCCAGAAAGTAAGCACCTGTATTTTCTGCTTTAAATCACGCCAATATTCCAAAAGTAGGTATAGAAAAATACTCTATTGCTATTATCTTAAAATAGCCATTAGACGATCAAATCTAGGGACTGACTGTGTGAAAAGTCATTGATTTCTTAGAGTTAAAAAGAAAACACACACACAATGATTTCTTACCCATGCCTTTATCCCTTTCAGTTGTGTTTGGTTGTGTTCGTTTCTCATACATTTTCTGTTTGTTTTATTTTTCGTTTCTCGTTCTCTCTTGTTTCCATTGGTTTGCTTCTGTGCCATGTGACTGTCTGGCAGGCCACTGGCCTCACCAAAGAGCTGCGGGGCAAAGAGCTGGCGCTCAATGCACTTCAGGAGCACTTGAGCGAAGTCAGCCACGTGAAAGAGACTTTGGAAAAAGAACTGCAGATTTTGGTAAGTACCCGCTCTGGGTCCGCATCTCGACGTTCCCGGCCACTTGAATTGTTCCTGTTTAAAAACAAAAGTGTCCACAAAGAAGGGGGTATTACACCTATTTCCTTTCTCTTTCAAAGTATTGCTTTAAATTGAATGTGTTGGTAATCGGCCGATAAATACCTTGAGGGGCATCAGATGAAACCCAAACTAGCAATAAAGGTAGGTATTACTGTCGTCCCCCCTTATCTGGGGGGGATATGTTCCAAGGCACCCAGTGGGTGCCTAAAATTGAGGATAGTACTGAACCCTACAGATACTATGTTTTTTCTATACAAAGGCCTATGATAAAGCTTCGTTTATCAGTTAGGCACAGTACGGGATTAACCACAATAACTAGTACTAAAATAGAACAGTTATAACTAGACCATAATAAAAGGTATGTACGTGTGCTCACTTGTTTTCGGGGCCCCTTGCTGAGGTCCTTGTACAGGCTCAGTGCTTTCTGGTGCAAAATGTTGCCATTGATGGAGCCGCCCACACATTTAATACCTTTTCCGTCTTAACTCAGCGCTTACCACGCACAGCGGCCAGAATTTCGGGAGTTTGAGGTGCGACAGCAAGACAGGCAGGAATTTCTTTCCTTCACAACTTCGTAGCTAGAAGATTCTCAGCTCGCCATACGATTTCCTTTTCTTTCCTTAATAAGTTGAGGACTTGCACCTTTTCACTGAAGTACTTGATGTTTATCTCTGCATATCTGAGTTGCCAGCATCACCCCTCTTGTGCTTTGAGGCCGTTATTGAGTAAAATGAGGGTGACTTGAACACAAGCACCGCGACACCTCGGCAGTCGATCTGATAACTGGGATGGCTACCCAGTGACCGATGGGCAGCTAGAGGACCGGGGTGGAGGCGCTGGACTGAGATGAGTCACATCTGGGCAGGATGGCGCAGGATGGCACGAGATTTCATCACGCTACACGTTTTAAAACTTAGGCAAACTTTGCATTGTTTATTTCTTGCATTTCCCATTTAATATTTTTAGACCTTGGTTGACCATGGGTAACTGAAGCCATGGAATGTGAAAGTGCGAATAAGGAGAACTTCTGTTCTTTAAAAAATGATCTGGCCCTGGCCGGTTTGGCTCAGCGGTTAGAGCATCGGCCTGCGGTCCGGAGAGACCCGGGTTCGGTTCCCGCTAGGGGCACGTACTTCGGTTGCAGTTTGTCCCCGGCCCTGGTTGGTCGTGCGGGTGGCAGCCACTCAATGTGTCCCTTTCACATCGATGTTTCTCTCTCTCTCTCTCTCTTCCTCTCTCTCCCTCCCACTCTATCTGTACAAAAAATGGAAAAATGTCCTCGGGTGAGGATTAAAAAAATAATAATAATAATCTGTCCTTTGCTTCTGGTAATGCATTGCATTGGTGTGTTATTGACTACTTAGTTTTTTGTTTTTTTGTTTTTTGTTTTTTTCCTTTTTCTTATTCCTCACCCAAGGATATTTTTCTATTTATCATTAGATAGAGTGGAAGAGAGGGAGGGAGGGAGGGAGGGAGAGAGAGAGAGAGAGAGAGAGAGAGAGAGAGAGAGAAATATTGATGTGATAGAGCCACATCGACTGGTTGCCTCCCACATGACCCAACCAGGGCCGGGGACGAACCGCAACCGAGGTACATGCCCTTGACCGGAATCGAACCTGAGACTCATTGGTCCTCAGGCCGATGCTCTAACCGCTGAGCCAAATCAGCCAGGGCTGACTACTTAGTTTTACTAGACACGGAGACCTTCCAAGTTACGCACCCAACATGTTTGGTTTCACGAATAATGAGGTCTTGCACGGTGCCTGCTCCACTTGCCAGGTGAGAGCAGCCAGCAGGCCATCCTGGCCACGCACCCTCGCAGAGCAAGGCAGGGTGCTAGCTCGGCAGTCACAGAATTCCCTCACCGCTCAGCTCATTCCCATCGGGGAATTACTTTTCCTTTCATCGATCCTTGTTCCTTAATCCCAAGCTGTAAGCCATTTTTTTTCTCTTAGCTTTTCTCAACTGTTCTCCTGTCACCTTGCCTCCTGCATCAAAAACTTGAGCTTAATCGAGGCTGATGACCATGAGCTGTGCCACTGATACCCACACGTGTTGGGAAAGGAAAGTCTTAGGCTTATGGAGAAACTAGATAAGGGAAGCATTTTCCACACTTATACAGTGATACCTCGGTTCTCGAATGCCTCGGTTTTCGACCAAATCGGTATTCGACCAGGAGATTCGAGAAACTTTGTCTCGGAATCCGAACAAATATTTGGAACTCGAACTTCCGAGATGAGCCGAGTTGAGCCGAATGGCGTTCATTCGGCCCAGCGCGCCTTGCTGGCGTCATCAGTGTGAGTGCAGAGAGAGAGTCACGCTTTGTGGAGTCCGCTTTCCTATTGGGTTTCATTGCTTCGGTTCTCGAACAATTCGGTTCTCGACCGTCCTCCTGGAACGAATTATGTTCGAGAACCGAGGTATCACTGTATACACACATGCATATACTTAAGTATGCACGCTCACGTGTACAGAGGTGTGTACATGCGCTCACTCATGCATACACATGCACAGTGTGCATACGGTAGTCATTGGTGCCTGCGTGTGTTAAGAATAAAAAAGTAAATAGTGTAGTTATAAGGGATTGAAACATTTAGTTTTCATAATTTTATCTATAGAAAGATGCATAAATCTTTCTATTCTGAATATCCGATTCTTTTTCTGTAGAAAGAAAAGTTTGCTGATGCTTCCGAGGAGGCGGTCTCTGTCCAGAGAAGTATGCAAGGTATGTATTTCTCACGTGCGAGCAGATCACTGTGGAGCATGTCACATTCTCACAGCAGAGCTGGCCTCTGCGGTACACAAAGCTCACGCTGCCTGTAGTCTGACCTCATGGAGGCTCCTGCAGGGCCCAGTAGCACAGCGTTCCGTTGCCTTTCTGAAACCTCACACTCCCAGTAACTTTTCTCTTCTCTCAAAGTTTCTTTCATATTAAAATGTAAGTATACCAGGGAAAAGCATTATCTTACCTAAGCTTTAGTCCTGATAGCTCTTCTGAGTTTTAAGCGGAAGGGTGCCCAGTGCCTGCCTACTCTGCAGATTTGGGGAGGCAAAAGAAATGCGAGCTTACTACTACTTGAGGCTTATCGTACAGTGTTTGATGTGTAATGGGACTTTTTAGTATTCCTGTGACCTCAAAGCATATGATTTGATTTGATTGTAGGACAGCCAAGCTCTAGATGGCTTATTAAATATGAAATATATTAAACTTTTAACTTTATCCTAAATAGAAACTGTAAATAAATTACACCAAAAGGAGGAGCAGTTCAATGCACTGTCTTCTGAATTGGAGAAGCTGAGAGAAAATTTAACAGGTAAGATGTCTCTGCTTATTAACATTAAATATAGTAGTCGGCTCCCTGGGATTTGAGATCACTGCAGTATGTTACAGTAACATCTATTCAGGCTTAACTGCTTCACTCATTATGGTGATATAATGGGATAAGATACTTGTCTGAGGTCTGTAACCTTCGGCAAACCCTCTCTGTGCTGTTTTCAAACAATTCAGCCTCCACCACGTCAGCTCCACGCACTGCTGTCCTCCATCCAAGCCAGCCATCTTTCATCTGAGCTACTGTAACAGCTGGCCTCCGTCTGCCTGCTTCTTCCCTCATCTCCTTCGGTCTGTTCTCAGCACAGCAGCCAGAGTGATCCTTCAACATCAAGTCAGCTCCTGTCCTTTCTCTGCTCAGGGTCGCCCATTGGCTTCCATCTCACTCAGAGTAGAAGCTGCGGTCCTTACTCTCATCAGGCCCTGCTTTCTCTCTGATTTCATCTCATGCTACTATTCTTTGTTCTTTTCATGCCAATAATAGTGGCCTTCTTGGCGATACCTGCATATCAAACACGTTCCTGCCTCAGGGCCTTTGCACTTGCTTTCCCCTCTGCCTGCAGGCCACTTCCTTCCGGTCTTTACTTAAATGTCATCATCTCAGAGAGGCCCTGTCTAAGTTTTAACCTCCCCAACTTCTTTCTAGCTCTTTTCTCTGCTTGTATTTTTCTTCTTAGCACTTAGCACTATCTGTTACACTTTTTATTTTCTTTATTGATCTTGTTTATTGTTTGTCTTCTTAGCTAGAATGTAATTTTTACAGGGATTGTTACATGCAAATATTTCCAGAGCAAGGCTTGGCATACAGGGTGCAGGCAATAAATGTTTGTTCATTGTAACACAACAGTGCTTTTTTTTCTCTCTACATGTGTTCAGACATGGAGGCAAAATTTAGAGAGCGAGGTGAAAGGGAAGAGCAGTTGATCAAGGCGAAAGAAAAACTGGAAAACGACATTGCAGAAATCATGAAAATGTCAGGAGATAATTCTTCTCAGTTGACAAAAATGAATGACGAGTTACGTCTGAAAGAAAGGTACGTGTGAGTGTTAATAGGAGTGTCTGCTTTAGGTTAGGCCCTGAAGCAGGGTCTAGGCGTCTTTGTCCTCGGCCCCATGGGGTTGTATGGGAGGCAGCCAGTCCATGTGTCTCTCTCACATTGATGTTTCTCTCTCTCTTCCTCCCTCTCTCCATCCAGCTCTATCTGAAGATAAATGCAAATAAATAAATAAAATAAAATGTGGTCAGCAAAGTGGCAGGATCAGTGCCCAGATCCTTAGGGTTGTTATGTTTTGTTTCCTCTCTCTCGTTACCTCAGTGTATCCTTGGATCTATTGTTTAACCTCTAAGGAATACAGTATTGTAGGCCTTTTGCTGACTTGTTAAGAAAAGGTAGTAGGCCCTGGCCGGTTTGGCTCAGCGGTTAGAGTGTCGGCCTGCGGACCAGAGAGTCCCGGGTTCAGTTCCCGCTAAGGGTACGTACTTCGGTTGCAGTTTGTCCTCGGCCCCATGGGGTTGTGTGGGAGGCAGCCAGTCGATGTGTCTCTCTCACATTGATGTTTCTCTCTCTCTTCCTCACTTTCTCCTTCCAGCTCTATCTGAAGATAAATGCAAAAAAATAAAAAATAAATAAAATAAAATGTGGTCAGCAAAGTGGCAGATTTCTTTTAAAAAATAAAGAAAGAAAAAAGAAAAGGTAGTAGTTTACCAAAGGCAGTAACATCTTTTACAGGCAGTTAAAACTATTTTTGACCTCCCAGGCCGGGCGGCTCCATTGGTTGGAGAGCCATCCTGTGCACCAGAAGGTTGAGGGTTGGAGTCCTTGTCAGGGCACGTGTGGGAGGCACCTGATGGATGTTTCTCTCTCACATTGATGTGTGGTTGTTTTTTTTTCCTTTCTCTAAAAAGAAATAAAAGAAATATTTTTAGGCAATCTCACTGTGATGATAGATAACACCGTGAGGACTTGCTGTGCGCCATGCCCTGCACTCTGCTACGCTTTATACAGAGAGTGTATTTTCTTTCCTTTTTCTATCCTCAGCTAGAGTGGGACAGAGAGGGAGAGAGAAATAGAGATAAACATCAATGTGAGAGAGACACATCGATTGGTTGCCTCCTGCGATACCCATGCCCTTGGCCGGAACGAACCCAAGACTCTTTGGTCCGCGGGCCAACACTAACGGCTGATCCAAACTGGCCAGGGCAAGAGAATGTATTTTCTAATTCTCATAATAATCCAATAAGGTGAGTATATTATTGTTCCCGTTTTAAAGAAAAAGAAACCGAGGCTTAATACAAGGTTCAGTGACTTACCTAAGGTTTCAGATGGCAGTCTGGTCCCCAGCCCTCATTGCTCCTAGTCACTCTGCTGTATGTCCTCAGCACTAACGCTGGCTGTCTTATCTCTGCTCTTGTCTTAATTCTGAGGTCTTGTTTGATCATTTTCTCCTTTTTAAAAAATTGCTTGATTTCAGAGAGAGGAAGGGAAAAGGAGAGAGAAATAGAAACGTCAATGCATGCCTCCTACTGGGGCTCGAGCCCAAAACCCGGGCATGTACCCTGACCAGGAATCAAACCGGTGGCCCCTTGGTGCCCGGGATGAAGCTCAGTCCACTGAGCCACACCAGCCAGGCGATCTTTTCTCCCTTTTGATGGCTGCCATATGAAAACCAAGTTTTTGATAATGCCAACGCTTTTTTTTTTCTTTATTGATTTTAGAGAGAGGAAGGGAGAGGGAGAGAGAGGGATAGAAACATCAATGAGAGAGAACATTGATCAGCAGCCCCCTGCATGCCCCCCACTGGGGATCAGGCCCACAACCTGGGTATGTGCTCTGACCAGGAATTGAACCAGCGACCTCTTGATGCATGGGTTGAAGCTCAACCACCGAGCCACACCAGCTGGGCAATGCCAACACTTTTGCCCTGGCCACTTTGGCTTAGCGGTTAAAGTGTCAGCCCGTGGACCAGAGTGTCCCAGGTTTGGTTCCCGCTAAGGGCACGTACCTCGGTTGCAATTTGTCCCCAGCCCCGTTTGGGGTTGTGTGGGTGGCAGCCACTCAATGTGTCTCTCTTGCATCGATGTTTCTCTCTCTCTCCCCTTCCCGCTCTATCTGAAAGATGAATGCAAAAATGTCCTCAGGTGAGGATTTTTTAAAAAAGGCCAACACTTTCAGGAACATTTTAGGACCATTAGATTTCTGACTCTGAAAGTGTTGCTACTTGGCAAAGGTATATTTACACCCAGCCATGTACCCACACACATACACAATTAACTGTTGGTGGGTGACTGGCAATTGGGCCTTGGTTGGCCTTCTTTGGTCAGACTTGCTGTGAGGTGGGTACAGCTAGCTGGTGGCTGTGGCGCAGTGTCTTGGGGTAGTTCCATTTCTGTAGCTGTTTTACAGGCATAACACCCAGAGGTACCCCCAGGTTTCCCTCCTCCATTCTCTGGGTTGATGTCCCATGTTTTCTGTACATCTTTGTTGGACCACATTATGTTTAAGCTATAACTTCAAATTATTTATTGTCATCTTTGTATCTTATGTTCTCAAGCATCACTAGAATGAGTTTTTGATAATCTAGTCTGCTAAAATTTTGAATCTTTGTAAATACTCAGTAGGTATACTTTTAACTCATTTTTCCTTATAGATCTATTAAAATAAAATAACCCTAACAATTATAGTAGTTGTTACTCTAAATAATTTACTTACAACTATGACAACGGTTAAAATTGTTCTTCAGGGCAAGTCAAGTTTTTTGCTGTTGTTTATTTCATGTTATTAATTACTTACATTTATAATCATCAGTACAGTTATTAATGGTATCTTTCCCGTAGAAGTCTATAATTAAAAGCATTCTTTTGAAAAATCTGACACCTTGTATTGAAACTTCTTCTAGAAATGTAGAAGAATTACAGCTGAAACTTACAAAGGCTAATGAAAATGTAAGCGTTCTGCAGAAGAATATTGGGGATGTAACTCTCAAAGCTGAACAGAGCCAGCAAGAAGCAACTAAAAAGCATGAGGAAGAAAAGAAAGAACTGCTGACAAAGTTGCTGGACCTGGTACGGAGGGGATAAACGGGACTGTGTGCTGGCAAGGAAGGTAAGGGCAGTTCAGGTGCGGCAGGGTGACTCATCCCTTCTCTCGGGGCTCCGGCAGGAAAAGAAGATGGAAATGAGCCGCAACGAGAGTCAAGATCTGAGAGCCAAATATGAAGAAGCCAGGTCCGAGACCAAGGCCGCGCATGAGGAAGCCCTGCAGAAGCTGCAGAATGCGCTGCTGGACGCGGAGGGGAGGCTGTCGGCTGCCCAGGAGCAGAACAGGGACTTGCTGCAGGAGATGGTGGAACTGAAAAAACAAGCCGACAAAGCCAGAGTACGTGCAGAGAGAGTTACGTTGTATCCGTGTACATGCGGAGAGAGTTACGTTGTATCCGTGTACATGCGGAGAGAGTTACGTTGTATCCGTTTGCTCAGGGTCCGCTTCATGCCTGCAGGGTGCTTAGCGAGCGGCAGCTAATGGGATGAGCTCACTTGGCCTTGACCAACGTTGTCGCCTTCCTGTGGCTTCAAGTGTCCTGTACCAGCTGCTGTCCTTCTCGGGGATGGTGATGGCCGCAGGTCTCTGCCCTGAACAGACCCTGTGGCCATCACGCCCCTGCTGTGTGTTCCCCAGCTGTCGCAGAGTCTGATGTTGCCTGAGCCCTGCCTGCCTGCTCGTGGCTGACTTGTTCCTCTCTCGGCCGCCTCGCTGCCTCCTAGCGCTAGGGTTAGGACAGACCTGTTGCCGAAAGGCCAGTGGCAGAGGCCAGGTCAGAGGTGAGCAGGGGTGGAGCCTGGCTGGAGGAACAGAGCTCAGAGGGAAATTCAGAAGCGAGGCTCCAGGAAGGCACAGTGAGCTGACTGATGAGGAAGCTGGGTTCAAGGGCCGCAAGCAAACACCCTGCCATGAAAGGGTGGAGCTTGATGTATTGCATTTCGTTTTATGGTATCAGGATTGTATCTGTGCCCCAGTAGATTTTTTTTGGCTCTGGTAATTTCATGAAGCTCAACCTTCCTACTAGTATTTCACCTTTTTCTATTACTATTTAACTTGCTGAAAGAAAAGTAAATACATGTGTTTAATTATTTTTAATGTGTCAGAGACATTTTATAGAGAAGGAGTTTACTAGAAAGAGGATCTAAAAAGAGCATACGTAGGACTTGAAACAGATCTAGTTTAAAACTTGTGAATTGATCCCTGGACGGTTTAGCTCAGCGGTTAGAGTGTCAGCCCATGGACTGGAGAGTCCTGGGTTTGGTTCCTGCTAAGGGCATGTACCTCAATTACAGTTTGTTCCCGGCCCCAGTTGGGGTTGTGTGGGTGGCAACCACTGGATGTGTCTCTCTCACATTGATGTTTCTCTCTCTCTCTCTCCCTCCTGCTCTATCAGAAAATAAATGCAAAAAAAAAAAAAATGTCCTCGGGTGAGGATTAAAAAAAAAACCTTGTGAATTAAGTGGACCATGACATACTATATGTCATGTATAAGATGCCTAAATTTTCTCTCCTGGATGCTGGCCATCAGAGTATCCTCTTCTCCCTGTAAAATATCTAACGTTTTATGAGCCATTTAGCATGAGATGTAATCTCCAGATCTTGTGGTTCCCTTTATCCAGACAGATGCCAGGTTTTTAGTGTTTCCCTTAGAATCTTATAGCCTGACCAGACCACAGCTTTCTAGTAGCTTATATAAAATCTCATTTATATTGTTTGTTGGCTTTTTTGTAAGTTGTTGTTGTTGTTTTTAATATTTTTTCTTTATTGATTTTAGAGAGAGAGGAAGGGAGAGGGAGAGAGAGATAGAAAAATCGATGAGAGAGAATATCGATTGGCCACCTCCTGCATGTCCCCCACTGCGGATCAGGCCCACAGCATGGGCATGTGCCGTGACCAGGAACCAAACCAGTGACCTCTTGGTGCATGGGTCAGTGCTCAACCACTGAGCCACACTGGCCGGGTGCCTTTTCTTTCTTTCCCCCAACAGTCATTTGGTTAACATGCCAGGATCGCTCCACTTCCAGGTTGTCTGGATATTTGATTTCTGTGGATTTCAGTGTTTGTCAACACTGGCTCACAGGCTTTTTTGAGAATTGGGTGAAACCTTAAGATGTTTTCCCTGGGAAAGTTTACATATACACTCAGCAAGTTTTATGTGACATTTCAGGAGGTTCATGGAGCCCATGAAACCTCTGTTTCCTGAATTATAAGAGCCATGGATCTACAGCTGTGCTGTCCAGTGTAGTAGCCACTAGTTACGTGTGGCCATTTATGTTTATATTAGTCAAATTTTCAGTATACTTATTTTACTACATGTATTGGGTGACATTGGTTAATAAGATTATATAGATTTCAAGTGTAGATTTCTGTGATACATGATCTGTATACTGCATTGTGTGCCCACCACCCAAAGTGACATCATCTTTTGTCACCCTATATTTGGCGCCCTTTACCCTTTAGTACCCCCAACCCCTTCCCTCTGGTAACCACCATACTATTACTGTGTCTATGAGTTTCAGTTTTATATCCCACATATGAGTGAAATCGTATGGTTCTTAGCCTTTTCTTTCTGACTTTTGCCTCGCATGATTAGTCAGATTTTAATAAAATCAGCTGCTTAGTCACACTCACTAGTCACACATGTGGCTAATGGCTAGCACATTGGACAGTGCAGATAAAGAACATTTACACCATTACAGAACGTTCTGGACAGCCCTGGTATAGACATCGTGGTCAAATATTTATTCTATAAACCAATGCATTTTTTTTAAAAAACCCATTTATTTTAGTCACCAAAACTTAGCGAATTCGTCTGTGTTTTTCATTTCATTGGAAGCACTGGGATGAAATCGGTGTCAGGCCAGTGATTGTCCTTTAGTAGATAAGTGAGGTCCTGCACGCAGTGAGCGTGAAAGCAACAACTTTATGTCCCTTGCCCTTACCTCCCCCTTTAAAAAAAAAAAAAATACATTCACTTTTTATATTTCGTTGGATCATATTTTTAAAGGCTCTTTTATGCATCCTTTCTAAGACAGAACATTTTGGATAATTAGAATGTCAGGGAGGAATCTTATGCCCTGGTGTGCAAATCACACTACTGTCAGGAATAATTTCCAAAGTTCTTTTAAAGATGAAAGAAACCAATAGCTGACTCAGCACTTTGCAGAGCTCAGCCTGCTTCGTGTTATCCTTTTATGGGCCCTGTTTCTCGGGATTCTTTTCCTTGTCACCCAGATAGTTTCTATGACGTTTATTGTAAAAAAAAAAAAAAAAAAAAAATTAACGTTTATGATTTAGGTTACATTAAGTTATTTGGGCTTGCATTTGTCTGCTTGATTTCATTTTGTTTCCATTCTTTCCACCTTTTGTTCCTGTAGTCGCTAACTTATGTGTTAACATCAGCCAAAAAAGAAATTGAACTAATGTCAGAAGAGCTGAGGGGTCTCAAGTCAGAGAAGCAGCTTCTTGCACAGGAGGGCAATGCTTTAAAGTTAGAGAAAGGTTCACTTTTGTCCAAGCTTGTAGAGGTGGAGGCCAGAATAACTTTGCTCCAGGAAGACCAGCAGAAGCTGTGGTCAATAAACGAAACCCTTACTTTAGAAAAGAAGAAAGTCTTAGAAGAAAAGCAGGGTGCCGAAAAGCTGTCTCAACAGGTACAGCTCCAGAATGAAGCTCTGGCTGCGGAGAGAGGGAAACTGCTTCAAGAAATCAATGTTGCGCAGGAAGAACTCCTGAAGATACACATAGAAAACGACTCTCTGCGAGCTTCCAAAACGACCTTGCAGGTTTTCGCAGAAGAACTGCAGTTCAGCAAAGATAACCTGATTGCCGAGTGTAAGAGGAATCGGGAGGAAAAAGACAGCCTGGAGAACAACATCAAGAAGCTCATAACTGAGAACCTCGCCTTGGCCAAAGACAAAGATGAAACCATTCAGAAGCTTCAGAGCTCTTATGAGGAGCTAGTCAAAGATCAGAAAACCTTGGTTCAGGAGATCAAAGACCTCACAGCCGAGAAAAAGTCCGCGCTGGAGAAGCAGTCGGGTCTCGAGAACATGTGTGTCACCCTAAAGGTCGAAAGAGACACTCTCCTGCAGAACAACAAAGACTTGCAGTTGGAGAAGGGCACGCTGCTTAAAGACCAGGACAAGCTGAACGTCAGCCTGGCAGCCGCCCTGCAGGTCAAACAGCTGCTCAGCACCGAAGCCAGAGGGCTCCGCGCACAGCTGGATGACACCAGCAAAGGTCTGAGGAAGGCCGAGCTGGAGACCATGCAGCTTCAGGCCACCAACACCAGCCTCACGAAGCTCCTGGAAGAAATTAAGACCAGTCGGGAGATCACGGACTCCGAGTGCATCCAGCTTCTGCACGAGAAGGAGACTCTGGCTGCTTCCGAGAGGAGGCTCCTGGTCGAAAAAGAAGAACTTCTTCGTGAAAATAGGCTCGTCACTGAGAAGCTCAACGCGTGCTTGGAAGAGGCCGCCCACGTGGAGATGAGCCTCAACCAGAAGGTCACCCACCTGACTTCCGAGAAGGAGGTGGTTTGTCAGAAAATGTCTAAGATCAAAATGCAGCTCGACAGTCTCTTGAAGGAAAAGGCTGTGCTGGAAACGCAGAATGGAGATTTACTTGCAGAAAGAGAAAACTCCATCAACACCCTGGGAGAGCTGAAAAGGAAATACGACCAAGAGTCTGCAAACAGAAGGGTCATTATGCAAGAGAAGATGAAACTCCTCGGCAATCTTGATGCTCTGAAGAAGGAGCTTCAGGAAAGAAAGAAAGAGAACCAAGAACTGGCAGCCACCAAGTGTGAGCTCTCTCTGATGCTGAAGGAGGCTCAGAATGCCACCAAGCACCTGGAGGAAGAGCAGGCGAACCTACAGCAGGCCAAGGAGAGCTTGAAGGCCGAGCTGGAGAGCTGCTGCTCTGAGAAGGACATGCTGCGGAGGGACGGGCTGAACCTGCAGCACGAGTGTCGGGAACTGAACGAGGAGGTCCGGGCCACGCAGCAGTCCCTGATCCTGGAAAAGGAGGCCAGAGCCCAGGATGCCGAGGCGTCCGCGTATGAGAACAGCAAGCTCCACGGGAGAGCAGCATGCCTGGAGCGGGAGCTGGAAGAGCTAAGTGCATGTACTAAGGAGCTGGAGTCTGAAAATTTTGTGTTAATCCAGGAGAAGACCAAGGCGGAGCAAAAGGTGGTGGAGATACTGAAGGAAAAGGAGCTCCTGACTGCAGAAACGGCGCGGCTCGCTGCCAACATAGAGACGCTGAAGAGCGACTTTGCGTCCTTGTCTAAGTCCAAGTCAGAGCTGCAGGAGCTGCACAGCTGCCTGACCAAGATCCTGGACGACCTCCAGCGGAACCACGAGGTGACCCTGGCCGACCGGGCCAAGGCGCTGCAGGACAACAGGAGCCTGGTGGCGGAGAAGAGAGAGATGATGCTGAAGAGGGATGAGCTCCTGAAGGAGAAGGAAACGCTGGCCGAAAGCTACTTCGTCCTCCAGAAAGAGATGAGCCAGTTGGCCCAAACCAACAGCCACGTGTCAGCCAACCTCCTAGAATCTCAGAACGAAAACCGCACTTTGAGGAAAGACAAGAGCAAGCTCACTCTTAAAATTAGAGAGCTCGAGACTCTTCACTCGTTTACGGTAAAGTGAGAGGTCCCAGTACTGAGCACCTGGACCACTAACCTGCACACTAACGTGGCTGAGGCAGTGCCCTGTCCGTGCCAGCAACCCATCCCTTAGTCCGTGGCTCGTACGTCTCCAGCTGTCTGTTGCCTCCTGAAAGGACAGTTCTTTACTAAATGTCTAATTGCAGTAGTATCTTCATTAGAAAAACAACCTGGAAACTGTGAATAACAAGGATATATTTTTAACTTAAGGGGAGATTTTTGTGGAAAAGTCAAATGTGGTTCTTAAAGGATGGGCACATGCTGAAATACATTGTATCGTCTGTTTGGCTTTTCACTGTTTCATTGTGTCTACCCATTTGGAGCCGGAAGACTCTGAAACTTCCGTGGCTGGTGATGGGGAAGGCGTAACTCGGAAGCCCCATAAGTTTCACTGGACCACTTGACGTTGTGAACACGTGCCCAAAAAGATTTTCATTCATTTCATGATTTTTTTTTTTTTAACAGATTGCCAGCTAAGGATTTATTTCCATATTCATATTATCTTTTTTATTCACAGCCATGTTTATATTCATTACTCACATCACCTCTTAGATGTCTCCATTCAGTGCTGTTCATGACACGACCCTCACATTATAATTGCCCGAATAATTTTTATGTGTATTTGAAAGCTTCCCCACCTAAATTCTGAGTGATTTCAAAAGCCCCACATTTGAAATAGCAAGACCAGTATTTTAAACGTAGAACGCTGCAGATGATGGAGAGAGAAATTCAGTGGTGCAGGGATGCTGCTTTTATCATCCCTGAACGTTTCTCTCAAGCGTAAGCAGGGCAGTGGGCATGGCCATCAGAGTAGCTGGGAACTGTCATCGGAAGGTGCAGGGTTACAGGGATCTGAAACTGTGCACATTGCATATGACAATTGGCTTGTGAACATGGCCTGGGGAGGGTGTGTCCTACTCGGGAGTAAAGCCCTTCTGTGTCTCGGTCCGTGCGTGGTGACAGCAGGCTGGCTCGTCCTCTGTGTGATTCCCGAACCACACAGACCCTGGCCCTGCCTGAGCAGCACAGCCTGGGTGTTAACCCAGCGGGGTCGCCAGGGTGTCCCCACGCCTCACAGTGCTTTCTCGTGTCCAGGCTGCTCAGACGGCGGAAGATGCCGTGCAGATCATGGAGCAGATGACCAAAGAGAAGACCGACACGCTGGCCTCCTTGGAGGACACCAAGCAAACCAACAAAAAACTACAGAATGAAGTAATCAGATTTAAATGGCTTTTTGTGCAAAGGACAGCTTATCGACTTCATGGGATATTTTGAGCACTAACTCAGAATTGTTCTCTTTTTTTTTTTTTGAAGTGTGGCCTCATACAGGTTTGACCTATGTTAGTGGAGTCAAATGTACACCAGACCCATGATAGTATCAAATAAAGTGTATTACTTCATTACTTACCTGGTAGGATCAACCTTTTAAACATGAAGGGAAAACCCAAATAGCATGGCTTTCTGTGGTCGTTGTTCAGTGATAGAACTAATGAGAAGAGATACTGGTAACATGCTCTAGTGTTTGTATCTTTTGTCTCAGACCACAGATACTCCTCCCCTCCCCAAACTCTCTCCCAACTTTGAGCCACTAAATGTCATTCGTTGGCTCTGAGTTTGACATTGGCTTTTTCTTAGCCTAAGTCAGTACTTGTTCCCAATTGTATCATCTTGAATTAGTCACCTCTGGGTCTTGGACAAATCTGTGGTGGCAGGATCATTTCGATTCTGTCCAAAAGTAGCATTGTCATTCTTACACCCTTAATGTCCTTCCTCCACCCTCCCAGCTCATACCAATCCTTTCTGTCTTTGGAAAGATGCACTTCAATCCTAAGCAGATTGATTCCCTACAATAGTGTATCAAGTTCTCTATAATGTTGGGTGCTTTTCTGAAAGTGACAAGCAGGTAAGACATGAAGTAAAGCAAGGGAAGGGGTAGTCACTTTGACTGGCTGCTGCAAAAACGGGCCTTCTCATCACGGAAGGTCCAAGATGGAAATCTGTCAAAGCCATGAGCGTTTTGAGATCATTACAGGGAGTATATTCATAGAACTGACAGTCTTCCGAGAAGACATAAGCTAAAAATATAAATAATTAAAAATCATTAATGATGATCTGAATTAGAAGCTAAAGTAAATGACAGGGTTTTAGGGACTGTCTCTAACCTCCAGGGATAGATTTGAGGTGTTATATAGCCAGAATACAAGACTGGACGAGTCTTTTATTTATTTTTTGGACCCACTGTGATACGTTGTTTTTCTTGTTCTGTGGATCTGGAATGTTAGAGGGCATGAAAAGGAAGATAGTGGTATAAAAACTAGCAAGATACTCCTTAGGGCTCCTGACTGGTGACATGTGACATAGCAGAGATATCTGTGGCTGTGGGAGAGATAGACACCAGTTCCGGAATGCTGGCGGGGCACTGGAGAACACCCTGTGTTGTGGGTGGCCCCTCGTGAGCTCCCCAGCCTGGTGGGGGCTCCCCATCCAGAACCGCAGCTCCTGCCGGAGCCTGTGGCTGGTCACCTTCCCACTGATCCCCGTCTCACATCTGCATGCCTGCCAGGGGCCAGGCCGGCCCTGCCCCAGCTGTGTCCCCCACGGGCCAGTGACGGGGCGGAGGGGGTGTGAGGACCTTTCAGGCTCGCTGTGGGACTGTTTCCTTTTCAGATTGACGTTCAGGTGGATAACTATATTCCCCTCCCCCCATCTACAAATATTTTGATTCAAGTCATTTTTTAAATGAGGACTACATAAATTTGGCACTGGCGTTGGAAACTATCTTACCCTAAATCGCTTCTCTATGGGGAAGGAAAGGGGTGTGTGTTCATTACAAAGAATAACCCTTACTGATGTCATGCCTTTGCCAGTTGTTTTTCTTTTCTTTTTTAAGATGGTTCATACTTGAACTAGTTCAACGATAGATGCTGGTAATGGTACACAAGGTGAAAGAAACTTGTTTTAACTCACGAGGTGGGTTTAGTGGGACGTTTCGGCCAGGTGTACAGGACTGTCCGGCTGCGGGTGACTGGGTGACTTTTTTTTTTTTTTTTTTTTTTTTACAAGCAACTGATTTCACTATTGTTCTAATGCCCATTTTCATGAGTAGTTAATTGGTCATTGTTCAGTCATGTCATTGGCAAATGAAGTCATCTCACCAAGACTTTTTCTCTCGGTCTCCAAGTTGGACACACTTAAAGAAAACAACCTGAGAAACGTGGAGGAGCTGAACAAATCCAAAGAGCTTCTGACCGTAGAGAATAAAAAAATGGAAGAATTCAGGAAAGAAATGTAAGTCTGTCTCCTTCAGGAGAAGTTGTAGAACTTTCTTAAAAATGAAAACAGTGCAGATTATTATTTTTTTTTAATAACTGGGAAGTCCATGAAGCAAACATTGTCACCCTCCTCCCCTCAAATGCTGTTGCACCTGCGAAGTAGCCCCTGGGGCTCATTGTTCTAAGTCAGAACCTCGGGTGCTGGAAAGATCACAATGAGCTGTGTGCTGGCTGGTGATCAGGACCCTGGGGATTCAGACAAGACTAATGTCGAACCTCAGGAAGATACAAGTGGAGCCAAGGTTTTGTAATGCAGTATAGGTCCATGAGAGGCAGTCTTAATGCTTCTCCATGTCAGACCCTTTATTAGTAAGTCCCTCAAAACCCTTTTTTGTAGGGAAGAAGAACAGCATTACTGAGATTCTCAGTAATCTTGATTTTTAAGAGTAATCAGATCTCTGGCATGGAAATTAAATGAGCAAGCCTTTTTCTAATCAAGATTTACCCATCAGACTATTGCCTAGACTTCAGGCATGATAGTTAGCGTGCAGATTTCTTTTTGCTCTTCCATTCTGAGCGCTATACCGCATCAAGTATGTGGAAGTAAAACATTAAGCTGATGGATCTGGTGGACATTTGAGTATGTCCTTCAGGCTGCGTACAGTGACGCTAGGAGGGACACAAAGACGATTCTATGTGGTCCCTGCCCTCCAAGGGTTTATATTATCTATTTGTAGTTCCGATCAAAGAAATAGGTGAGATTCCAACGAAACCAAAAGCATCACCTCCAGACTTTCCTTCTGAGTTCCCATCCTCAATGCCATTTGTTGATGAGGCTTGACTTAAACTGGTGTACGTCTGGTTCCCCTGGGAGTTCTTAAAACCCGCCTACAAATAACCTCACCCGAGCTGCTCATGAGGCTGGTGATTGGTCCCTTCCTCCATCTTGGTTTTCATGATACTTCTCTAGATGTTCAGACAGTTTCCAACAATTCCACGCACACCAATTTATAAATTCACACGGGTGATGATGGCCATCAGGAGAGGCTTAAACTTTTTGGCCTGCCAAAGCCCAGTAACACAGATAGTGGTCACCATGGCAGGGAAAATGAATTCAGGATCAGTGCAGAGATGGTGGGGTTGGTGCAGATCAGAATCCCCCACCCCCACCCGCCACCCCCCACCCCCACGACACCAGAAGTTCTAACCTGGAGCATTTGGAGCACTGAGTTTACTTTAGTTCATTTGTGTCACACAGGCAGCTGGTGAGGGAGGGTCTGAGCAGCAGGAGAAGATTCCCCAACCAGCCTCCCACTGCCATGATCCCACCTCTGGGCTCTGTGGGCCATACTAGGTAACGGAGGGGCAGGGCCAGAGTGGGCCTCACCGAGGGCTCTGGAGTTAGATAGACTTCCTCCTTCCTGCTATATGACTTCAGAGTCTCTTGTCGTGGTCATTCCATTGGTCTAGTGTTTAAGTGTTCAACGTCCTTGCTAAGTCATGGTGTCATGTCACCCACCCTCTCCTAAGAGAGAATGGTTTCTGTGCCTCTTCCTTGAACGACCCCATTGAAGGCTGAGAGCTCAGCCTCATGCCTGTGGAAGTAGAGGGTCAGGAGCCAGAAGACAGTGGCCCCTGCTGCGGCCCCTCTGACCAAGGCCTGTCTTCCTGCCTGGAGCCGAGCCCCCCAGACCTCCGATCCCTGAGGGCAGTGGTCCAGGTGAGGAGCCAGACCACAGGGTGGACAGAGTCTAGGCTGCTTTTAAAAAATCCTCACTGAGGATATGTTTTCATTAATCATTTTAGAGAGAGAAGTGGGGAGAGACAAACATCAATCGGTTGCCTGCCATATGTGCACTGACCAGGGATGGAACCTGCAACCCGTGTATATGCCCTGACCCGGGATCAAACCCACAGCCTTCGGTGCATGGGACGATGCTCCAGCCAACCGAGCCACCTGACCAGGGCTAAGCAGTCTAATTTTTTGTCTTTATTCACCTGGCACAGTGATAAATCTAGGATATATTTAGTATGGCACTTTAATAGATTTATGGTCAGTTCATAAGTTGAATGTTTACAAATCCATATTAACAATGTTTGTTTGCGCCCTGGCCAGTTTGGCTTAGCGGTTGAGCGCTGGCCTGCGGACCAGAGAGTCCCGGGTTCGGTTCCTGCCAGGGGCACATACCACAAAAACAAAACAAACAAACAAAAAAAACCAATGTTCATTTGCCTCAGGTTTATACACTTTTTAAAAAAATCCTCACCCGCGGATATTTTTGCGTTTATCTTCAAATAGAGTGGGAGGGAGAGAGGGAGGAAGAGAGAGAAACATAGATGTGAGAGAGACACATCGACTGGTTGCCACCCGCATGACCCCAACCAGGGCCGGGGACAAACTGCAACTGAAGTACATGCCCTTAGCGGGAACCGAACCCGGGTCTCTCTCATCCGTGGGCCGATGCTCTAACCGCTGAACCAAACTGGCCAGGGCTATTTTGCCTCAGGTTTAAAATAGACCTTCTTCTTTTCTGTTTCAAGATATCTTGTCATGTAGAAAGGAAAGTAGCTTTAAAAATTGTTAGAAGTATATTTGTAGGTATTTTCAGAACTATTCCTTAGCACGTTTCCAGGAATTGGGCTACGAGAGCCTTCTTCCACTATAAAGTGCATATACCTGCTACTCAAAAGGCAAAAGGTGTTTCTGGATTCAAACCAGGTCTGTTTGCCAGTTTGAAGTCCCGTTTTCTTGCTCCTACAACTTACTGACTTTATTACTGGAGGCAAATCTTTTCAGTTCCCTGAGCCTCTCAGTCTTCTCTTTAAAGTCCAAAAAATAACATGAGCCTCCTTAGGGTCGCAGGGTAAAACGAGAAAACGTGCATGAGAGCATTTTTGTAGATTTAACACATCGAACAAATACTTAGGACATTTTGATATTTCTTAGCTTCCTTGTTTTAATTGTCCTTGCTGTGGGCTCCTGATAGACACCAAGGATTTTAGAAACTTTAAAAGATGAAAATCTTGCCCAGCTGGTGTGGCTCAGTGGATGGAGCCTCATCTTATGGACTGAGAGGTCCCCATTCCATTCCTGGTCAGGGCACATGCCCGGGTTGCAGGCTCGATCCCCAGTAGGGGGCGTGCAGGAGGCAGCCGATTGATGTTTCTCTCTCACATTGATGTTTCTATCTCTCTCCCTAAAAAATTAATAAAAACATATTTTTTAAAAATAAAATGGAAGATGAAAATTGTTACTAGAGAAAGAACAGGATCACGTCACTCACAGGCCACACCAACGTTGAGCCCCGACTTCCCTAATGAAGGCAGTGACCACACGGGAATAGAAGGTTTGGCTTATGATTTTGTCATAAGTAAAATCTTCTATTTTGTCAAGAATTAATGGGTTTTAGACAGAAGATGAACTTTAGCTGTTGTGTGTGTGTGTGTGTATTTTGATCCATAGTTAAAATGAATGACTAATTACCTGAGGCTAAAATTCCCTCTATCTGTGTAAAACGCCAAATTTAATGTGCTAAGAGAATTGTTTTGTAGATTTGTTCCCCTGAATCTTCATGAGGTCATCCCACTATGCATATTATAGGTGGATGGGGAATTAAAAATCCAGAAAACCGAGATGCCAGGCACTGCACCCATTAGACAATCGAAGGTAAAAATAGATGTGTGCATGCGTCAGCGGATGGGTTCAGACCCAGATGACTGGACTCAGAATTCAGCTCCTCTGACAGCTCACCGAATGGAGCGTGGCCAGCACAGACTTAAAATTCATAATTGCATCAAAACGAATATCCAGTGACCAAATAAAATATTTTGAATGCCCACATGTGAAGGATAGCAATTTGGGAGGTATACTTTGGATTCATTTTAATCTTGGAAAGATGCTTAGTAAAATAATACTTAGCCTGCTCACGTTTTATGTGCTGATAGTCATGAGCAGGCTGTGTTTTTTTTTTTTTTTTTAATTTACTTTTAATTACAAGTTAGCATTATGGAAGGAATATAGTCAAAATAAAACACCTGTTACATAACTAGAAAACTTCATTTCCTTTGGGATTACACCTCTAGTTAGCCCCAAAATATACCGAGATTCATGCCAGCTCTTGATTCTGACAGATACCAACCAACGAGACCATTAGATTTTTATTTCTGCCAGGAAAAAAAAAAAAAAGCAGATTATAGATTTGGGCAGTCAGCACCGAGGACCTGGGCAGCAAAGTAAATCCCTTTTCAACAGAAATAGGTTTCCGTATAATTTTCTAACGGGCATAGCCCTAAAGACAAATACTGACCGTTTTCACTTGTCATTTGTTTTGTAGTAACAATGCGTTTTGTGCGGGGAGTGTTCAGAAGTGAGGTCAGTGTGGGCTGGGCGGCGAGAGGCTGGATGCAGTTAGATTTTTTAAAATGTCATGGTGGGTGGCAGTCCCCCTTCCGCGAGGTTAGAGGCGGTCAGCCCTCCTTGCCGCCTGTTGTTACAGATCCCATCAGGCACGTGACCCAGATATATTTTCCTCGGTGCTGTGAAGCCGGTCGTCTCCCACAGTTTCCTTGCCTGTCTTGTTTCTATGGTAACCCTGCACCCACTGTCCTTGCAGAGAAGCCCTAAAGCAGGCAGCAGCTCAGAAGTCCCAGCAGCTCTCTGCTCTGGAAGAGGAGAACGTGAAACTCAGCGAGGAGCTGGGGAGAAGCAGGGACCAAGTCACGAGTCACCAAAAGGTCAGTGGGCCTTGGGCGGGCGTTCCTGGCTCTGCCGCGCTCAGGTCTGCTGCTGCTGCTGCTGCTGCTGGCGGGTGCACTGCTGGGAGGCAGCTCCCGGGGAGTCCAGGTGGTCGGGGTTTCCCGTTACCTGTGCCCCCTCGTTTCCGGGTGTGCTGCTGCTGCAGGGCTGAGGGTAGGCTTAGGCGTAGGGGTGGGGTGAGGGTAGGGGTCATGGACAGGCCCATAAGGAACCGACCAACCCTGGGCTCTTGCAAGCAAGTAGAAAGTAAGGTCTTTGTTCGATGAACTTACAGCAGTGCATTTAAATGGACAGGGACAATGTCTTCTTCCTACTACAGCTCAGATTTTAAAATTATTTTCTCTTAAGATTCTTTTTCTTCTTCCATTAAAATTGGTTTTAAGGAAACAGATTCCAAGAATGTGGTTTTGGTGTGAGGATTGGCAGCTGTTTTTAAATAGAGTTCTGCTTTACTTTAAATACATGTAACAGTTCCTAAAGGAACTGTGCACATCCGTGCACCCGTGTGCACTGGTATACGGGATGCATGTTACACCAGGAATGAACACTGGCCGCAACCCATTTGCTTCTGTGTTTAAATCCCAAAGGTTTCTGGCAAGTTTATTTGACACTGAAATCAAACAGACGTTAGAGAATGCTGTATCCTGCTCTTTATTCTTGAACAGCTGAGTCAAAGTGCTCAATTGTTAGTCACATTTCATGTCAGAGCAGAGCTCGAAGTGCCGTTGTGCAGAGAACCTGACTGGGTAGCAGTTCTGGCTTTGCATGTCATGGGGGAAGTTTCCCCCAGCATTCTTTACAAGCATCCATTCTCACTTGGGATGGAGTAGTTTGGGGTTAATTGTCTAGAGTATCCGTGGATGTGGTGCAGTGTGGTGAAAGCATTTTGTGGGGAGTTGACTTCAGATTTTGTTATAAAGTCTTCGTAGCTTCCCCTAAGTTTGTTACTTCACGAAAGAGAGGCCACGTCTCCAGCCTCCAGGATGATGATGATGATGCCGATGATGCCGTTGGCGATGGTCGCTCATCTCTGCTGGGACTGCTCTGTGACAGGCACAAATGAGTGACAGCTGTCATCTCACTCATCTGCACAGTAATTCCAGGAGACAGCGCTGTCATTGTCCCCGTTTGTAAAAGGGGACGTGGGAACACACATCAGATTGTAATTGTCTCAGCCTCACTCAGCTAGTAGTGTCGGGAGCTGTGTGTCATCTTCTGGTTCGGGCCAGGAGAAGGATCCGAGCGGGCTGGCTTCCGCGGGCGGCCGCACCTCCTGTGGTCAGCATGAGAGAAGTTGGAGTTCGTGAACGCAGAAGCCTTCCGACCGGAGGCTTTCTTCCCTGGCCCAGACCGGGGCGTCCGAAACGTCGGGGAGCTCGAAGAGCAGCGTGTCTGCAAGGGTGTGCGCGGGGGGGTCTCGGCTCAGTGCTGTGCCTGCCCCCGGCCTCTCCTCTCGGCTCGTTGACCTCGTCTGGTGAAAGAGTGGTTTCCGCAAGTGGGAGGGACACGCAGAGGTCATCCTCTCATCTTAGGTTGTGACCTTCCCGGACTGTTGATTACGTCTCTGTTTCCGTCACCCGGACCCAGAAAGGATTCAGAGGGAAGCGGGGTGCTGGGGCAGAGGTTCTCAGGCCTCCTCTCCAGCCCCTAAATCTTCCTCCTTTGCGTTTTGGGATCTGGATCACCTTCCTTTTGAAAAGGTTTTGTGACTAAAAAATTTCAAAAGCAGTGACTTTGAAGAGTGTTGGAAAAGAGCAGCTGCAGAGGGACCGCTAAGAAAATAACTTCCCTTTAAGGAAGGGGTGGGTGCCCTTCGCAGCTTTCTGTGCTTTACTCGGGAGGGCCCAGTGGGTGTGCCTACGGCCTCCTAGGCTTCAGCTCGGGGTGGTTTGCTGATCACCAAGGAAGAGTGCAGACAACTCTTCCGCTGCTGTGCACGTCTGTTATCTCAGACACACGTGGATACTGGCTGTGGAAGGTGGAGCGGTAGTAGTTTCCATTCTTCGTTAGAAACGCGCATTTGACCCGATTGGCAAGCGGCCCCGTGTGTCCCCGTGAAGAAGTATTTTAGCAATGGACAGGCTCGCCTGTTTGCTCCTAGTCCTCTGGAACAGAGCGGACAAAGCCAGACTCAGAACCCACGTGGGTGCACCTGTTGTCTGCTCTCCCTGTCAGACAGTCTCCTCTCCAACGAAAACCGCGCCTTAAGTCCCCTTTCCCAAATGGGAGTGTTCATTTCTAAGGGGGGCGAGGCGCGACAGCCAGAATCAGTCAGGATCGGGAGAGGCGGAAGCGCTTGATTTGTCTGGTGACAGGACTCTTTATAAAACGTCACCTGGAGCGCCTGGTCTTTCTTTTAATATTTTTTCTTTATTGATTTTAGAGAGAGGAAAGGAGAGGGAGATAGGAACATCGATGAGAGAGAACATCGACTGGCCGCCTCCTGCACGCCCCCCACTGGGGATCGGGCCCACAATCTGGGCATGTGTCCTGACCGGGAATCGAACCTGCGACCTCTAGGTGCAGGGTCAGTGCTCAGCCACTGAGTCACACCGGCTGGGCTGCCTGGTCTTTTACAAGAGAATAGCCTAGATTGAACCCCATGAAAGTGCCGTTGTTCCGTAGTTTCATATGGTTCAACTAGTAAACGCAACTTACGTTTTTTGGGTGGCTGACTGTTACGGAGATGGTCGTCATAATGACTGTTGGCTGTTCACTGTCACAGACTGCTTCACGTTGCATGTGTGTGCGTGTGCATGTGGGAAGTGTTAAAATACACATAACGTAACATTTACCGCTTTAACCATTTCACAGCGTACATGTCAGTGGCTTTGGTGTGTTCCCATGTTGTGCGACCTGCTGTCTAGCTCCGGAACAGTGGCCTCATCTCCAAAGGAGACCCTGCTCCATCCTCCCTCCTGCCAGCCCCTGGCAACACTGATCTACTTTCTGTCTCTGATTTGATTATTCCTGATGTTTCATATAAATGGCATCAGACAGCATATGTCCGTTTGTGTCTGGCTTCTCTCACTCAGCATTGTGTTCTCACGGCTCCTCCACATTGTAGCAGGCGTCCCCGCTTCATTTTTTTTTTTTCATGGCTGAATAGTATTTTATCGAATGGACATACCACCTTTTTTAAATCCTCACCTGAGGACATTTTTGCATTTATCTTCAGATAGAGCAGGAGGAAAAGAGGGAGGAAGAGGGAGAGAGAAACGTTGACGTGACAGAGATACATTGAGTGGCTGCCACCCACACGACCCCAACTGGGGCTGGGGACACATTGCAACAGAGGCACGTGCCCTTAGTGGGAATGGAACCCGGGACTCTCAGGTCCGCGGGCCGATGCTCTAACCGCTGAGCAAAACCGGCCAGGGCACATCCCACCTTTTGTGTGTCTGTCCCAGGAGTTTTACATCTTTCTCCGTTCTGATGGACACCTGTCCCTCCTGCTACTGCCCACAGCTGCTACCACCAGTTGCCCGTTTGGATCTCCTGTGGGTTGAGAAACCCTCTTTTCCTTAAAAGCAGTTCTGAATCTTGCCATGGCATTCACACTTACAGCCCCAACTCTTGCTTATTTTGATTTCCAAACTTTTTTTTTTTTTTTATCCTCACCCGAGGACATTTTTCCAATTTTTGTACAGATAGAGTGGGGGAGAGAGAGAGAGAGAGAAACATCGACGTGAAAGGGACACATCGAGTGGCTGCCACCCGCACGACCAACCAGGGCCGGGGACAAACTGCAACCGAAGTACATGCCCTTAGCGAGAACCGAACCCGGGTCTCTTCGGACCGCAGGCCGACGCTCTAACCGCTGAGCCAAACCGGCCAGGGCGATTTCCAAACTTTTAAAGAGAGAACGCATTCTGTTTCCTGCCTCTATTTCCCACCCCCTCCCCACCGCCGTTTCCTTCCCACCCCTGCAGTCTGCTCGTGGCTGCGCTGCCGCACCGCTGGAGTGGTCCTACCCGAGTCACCGCTCACCTCCAGGGGGCCCAGAGCGGGCGTCCTTCCCGCCTCTGAGCACCTGGCACCGCCACCTGCATTCTTGGTTTCCTCTCGCGACTGCTTGTGCTCTGTTGGCGTCTCCCACCGCACCTGGTCCAGTCGCGGGGCTGCTGTGGCATCTCTTCCCCCTCCCCGCGTGGTGAACTTCCCCTCACTGTCAGAGGCCCGCCTGACAGGTCGTCACCTGCCATCTCAGAGTCCCCCGCTTCCTCTCTGCTCGTGTGGTGGTCGCCGCAGCTGTCTTCCCCGCGGTGCTCGGAGCCCTGTGTTGTGTTGTTTTCACGAGTGTTCCTCACACGGGTGCGCAGGGGTCGGAGTCGTAGAGCAGGCTAGGCAGGCACGAAGGATGGAGTGAGCGTGCTGTGTTAGCCATGCTTCAAGTCTCTCCTTAGAGAAGGGGTGCGGGGCCGAGACTCTCCCACGTCCTCACGTGTTCCATGTTCCACGGCCGGGCCCAGGCTGTGCTGCAGCGGGGTTGCCAGAGCCGGTCTTACACGAGCGCGTGCGTGCAGCTGGCGGACACGCCCTGTGGATTCAGGCGGGGTCACAGTTTCTTGAGGAATGGAAACCATTCAGAGCATTCTCTCTTTTCATAGGGAACACTAAAACCATCATCATCATCATGTGAGTTCTGTTCCGATAGTCATCGTAGGGAGTCACTTCCGACGTGTCTGATTTGTCATTCCCAAACCTCCCGTGGACCCCCAGGAGGGTCGCAGATACTCCGCTGTCACTATGGGAACAGGGCTGATTCTCCCCTGGTTACTGCTGAATGAGGTTACCGTTTGCCTGTGGAAACTGGACGGGGTTAGAGACTCAATCACGTATTTCATCCACGCGCTGCCTGGCAGAGGTTAGAGCGCACGTAGCAGAGAGAAAACGGGGGTTATCGTCTAAACTGAGGCATGACTGGGCCCCGGCCAGGTAGCTCGGTTGGTTAGAGTATCATCCTGATACGCCAAGTTTGAGGGTTTGATCCCTGGTCAGGGCACATACGAAAATCAACCAATGAATGCATAACTAAGTGGAACAACAAATCCCTCCCTCCCTCTCTCAAATCAATAGATAAAAATGAAAAATAAATGGATAAGTTGATGCATGAGTGGTTGCCTGCCTTTCAAATAAGCCTGAATTCCCACACACGGATTTTAGAAAGAGGATGCTATTTTTAGCTTGTCGTTTTAGGAGAAATGGTGATCATCAGCCGTGATCATTTTCACCTGGGTTCAGGGGCGTCAGGGCAAGTAGGGCTGAGGGAAGCTGGACCACAGACTCTGTCCCTTACCATCTAATGAAACGAGCACACTCTTCTGATGGTTAAAAAACGTCTCCAGGAAAATCCAGCAAAGCCGATCAACTTCATGCTGTAAACCTTAGAATTGACAACCAAGGAAAACAGAACTGTGGTTTGACACTGTGTTCACCGTGGTAAGAGCAAGGAAAACAAGTAGCGCAGTCCTTAGAATTTTCACTGTGACTCTCCCTGACCTCGGTCGTTTCAGTAAAGGAACCAGCACGTTAACAGTGACGTTCTCATTCATTGGCTGACATCCACTGAATGTCTGAGGTGCGGCATGTGCAGTTCAAGTGTTGCCGTTGAATGTTTTTAACTCTCAAGTTCATGATGAAGGGGAGCCACTCAGGTCATAAATGATTTGTAAACGAATAGCTGTACATACATCCTGTGATACAGTGCCAATGGCGTCAGCTGCCCTGGAGCCTGGGAAAGTGACCCGTGGCATGAGAACCAGGCCACTCCGTGGGCTCGTTAGGAATTGAACTTATTTGTGCATTCTTTTCCAGGCGGAAGAAGAGAGATCTGTGCTCAACAATCAGTTGTTAGAAATGAAAAAGAGGTAGGTTTCCTTTTCCTGTTTATCGTTGGCATGTGTGTGAGTGCGTGTTTAATAAGGAAAGGGTTAGACCGGGATGTGTACGGTGACCTGGAGAAAACCTGCGCCATCGCAGCGTGATAGTTCGGTGCTCATAACTGACAAATGACGAAGCTTCGCTTGCAGAAGAGTCAGCATTAACTACTGAAGCAAAGAGTAGCCGAATGTCTGAGCCATGTCCAGTGCCTCCTTACTCAGAAGTGTTCTAGGATCAGGTTGTCTCATGTGAGCCTGATTTATTTCCCTCCTGGTTTCAGTAACTGAAAACGCTCTCATTTTACACGGAGTCACGGTCTGCGTACAGACACTGATCTCCATTCCATAAAAATTCTGACTTTTTCGGTAATAACGCACCCATGACTGTTTCTCTGTTTACTCAGCCTTCCAGTACTTTTGAGCTAAGGCTAAGCGGGCCCACAGAAATGATCGTTGACACCCTTGCACATCCTGGCAGTCCGTCAGCTCTTCTAAACTGTGACGTTTGTGTCCAGAGAAATTCAGAATAATAATGAAATAAAATAGAAAACAAGAATTCTCCACGCTCCTGCCAAGTATTCTCCTCTCGTTTGTCAGGGCAGAGGGGCTCCTCTCCCCGGGCCGCTGCACCCGTTTTACGTGGCAAGGCCGCTGAGGAGCTGGGGGCTGGGCTCAGCCCCAGGATATTTGGGTTCCATAAGCGACATTCTAAAGGACGTTAGGCCTTGGTCCAGGGGTGCCTTTCCTCCTGTCCTCCTTTAATTAAGAGACACTTAGATTCATTCTCTTTTAAAGTTTCACACCAGAATGTGTGTTTGGCACTGCCAAACCCCAGGTCCAGCCAGGTGTCTCCAGATGACCGGCTGGGCTGCCCTGCTCACACCCAGCTCCTTTGTGCCCACACAGCCCTGCCCACGTGGGCCTTGGGGTGTTTATGTTTACACCCATAAGGCTTTGTTTCTTTAAAAAGAACCTCGTGTATGCAGTTACCCAGGCCATTCCTGTGCCGCTCTGGCCAGGGGCCGTGTAGAAACGGCTGATGCAGTGCCGGCGTGTCCCCTTCAATCTACTTCATAATTCACAAGTGTCCCTAGTCTCAGAGCAACCCAGTGAAGTGGACAGCGAGGCGTGCATTGAAAAACGATGAAACAAAAGCCCAAATAGTCGGCACCTCGGCCAGGAACTCGGGTGCAGGCCTAAGACCCCAGGTCCTCAGATTCTTGTGTCGGTTTTTGTCTCGCTGTACATTTACTTATTATTACTTTTTAAAAAATGTTTATGATTTTTTAGAGAGAGAGAGATGGAAACATCGATGTGAGAGAGCTACATAGCTGCCTCCTGCACGCCCCCTACTAAGGATCGAGCCCACAACCCAGACATGTGCCCTGACTGGGACTCGAACCTGGGCCTCTCAGTCCATGAGACGATGCTCAATCCACTGAGCCACACCGGCTGGGCCTCCTTATTATTACTATATATATATATATTTTTTTAATTCTCACCGAGGATGTTTTTCCATTTATCTTTAGACAAAGTGTGAGGAAGGCGGCGGGGGGTGAGAGAGAGAGAGAAACATTGGTGTGAGAGAGACATATCGAATGGCTGCCTCCTATACGACCCCGACCAGGGCTGGGGACCCACGGCAACCGAGGCACATGCCCTTGACCGGAATCCAACCCTCAACTCCTTGGCCCGTGGGCCGACGCTCTAACCACTGAGCAAACTGGCCAGGGCTGTTATTATTTTTAAAGGGAAGAAGCTATTTCCTTAGTCCTTACCACACGACTCACTGTATCACATGCCTTTCAAAATGTGATTGGGCATGTGACTTTTTTACCAACTTTAAAAGGTGGAACAACTTTGGGGACCAGTCCACCCCCCTGCCCCCATTTTAGGTGCTGGATATGTTTAGGGGAACGGCTCTGAAAAATTACTCTTGTGATCAGTAAATGCAGATAAAGATGGTCATATTTTCTGGGAGTAAAAAAATTTTAAATCTAGTTTCTCATATTTATAGCTTTTGGGGGGGCGGTTAAATTGTTAATTAACACTCAATGGGAAGTTATGTCTGTTTCAGAAATCTGAACGACAGTATATATTTGAGCTAATAATTTGGACCCTAAATGCCTTCCAAAGTCAGTTTGGTAAAGGATTTGTATGTAGGTCTGTGTGTATAATAGTGAAGTAAATTTAACATAGCGTACTGAAAAGAATTAGATACATTCTTAATTTAAAAGTCTCGAAAGTAAAATCATAAAGACATTTATTTGAAATGTAGTTGTTTAAGCAAGACTTGAGATCTTAGTCAACAGTTTAATTTAGAAGTGATCACCGAATATACATAATCAAGAAAACCTATGGTTGCCTTGGTTACATTGAAGTCATTATCCCAAAGTGCAGCTCACTCCTCACTGGAGGATGGGGCGGACCGCGTAGCGTTAAGAAATTAGTAACATCCTCCTGTATTTCGATGGCTCCTGGGTATCTAAACATTGAATTGCAAGCAATATGTAGTGAAGATTTGTCTTTTAAAAATGTAATCATTTCTTTGGGAAACCGGTCTCCAAGTTAGGCAGACCTTCAAATCAGGTTCCGAGGCGTCTGAGAGGAAGGCAGAGCCAGGCTTCACCTGCCGCGGCTCACAGAAAGGCGAGGTGTGCCCACTGACCCCAAAGCCTGCAGCAGGTCAGGGAACTCGCTTGGCTCCCCTCCCTCCTCCAGGCTTTGTGAGGTCAGAGAAGGGACTTCAGAGCCCTGATCTGAGAGGGGCACTTGTTGGAGTCAGTGTCGTGCTGTCAGGGTGAACACGAGATTGCTGCCAGGGCTAAAAATGGGGTGACGGTTCTGTCTACAAGTCCTGCGGAGGTGCCGTGCTGCTCACTGTGGGTGGCTGGCTGACTGTGTCCGAGCTCCCGCTGCTCACCGATGCTCATCTCACCCGTCTCTTTTCCCTTCCTACTCGCGCTTCCTTGCTCTATCTGTGTGTCTTTCATGGTAAGACTGAAGAAAGTCTATCCACGTTATAATAAATAAATTTCATATATTTTTTTAGTAAACCAAATTGTTGTTTATATTTTTTTGGCTGCCTTTGTCCTTCTGTTGTCTTGCTTTTGTTTTGTAAAATAGTCTCAGCAGAATAAACACACACACACATTATCTTTCTTTGTACCTATATACAGCAAAGAACTTCGGTGCAAAACTTAGTTCTCCTGGCTGATTTGCATTTCTCTTCATGTTTCTAATATTTGGTTCTCGTTATCTTGCATTTTTAAGGCTTGCCCAGTTACACCTTAAGGTATTCGCTTCGTTACTAGAATGTATTTCTCACGTAAGTAGTAAGGAAAGAATCTGGCTAGTATGTTCCCTCGGGGGAAAGATTTCTGGCCCCTCTGGCCCTTCTTTCATACGATGTTTATCTTCCCTTTTTGGTATTTTGAGTAACGCCAAGTCATTCTAGTTAGCATGGCTTAAAAGTAACACAGGCCCTCCCGCTGGTGTGATCGGTGACCCCGAGGTCAGTGATGTTGGCGTAAATGGCTTACCTCAGCCCTGGGTTTGCACAGTGGGACTGGGGCTTAGAAATAGCCTAAGAAGCCAGCAGTGAGGATCTCACAAAGGTGAGCTGCCAGCGTCCGTGTGTCCTGTCATTTGTCACAGGTTAGATCCCTTCCTTAACCTCGCATCTTTTGGTAACTCGTACAAGAAACATTCTGCTTGCCCTCTTCTTAGAAAGCAGCCTTGCTCAGAGGCTGCGTGTCCGCGAAGATGAGCAGATAGAGATGCCTGTGCCTTCCTCCTCCTGCCAGCTGTGGTCCCCGACACCAGGGATCTGCGACATCTTGGCTGGTAGCTGGAGTCCCGATGACGGAAGAACCTAAATCTGCTTAATAATCCCCAAATCCCGGTGTTTTTCGGGAAAAACATTTAAAGTCACGTTCAGATTTGAGTGAGATTTATAACAAGTGAAGCTCTTGAAATAGGTTTTACAATAGAGTCAACTACCGGGTCAGTTTATTAGAGGCTTCAGGAGCCCAAGCTTGATCGAATCTCTGCATCACATCAGCCGCTGGCTTTCCAGGAGGAGGAGTGTCGGTATGTTCCATCCGTTCAAACCTTCGCTTTGTTTTGACCCGCACAAGATCCTACTTTCTAGCAAGGTGTCCCTCACTCAGTAATTTAGCATCACCGGTGCCCGCCCCCTTTCCAGTGTACATATAATGCTTGGGTGTTGGGTTCAAGAAATTTCTGTGAGTCTCAAATTCTTTTCTTACTACTTATCGTTCTGGAGTGTTAAGTGTAAGCCACACAATGAGATAAATACAACACTTATATTTTTATCTTTGTGTAGGATTTCAGTTTACCATAAATCATGAGAATCCTGTAGTTTGTGTGCCGGATATCTTGGGTCTCACTAACCAGACATTCACACTCTGCCATTTCTAACCTGGGCCTCAGTTTCCAATTCTTCCCGTCGGTCTTGAAACAGACGAAGCCGTGACACGCTCTGCACGGGTCCAGTTGCTTCTAGTGGAACTGGGAGTGATTGGCTCGTTAAGTGATGAGCTCTCGCTGATGATTCGCTCCATTCATGAAGTGTCTAGGTTGTATGGCCTGAGGGCCAGGTAGGAAAATTTTCTGCAGTTTTGTTTTTTCCAAAATATTTTTGTGATACAAGGTCTTTTTCCTCTTGTATCACACTGCATGTCATTAAAGATAAACTTTTTATTTTAGAATTATAGGTTCACAGAAGAGTTGCAAAGGTAGTTCAGAGTGTTCCCACGTGCCCTTCCCCCAGATTCCCCCACAACGTGTGAACATCTCACATTCTCTGGCACATTGATCAAAAGTTAGAAAGTGACGTTGGTACATACTCTTAGCTAGACTCGAGACGTTACTCAGATTGCCCCAGTCTGTCCACTAACGTCCTTTTTCTCTTCCAGGGTCCAACCTAGGAGACCACACTGCATTCAGTTGTCATATGTCCTTAGTCTCTTCCAATCTGTGACAGTTCTCAGTCTTTCCTCATCACTGGTGACCATGACTGTGGCGCTTTCGAATGCATGTAATTTTTCAACAAAAGTTTTAAATGCACACACGTGTAAACACCTAGCAGCCGGGCCCTTTTGGGTTGTCTCTATTGTGTCCTGCCCTCCTCCCTTCCTGTCTCCCCTTCATCTCTCCCTTTCTTTTCCCACCCCCTGCCTCCAAGGTAAGTGTTTCCCTCTCATCAAGGGCCTGGTCCCCTCCCTGTGCTGATAGCCACAGCTGAGTCAGGTTGCGAACACAAACCCAGTGCTCGGCCCTTCTCCCTGCAGACAGCACCATCTTTCCTCCTCTGCCTGGAACTCCATGTTAGCATTTCTGTTCTGGCCTCCACGCAGTTACCTTTCATGTCTATGAGCATCAACGCCCTTGGATGAAAAGAATCCCTCAGTCTGAATAGTAGCAACATTTGCTACTGTTCTGGCCCATAAGATCTCAAAAGACACATTCTTGGAACTTGCTAAAAGTTACTGAAATTAGTGAGAACCAATCGATACTTCCAGCATGAAACCGCTCTGCATGACATCGTACAATCGCTTTGCATGTGTGTATTTTAATTGTTGTTATTGCTTGGTCATAGTTTACTCCAGAAGTAACAGAATTCAGCTGGGGTTCAATATTTAGAAGAATTCCTGGGGTGGGGGGTGTGCAACAGTTTTCTTTTATATATATGTGTGTATATATATGATTTTACATCTTCCAAAGTTATTAACTTGTTTCTTTAAATTCAAATGGATACAATGATGTGCAGATTTTGGCATGTGTATGTATAGTAAACTTTTTCTCCCCTCACAGTAAGTAAAATTTGGAAGCACAGTAGCCTTAACCCCCTATAAAACCTCCCTGTGATACCCATTTTCTCCTTACATTAGCTGAAGTTACTTGCCAATTTGTTCTAGGACAAGTTGTACACTGATCACTCTCTCGGTTGATTTCTGGAATTTTTAACTCTTTGGTCTTTTAGAGAATCCAAGTTAATAAAAGACACCGATGAAGAAAAGGCTTCCTTGCAGAAATCCATCAGTATCACCAGCGCCTTACTCACAGAGAAGGACGCGGAGCTGGAGAAACTGAGGAATGAGGTAGAGTACCTCCGAGGCGACCGTTCCCGCCGCCGCCTCCCGGGGTCCCAAGTCCCAGCCTGAGCCCAGCCGCTGTGTTTCAGGTCACAGTGCTCAGGGGAGAAAATGCCTCTGCCAAGTCCTTGCACTCCGTCGTTCAGTCTCTAGAGTCTGACAAGGTGAAGCTTGAGCTCAAGGTCAAGAACTTGGAGCTTCAACTCAAAGAAAACAAGAGGCAGCTCAGCAGCTCCTCAGGTAAACCGATGACCGCGTGGCGCCTCTTCCCGACCCCGCTGCCCCCCTCCAGGAGCCGGTTCTGGTCCAGATGCACTGCCCCCTGCAGGGCCCTCCGTCCTTGGCTGTCCGCCGGTTCATTGGTTCACCGGGTGAGGCTCAGCACCACCCAGGTCCCCTGGAACGGGCATGCCTGGTATCCCCGCTTCTGGGTCTTCCCGTGGTCCTGAGTGTTGGCAGAAACAAGGTGGCGGATACTGGCTGCCGTCAGTACAGCTGTGGATTCGGGAGGTGCTCAGTGAAGGAGAACAGAGGTGGTCCCTCGCTTCCTTAAATTCAGGCGGATGTGACGGCCATTCTTACCCAGAGTGAGCCAGCCCGAGACAGAACATCTGGGGGGTGGGCCAGTGCCCGTGCAGTCCCTTAGGGCCCAGCTATGGGGCAGGAACTCACGGGCGTGTTCTCCAAGAGGCACATCTGAGAACTCCACAGAGAATGAGTTTTCATTGCATTAACAAGTAAAAATGATTGAGATTTTTTGAAAATCCCGCTCTGCTTGTTTTTTGTTTTTGTTTTTTTAATATAAGGTAATACTGATACTCAGGCAGAAGAGGACGAAAGAGCCCAGGAGAGTCAGGTAATGTTCCTTCCTTTTGCTTTGCTTACTTGCTACCTTAAAAAGTCATTGAATCTTTTGAACAGATAATATATTTATATGGTCTGAAAGTTAAGCAATATTAAAAATATTAAAGCAAAATTAAAAACTATCTCCCTCCTCCAAACCTTTCTCTTCTGGTCAGTTCCTAGCCATCCAAAAAGGTAATCACTAGTATTAGTGTCTTTTAAAAAAATCTTTTTGGGGACTTTAAAAAATGTAAATATAAGCCAAGACTAATACAGTTTTTTTTTTTCATGTAAATGGTGGCATATTACATAAATTGATCTGCCCTTATCTTTTTTATAGCTGTATAGTGTTCCATAACATGAATGTGCCTTATTGGAATTCATTCTCTACCCATTGCCATGACCTGATATCCTAGGAGTATCATAAAAAATGCTGAAATGAATTGTCTTAGATAGCTGTCATTTTGCAGATATACTAATATTTCTTTGGAATAAATTCCTAGAAGTAGAATTGCTCTGTCAAAAGATTCCTTGGTTATCTCTGCCTTAAAAAAACAGGGTTCTTCAAAACTGTTTGCTAAAGCCAAAATGAACAAAACAGCCTTAGTTTTAAAAATGGGGTTATATGGGGACAGAGCATTCTCTATTTGGAAATATAATGGCACATAGGCAACAAGCCTCCGTCTTAAGGTTTTTTTTTTATTCCTCACCGAGCATATTTTCCTATTTATCATCAGATAGAGTGGGAGGGAGAAAGAGAGAGGGAGAGAGAAACATCGATCGATGTGAGAGAGCCACATGAACTGGTTGCCTTCAGCACAACCCGACCAGGACTGGGGACGAACTGCAACTAAGGTACATGCCTTTGACCAGAATCGAACCCGTGACTCATTGGTCCATGGGCCAGTGTTCTAACCACTGAGCCAAACTGGCCAGGGCCAGTTTTGTGAGGGATTAAAAATTTTTTTTTTCTTTATTGGTTTGAGAGAGAGAGAGGAAGGGAGAAGGAAAGAGAGAAACATCGATGAGAGAGAACATCGACTGGCCGCCTCCTGCGTGCCCCTCACTGGGGATCGGGCCCACAACCTGGGCATGTGTCCTGACTGGGAATTGAACCCACGACCTCTTGGTGCATGGTTCGACGCTCAGCCACTGAGCCACACCGGCCAGGACTATTTTCAGTTTTAATAATATATTTTGGATAGATTTATCCTGTTAAAAAATCACAAGTACAAAAGCCATCTTTCATCTGTAAATAAAAGCTCAGGGAGCTGGTTTGTCGTGACATCTTCTTTAAACGGCATAAAAGGACTCGGCAAAGCACTCACGCACCTCAGTTAGCATTGTCTGCTTAGTGTGTCTGTCTAGTAAACATCCACTTAAATAACCATGTTTTCTCTTTCTCCCCCTTTCCTTTCTGCTTCCGTTTGTTTCACCTGCCGCTGCCAACGCTTTTCTTCCAATCAGCAAATGGTTTGTTTTGTTCCTAATTTGTGGTCACGTGTGCGTGTGTGTGTTTTCCCACTCTCCTTACCTCCTCTGTGTTGTGCTGTGTTCCTCTTCCTGAACCGGGGCCCCTAACTCGATGAAGTCTTAGAAAGAAGCAGCTGAAGAAGTGACACGGGCAGCCTGGGTGGGCAGCCGTCAGTGTCGGCAGGCTGTTCTGAGAGCCACGCAGCGGCGATGCCAGCTTCGATGCCAGCTCGGTCTCGCGGCGTGCCCCGCAGGCGAGCACGGCCAGCTGCTGCTTTAAAGTTGAGATGTCTGTGTGTGTACACGCGCACACTGTTTCTTTTAAACATTGTAAAGTGGGATTTTTTCCCAACAGCTAGTTAGAGAAGTGAGGCCTTTTGGTATGTGTAAAAGAGGGGAAAACGTTTTGCTTTCCCATGAGCGCGCCCTTGGATCGAACGCAGATGTCAGGACAAGGGCGCGTCCTCCGCGGTCGTCTGGTCCCCACTGTGCAGTGAGTCGGCATGCTCTTCCCAGGTGGTACCTGAGCACTGCCCTGAGCCCGCCTGTCTCCTTGGCTGAGATGGAGCCTGAGCTCCTCTTTAAAACGCCTTCATTTTTCTCCGAAGACTCATTTACTGTCCCACCGTGACCCATCAGTGAATGTGGCCTGAGGGGGATTTCCCTGAACTTTTTCAGATCTACAGACGATGAGCCGTGGATTGGTTCTAATGGAACAACTCCCTGGTTATGCTTTTTGTAAACTTCTGTTAGTGTGTGTGTGCATACACATGAACCAGAGGTTCAGTAGCAGCCCCCGTTGGCCCTCTGACGTCCAGCACTGTGCGGCCGTAGCATGCGAGTCTGCGTCCACGACGTGATGGTCCACGGCCCACATTTCAGACATCTCACGTGTTTCTCTTTTCTTTTCCTAAACAAATTAGATTGATTTCCTAAATTCAGTAATAGTAGACCTTCAAAGGAAGAATCAAGACCTCAAGCTGAAGGTGGAGATGATGTCAGAAGCGGCCCTCAATGGCAACGGGGACGACCTCAACAACTATGACAGGTATGTGAAGCCACGCTGATGAGGGCCTAGTCCCATCAACACAAATTGTGGTCTTAAAGTTAGGCTCTCCAGTGGATCAGAGAACCAGTTGCTCTGCGGGTGACTGGCCATAAGTCCATTTACATCAATGTTTGGGCACTGGGCAAGACAGTGATGCACAGTACAAATGGGTTTGACATGAACATTTTAGTTTTAATATTTTTTCTTTATTGATTTTAGAGAGAGAGGAAGGGAGAAGGAGTGAGAGATAGAAACATCGATGAGAGAAAACATTGATTGGCCGCCTCCTGCATACCCCCCACTGGGGATCGGGCCCACAACCTGGGCACGTGCCCTGAGTGGGAATCGAACTGGCGACCTCTTGGTGCACAGGTCAACGCTCAACCACTGAGCCACACTGGCCGGGCTGACATGAACATTTTAAATGGGGAATCGGTAGTTACACTTGAGGCTCCCAGACTTGGCTATAACTCTTGCTTCTTTTTTATTCTTTACAAGTGATAGAGATGAGTTTCTGATTATACACATTCACCTTTGCAGTGACGACCAGGAGAAACAATCCAAGAAGAAGCCTCGCCTCTTCTGTGACATATGTGACTGCTTTGACCTCCACGACACAGAGGACTGTCCCACCCAGACGCAGATGTCCGAGGACCCCCCGCATTCCACACACCACGGCAGCCGGAGCGAGGAACGCCCGTACTGTGAGATCTGCGAGATGTTTGGGCACTGGGCAACCAACTGCAATGACGACGAGACCTTCTGATGAAGCCCCACTGCGGGAACTGGGCTTTCTCAGGCGCACTAGCATGTGGGCAACCGAACACCAGCATCACGTGTGCAGACTGCAGGAGAACTCACGTTATTTTTGACCCCCATCAACAAATCTAAGAAAATATTTTGATCTTCAACAAATCGCTCTTTTAGTTTCCCCTTATAAGTTAGAATAATAAATACTTAGTAGGTGAGTTTTCACCTCTAATTTTGTCGTCTTGATTTTTAAGTTTTAACAAGATGTTGCACCAGAGGCCGTTACATTTACTGTCCCGAGAAAAACCTCTTAGATCAGTCCCTACCCTTCCAACACCTTATTTAAGTAACTTTAAATTATGCTGTTACTTTTCATATTTGCACTAAAATCTTTCCAGGCTGCATTTGTATAGTTAGATATTTTGGTTAAGCTTTGACACTGGAATGAGTTGAAAAAATGTGCCATTTTGCATTTTCATCTACTCATTTGAAGTATTTTATTCTTAGTCGGAGAAATACCTGAGCTGTTTGCACTACCCGATGTCAGTAGTGCCTTTACTTCAGGCTTGGTAACACTTAGGTGTGATTATAAAATCATGAAACCGGTAAAGGGAGGGGAAGCCCCCAAACTGCTGTGGGACATTTTATAATCGATATGCTGCATCCACCTACTCCACTGTGGTGTTTTGTTTATTGGTTTTGCATAATTTCAGCTTCTATATATTATATGTATATATTTTTTAAAAATCTCTATTTTGGAAAAAAACATACACAATGTGTCTTTTCAGATTTTTACCTTTTATGAAAAAGAAAACAACGTTCATCAGGACTAATGGGCTAGGCCAGAAATAGCGTCACACAGCTTTGGGACTTTTCTCTTTTTGTTTTCATTTTGTTTCTTTGTCAGATATAAATAGAACTTTCTCCTATTCTTTTCTCCTCTCCAGCAGATATCCCCAGCAGTCAATTAATTAGATAATAAGCGACTATACAACACCTACGGTAACCAATCTACAATCTTTACAAGTTGTTTTTACTGTGTTTTTAGATGAATGTATGATGAGAAATTCAACATTAATAATTTTGGATTTTCTTATCACAAAAATTAAATGAAGGACCTCAGCCACCAGAAGTTTATCAACCAGTTTTAATCTATTTATCTTAATTTGAATGTCTTCTAGAAGATGTAAAAAGTAATAAATAAATGTATCTTCCATGCTACATGTATAATAAGAACTTCTATAATTGTACATATGCATTTGATGTATTTTCCCCTCAAGATTATTAACTGTGTGTTTGACAAGTGAGAAATCTGTAATCAGTTGAAATTTTTGGTTATAAAAGTAATAGGAATTGTTTCACAAACGATATGTAAAGCAGTATTAAAATTTGAGCAAACAAATGTTCTATACCTACTTTAATAAATGGTTATTCTTTTTGTCCAGTGGTAGTAATTGATATTATTCTCAGGTTTATTTGTCATAATGTTTTTTTCTTCAAATGATCAAGTGGTATAGATCGAAGTAGCAATTTCTACTGCAGTCTTGCTATCAACAGCTTTAAGAACTTGGTATATCCTGATTCTCAGGTTAATTTGTCATAATGGTTTTTTCTTCAAATGATCAAATGGTATAGGTCCAAGTAGCAATTTCTACTGCAGTCTTGCTGATCAACAACAGCTTTAAGAACTTGGTATATCCTTTTTTAAAAAAAATGTTTTTATTGATTTTAGAGAGAAACATCGATATGACAGAGAAATGTCAATTGGTTGCCTTCCCATACATACTTCAGCTGGGGAACAAACCCAAAACCTGGGCATGTGTCCTGATGGGGAATCAAACAGGCGACCTTTCAGTGCTCAGGAGGATGCTCAGCCAATTGAGCCACACCAACCAGGGCGGTATATCAGAATAGCAAAATCTCCAAGCACTGTATATAAGTAAAACAGCTCTGTTCATCACCTAGCATCCTGGTCCTACTTAAGGATGAAAGTACCACCCAGGTCTTGCTCATACTCTGGTGTGCTTGAGATTTTACTGGCTTTGGGTAGTTTTCCTTTTATTTTTTGTTAATCCTAACCCCAGGATATTTTTCCATTGATTTTTTATTATTTAAATTTTTTTCTTCATTGATTTGAGAGAGAGAAACGTCGATGAGAGAGAATATGGATTGGCTGCCTTCTGCATGCCCCCTACTGGGAAGTTGGCCCATACCTGGGCATGTGCTCTGACCGGGAATCAAACCAGCCAGCTCTTAGTGCATGGGTTGAGGAAAAACCACTGAGCCACACCCGGCTGGGCCCATTATTTTTTAGATGGGTGGGCGTGAGGGGGGAGAAACCAGTTGGTTTCCTCTCACACCACCACTGACCGGGCCAGAGATGGAACTTGCAACCCAGGTCGATGTGCCCTTGACCAGAATCCAACCTGCAGACCCAGGACTGACCTATAACCGCTGAGCCAAACCGACCAGCGGGGTAGTTTTCCTTTTAGAGTAAGTTGCGCTCTCATTTAACAGCTCAAGACAGGGCCTGCTTAACTCAACACACCCATTCTCACAGAGGGTGCTAAAATAACACATATTCTCAGTTGAGCAACAGACCCGCACACGTGAGAAGAATCTGGAATGCAGGTGGAGAAACCACCGGGTGGACGGGATGGCATGGCACAGTCTGCGTGAGCGGGTACAAGTTATTCTGAAATCCACAGGCCTTGGATGGGATCATGACACAGAGAGTGGAGGTGTGATTATAGATGAATGATTGTTTTTCCTAAACACTCCCAAATGCCGCCCTTTGCTTACTCAGACTCCCTGGTAACTACTCAGCGAGTCTTCCTAACAAAGGGGACAAAAAATTGAAGGGCGCTTGCACTTCAATGCCAAACATTTTCAGGCCTCCCACCGGATCCCAAATAACCAGTGTCGACCTCAAAGTATTGAAACGTGCGTATCATCCTAAAACCAGAAGCATTTACTGAGCAATTCCGTCCCAGGCACCCTGATAAGCTTTTCACGTGGATCACACGACCCTGTAATTGCCCCATTCGCAAGGGACGAGGCGAGTTTGCTGATGAAGACGAGTGGCGGGGCCTGGAGTCCACCTCGGACAGTGTCTACGTGCAACACAGTAAACACCTGCTGGAAGGGCCAGGCACACAAGTCACGGAAGGTTCCTGCAGACCTTGGCCATTTTTTGTACATTTTAACCCACGAACCAAAGGAGCAGCGCACAGGACCTTTTGGATCGCTGTAACGGAAAAGATGTCCATCCACGTTTCGCCTAATTATCATTTGACAGCGAGAACGCTTGCTGCTAAGAACAAAGTGGCGATTTTGAACATTGAAAGGGGACGAGGAGGATCCAGTGGCCGCCTTTCGACTCAGTTCTCAGCGCGCGACGACTCCAGGACGGGGACCGCGCCAGTGGAGGAAGCAGGCGGCGCTAGGACCGGGAAGAGCCGCGGACGCCGGCCGGTCCGGGTTTCCGGGTCTGCGCGCGAGCGGCGGCCGTGGTCACGTGGGCGCTCCGCCACGTGACGGCGCCGAGGGCTCTCGCCCAGGGGCCTCGCGGAAGCGTTTGGATTGGGGGAAAGCGGGGCGGTGGGGCAAGATGGCGGCGCACCTGTCCTACGGGCGAGTGAACCTGAACGTGCTGCGCGAGGCGGTGCGTCGGGAGCTGCGCGAATTCCTGGACAAGTGCGCGGGCAGCAAGGTGAGGGACGGGGGTGGCGGCAGCGTCCCCGAGCCCCGCCCGGCCTGGCCCGACCCGGTCCGACCGCCTGAGCTCCGCTTGTCCGAGGTCCCCGGGGCTTCCTTCCTAGGAGGCGAGCTGGCAGGACGGATGGCGGGGCGGGGCCCGCCGGTGCGGCGCCGCTTTGCCTCCTGGCAGCAGAGTCAGCCCCCGTGAGAGCGCCGCCCCCGTGAGCCCGCTCCTGGGTCAGGTGCTGCCCCGGGACCCCGGGGCCGGCGGGGGATGAGGTCCCTCTCGCACGGCAGCGAGGAGACGTGTCGTTACAAGTCCTGCCTCGGAGGGCCCCTGGCGCACCCACACCTTGTCACCGCCGCTCGGCGGACTGCGAGAAAAGTTGGAGTCATGTGCGGTTTGAAGGCTGTGTCGCTTGTTAGACGTTTACCAGCTCTCAGTGGGATCAGAGACTGTCGATCAGGGGCGCTACGGGGTTTCTCTTAAGTGATGTTACCTCTCCCCCTTAGGGTTTGTCAGCCGCCCTCCTAGATAACTGGCAGTAAAACTCAGGAGTGAGCCTTAGAAAGAGTAGAAACCCAAGGGGTAGGGTGGGTGCCAGCAGCCACTGAGGGAAGAAGACATCTAAGTCTGAGTGCCCAGTTCATACGCAAGAAATGATGCTGAAATCTGCATAAGATCATGGGTTGGATCAATACCAATATCCTGGTGGGGAAACTGGGTAAAGCGTACAAGGGATCCTTATTATTATTATTATTATTATTATTATTGACTTTAGACAAGAAGGGAGAGGGAGAGAGAAATAGACACATGGATGAGAGAGGACATTGACGGGCCCCCTCCTGCATGCCCCCCACTGGGAATCCAGCCCACAACCGGGGCATGTGGCCTGACAGGGAATCGAACCAGCGACCTCTTGGTGCATGGGTCGATGCTCAGCTACTGAGCCACACCGACTGGACTCTTTGTCTATTTTTTTTTGTTGTTCAGGTAGAGTGGGAGGGAGAGAGAGAAAGAAACATCGATGTGAAAGGGACACATCGAGTGGCTGCCACCCACACGACCGACCAGGGCCGGGGACAAACTGCAACCGAGGTACATGCCCTTAGCGAGAACCGAACCTGGGTCTCTCCGGACCGCAGGCCGATGCTCTAACCGCTGAGCCAAACTGGCCAGGGCCCGACTGGACTCTTTGTATTATTTCTTACAACTGAATGTTTTCTACAGTTAATCTCAATAAAAATTTCACTTAAAAAAAAAAAAAGACCCTGGAATTTAGCAGTGGAAATGCTCACAGGTGCCCAGAGCAATGACCTGTTGCCCGTTAAGTCCTAAATTGGGAGTCCCGACTCCCTTATACTAGATGTGAGGTCCAAAGTCTCTATGTGGCCTTGGACATGTTAGTTAAATTTTCTGAGCCTTTTAAAATTTCTGTCAAAATAAGATTTGTACCTACATTAAAGCTTTTTAATTGCATGTATTGGATGGTATAATACTTATACACAAGAGACTAGGTTGAACTATTGCCTTTGGCAGTTTCTGTATGGTTCAATCTGATAACACCATGATACAGATACACAGCAAACTAGTTCCTTTTTTCTGTTGAGGACAGTGCTGAAGTCATCACTTTCCAGTGACCAACAGTAGCATCCCTTGCCCTTGCTGTTTTTCTTGAGACCCGAAGGATATGAATGTGATCAGAGCCTATTAAACTTTTTGTTGATTCAGAGTTTGAGGCAGATAGCCCTACTATGTATGACTGCTCTTTTCTGTTGATAATTCCTGATAGTAACCATAATAAGAGAATGTTTCTCCCCTTTTATAGGCAATAGTTTGGGATGAGTACCTCACAGGACCATTTGGCCTGATTGCACAGTATTCACTACTGAAGGTAAAGGAGCTATCTGGGTTTTGTTTAGGGATTAATAATTATGCATTTTAGCAGTATTAATAAGATTTCACATTTCCTTCTGAATAATTGGCTTATAAAGCTGTTTGGTCTCAGTAAACACTGATACTAACTTGTGACTGACATTTGGTATACAATGCTCCTTTGGCCTGTGATGCTATACTGATTCTAATTCTAGGGAAATTACCAGCATTGTATTATATGACCATTACCTGGTGTCTTTGATAGTTAATGATGAGAGTCATTTTAACTCAGATGCAGTAGCAGTGACTTCACCCTGAAACTTGTTGCTTTTATACATCTCGCTTTGGGGAGTCTAAATTTGGGTAATTAAGTATGAAGTGCATTTGGCTGGGAGTGTATGATATCTGAGTCTGGATATGATAGGCAAAGACAGGTTTTGTTTTTGTGTTTTGTTAACTTTTCGTGTGTATTTTTCTAGGAACATGAAGTGGAAAAAATGTTCACTCTTAAAGGAAGTCGTTTGCCAGCAGCTGATGTCAAGAATATTATTTTTTTTGTCAGACCCAGGCTAGAATTGATGGATATAATTGCTGAAAATGTGCTCAGGTATTTCTCAGAGCTTATGTTTGGTCCAAAAGAGGTTGGTCCTTCAGGTGGTCTTAATGTACCAAGCTCCTCATCATAACCCCATTCTCTTGCCAGGGCATTGGAAGGTAGTCTTTTGGAAAACTGAGACAGGCATGAAAGGATAACGGGGGATGAGAAATTTGTGAAGTTGTTCAAACAGTGAGGCGGGGGTCATCATATAACCCCGTTCTTTTAGAACAGCTGAATATTTGGACCTGTATTAGTACAAGCAACCCTAATTAGAAAGAACAAAAGAAAAAAAACCCTCGAATGGTAATTTTCAATATACTGAATATAATGTGCTTGAATCTCATGAGCAGAACAAGTAAGAGCTGATTAAAATTTAATACAGCATTTCTCTACAGAGGACGTTGTCCCAGTCCAGGCTGCACTCTGTGGTACAATTGATTGATGTGGCCTCTAAAACCTTAAAAGCAAATGGGCTATTTTGAGTTCACTGTTAAGGAGAGTAGAGGTGGCAGTCAAGAATGATCTTTCATTTTAATGTAAGACTGTGTACCTCTGCATTGGTTTGCTTTAAAGAGCCATTTGTTTTCAGGAAGACACAGATATCCTGTTTCAATAAACCTGAGAGCCTTAAATGCTCCATAAATAGTTTAGGAGGAAGCCAGAGAATGCATTACAGAGTCGTGGCTATGAATCAATGCTGCTTTCCCGTCAGGGAGGGAAAAAAGAGCAACAATTTAGGTCTGAAAGTCAATCTTGGTATATTTCTCTAGCCAGCACTTATTTAGTTCTGCTGTATACCAGGCATAGGACCAGGCTCTGGGAATAACAGAAACAAAATAGCCCACCACCCTAAAAAGCTCTCAGCTAACAGACATTACTTCTTTTGCAGTGAAGACAGACGTGGCCCAGTGAGAGATTTCCACATTTTGTTTGTGCCACGACGTAGCTTGTTGTGTGAACAGCGCTTGAAGGACCTGGGTGTTTTGGGCTCCTTCATTCACAGGGAGGAGTATAGCCTGGATCTCATTCCCTTCGATGGGGATCTCTTATCCATGGAATCAGAGGGTGCCTTCAAAGTAAGTCTGCTATTTTCTTTTTTAATGTCAGACTTTTACTTTTGCCAAATTTGTAAGGACGACAGTGTCCAGGCAATTGGTTTTTGTTTTGTTTTTTAATCCTCACATAAGGATATTTTCCACTGATTTTTAGATAGAGTGGGAGGGATGAAGGGAGAGAGACAGAGAAAGAGAGACCCATCTATGTGAGAGAGACACATCGATTGGTTGCCTCCTGAACGACACTGACCAGGGCCAGGGATCGAACTTGCAACCGAGGTACATGCCCTTGACCAGTAATTGAACTTGAGACTCTTCAGTCTTCAGGCTCACGCTGTAAGTGCTGAGCCAAACCGGCCAGGGCAAGACTTGTTTTCATTTGCATTTCCTTAGTTACTGGGAAGCTGAACTTTCCCATAGGTATATTAATGTTTAAGATTTTTCTTTTTAGCAAATTGCAAATTACTTGTTCATTTTCTTTGCCCATTTTTTCTTTTTGAGGAATTCTTTATATATTCAGGGTACTTATCATAGTGGGTTATAAAAACTGCAAGTATCTTCTCCCAGCCTGTGGCTTGTCTTTTTTTAAGATTTATTTATTTATTTATTTTATTTTTTACTTTTTTAATTCTCACCCTAGGATATTTTTCTATTTATCTTCAGACAGAGTGGGAGGAAGGGGGGGGTGGGGAGAGAGAGAGAAACATACATCAGGATGGGAGAGACACATCGACTGGTTGCCTCCGCAGGACCCTGACCGGGGCTGGGGACAGACTGCAACCAAGGTACGTGCCCTTGGCTGGAATCGAACCCGCAACTCACTGGTCTGCGGGCTGACGCTCTACTGCGGAGCCAAACAGGCCAGGGCTGTGTGGCTTGTCTTTTAACTTTAATTATAATACGTTTTATCATGGAGACCTTTCCAATGATAAAGTAATTACATTTTTAAATAATAGCTTTATTAAGACATAATTCACATACCAAAAATTCACACGTTTTAAAAAGTGTGCAATTCAGAGGTTTTTAGTATCTTCACAGAATTGTGCACCTATCAGCACTATTGAATTTTGGAACATTTTTGTCACCCCAGAAGAAACCTGCCCATTCACAGTCACTCCCCATCCCTCCCTCCCCCAGCTCTGGCAGTCATTAGCAGTCTGTATGAATCTGCTGATTCTAGAGATTTCTTTTTTTTTTTTTCTTTTCGATTTAATAAAGTTTTATTTTTCAAAATGTACACCGGGTAACCTGTTGTTCACGCATCTTCTCCAGCAGCTGGGGCGTCCCCACCTTTTGTGTTCCTGGTGTAAATTACTTGAGCTCTGTGCTTGGAGACTAGTTTAATAAGCCCTTTGCTGAGCAGCTCCTGAAGGGCGGCCCTGGCCAAGGAGCCCCGGATCTTCAGTGGCTCGGAGACCACAGCCGGGTTGTGAGCTTGTAGTGGGAACCTCCTTGCAGAGCTTGTCATGTCGCCTTGTCGAACAGGACCAGGTTGTTGAGCTTGTCCCGGACTTTGCCTTTGGACCACTTCTTCTTCTTGGCTTGGCCCCCGGACTTGTTCACTGGGTTCTGGTCTTTCTTGGCCGACTTCCCGGCATCCTTCTTCTTGGCGTCCTTGGGCGGCACAGCAAAGCCCCGGGAGGCCACCACTGTGGCCTCCACAAGATGTCGGACGAAAAGCCTAGAGATTTCTTATCAATGAATCTTATAATATGTGGCTTCTTTCTTCGCATAATGTTTTCGAGGTTCATCTGTGTGACAGCATGCCCCAGTACTTCATTGATTTTTACTGCCAAATAGTATTGCATTATAATGATGTCCAACATTTGGGTCATTATTTGTCTATGATGGACAACTGATGCCTTTCCACTTTTTGGCTGTAATGACGCTGTGAACATTCATATAAGGTTGTGTGTGTGCGTATGTTTTCATTTCTTTTAGATATACTTAGTGCAGTTGCTGGGTCACATGGTTAGACTCTGTAGTTAGCCTTCGGAGGAGCTGCCAGGCCGTTTCCGGAGCCGCGCCGTCTGACACTCCCACCAGCAGTGGGTGAGGGTTCTGGACTTGCATCCTCCCAGCACCTGTGATTGTCTGCCTTTTACCTGTTGCCATCCTAGTGGGTGTGAAGTTTTATCTCACTGTGGTTTCAACTTGCATTTCTGTAATGATTAATAATGTTGATCATCTTTTCATGTGCTTATTGGCCATTTCTATGTCTTTTTTTTTTTTTTTTTTTGAGAAATGTCTGCAGATCTCTGGTGCATCTTAAAAATTGGGTTTTTATTTTTTCATTATAAGAATTTTTTTATTGACTTTAGAGAGAGAGGAAAGGAGAGGGAGAGAGATGGAAACATCGATGAGAGAGAACATCAATTGGCCACCTCCTGTATGCCCCCCACTGGGGATCGGGCCCACAACCTGGGCATGTGCCCTGACTGGGAATCAAACCGGCAACCTCTTGGTGCCTGGGTCGATGCTCAACCACTGAGCCACACCGGTCAGGCTCATTATAAGAATTTCAAGAATTCTTAATATGTTCCGGATGCAAGTCCCTTATCAGATATATGATTTGCAAATATTTTCTCCCATTCTGTGGGTTCTTTTCACTTTCTTGGTGAATTTACTTTTTTTTCTTGTTGCTGATGGTTTGGGGTCATATCTAAGAAATCACTCCCTGATTATGGTCATGAATTGATTCCTGTTTTCCTCAGAGTTGTATGGTTTTAGTCCTACATTTAGGTCTTTGACTCATTTTGAGTTCATTTTTATCTGATGTGAGGTAGGCATCCAGCTTCCTTCTTTTGCACATGGATATTCATTTGTACTAGCACCATTTGTACTAGCACCATTTGCTGAAAGACTATATTTTTCTTGTGAATTGTCTTGATTCCCTTGTCAGAAGTCAGTTTCCATGAATGTGTTCATTTCTGGTGTCTCAAAACATTCATTAATATGTCTGTCTTCCGCCAGTCATACTGTCTTGATTACTGTAGCTTTGTAGTAAGCTTTGAAATTGAGAGGTGTGAATCCTCTAACATAAAGTAGTTAAATATTTCACTTTTTTTTCTTTCAGGTTGTGCCTTTTGAGTCTTAATAAATCCTTCTTCACCCTGAAGACATAGAAAACCTTATATTTTCCTTTAAAAGTTATTAAGTTTTTTTTCCTCTTTATTCATTTTAGAGGGAGAGGGAGAGAAAGATAGAAACATCAGTGAGAGAGAACATCAACTGGCCGCCTCCTGCATGCCCCCCATTGGGGATCTGGCCCACAACCTGGGCATGTGCCCTGACCGGGAATCGAACCAGCAACCTCTTGGTTTCTGGGTCGATGTTCAACCACTTAGCCACACCGGCCGGACTTTTTTTTTTTTTTGCCATCTTTATTTCAAAGAATGCTTTCTCATTAGAATATTATTTTATCTTTTAGAAAACTTGAAAATGTTTTGTAAACATAAACTGCACATGGAAAATTTCTAAGTCTAAAAGGGCAGAGTGAAAAGTAATCCACTCTCTACTCGGTTCTCAAACAGCCGATTCCCTCCCAGAAGCAGTCACTAATTCTTTTTGTTTTGGGGGGATGGTTTACAGAGCTACAGCTCATAGTACACATAGTACCCTCCACTTGTATTCACATGGCAGCATCTACTGGATAACTTGGGTATCTTGCTTTATTCTTTTAATAATATATCTTGGAGTCATTTCCTACTGTATGTGAAAATACTTTCTTATTCTCAATTAAAGCTGCATAGTGTTCTATATTTTGGATATACCATAATTCATTAAATCAGTCCCCTTTCGAAGGATAACTTGTTTCTCATCTCAGGCTGTTAGAGGCAGTGCTATGATGAAGAACCCCGGACTCGGGTCCCTGTGCACGCGGGCCCTGCATCTAGGGCTGTTCTTTGACATTTGTCTTTTGATTTTGCTTGGGTAGTTTGTGCCGAGTGTGTTTTCCTAATGTAATCACATCTGTCTGTCTCCTCTGACTTATGGGTTTGTGACCCTGATACTGCTGGTCTAGAGACTAGAACTTTTGAGAACCACTGGTATCCTGCAGAAAAATCATGTGAACCTCTTTCTCCCGTAGCATGTTGGTACCATGATCACCACCTTAAGAGTTAACTTGGGTAGAAATCAGTGGCACCAATGATTAATTTTATAACCAAGAGAGTCTCTGGGCTCTTCTTTTTTTTTTAACCACATTCCCCATTTTGTTGCTTACACTAAATCTCATCCAATGATGGCACAGATTTTTCCTCAACATTTCTTAGAAGACATTTCAAACATACAGAAAAGTTGAAAGAATTGTACAGGGAGCACCCTCATACTCTTCACCTAGATTCTGGAATTAACATTTTGCTGTATTCACTTTGTCACGTATCTATAACAGTATACTCACATAATTAATCCCCGTCCGTGTAATTAATATGAAGTGGTAGCAGCTGAGGAAAGCGTGTCCCGGCGTGACAAAACCTGTCCAGAGGCGAGAGTTCCTGTTTGTTTCACCGGAGATTTGCAAAGAAGGGCAGAATTCTTTTCTGCTGAGAGCTTCGAGTCCTGGACCTTGTGTGTTCATTTAAGGATTCTGCTTAGGAATCAGATTTTGTCTGGAGGGTAAAGCCAAGAGTTCTACCTAGTGTTAAATTCAACCCTATTTCTTACGGAGTTACATTTTACTTATTTGTGGGTTGTTTTTTTTTTTATCCTCACCCGAGGACATTTTTCCATTCTTTGCTCAGATAGAGTGGGAGGGAGAGAGAGGAACGGAGAGAGAGAGAGAAACATCGACGTGAAAGGAACACATCGAGTGGCTGCCACCCGCACGACCAACCAGGGCCGGGGACAAACTGCAACCGAGGTACATGCCCTTAGCGGGAACCGAACCCGGGTCTCTCCGGACCGCAGGCCGACGCTCTAACCGCTGAGCCAAACCGGCCAGGGCTATTTGTGGGGTTTTTAAAGTGAGCATATCTGAGCCTTTCTTGGCGTCAGGAGGCGCTCTGGATCTTTCTGGGCTCTTGGGATGTGGTGATGGTCGTCTCCATCGCTGTGCTGTGCAGAATGCGGGAATCAGAGTTCTTCCCAGTTTAATGCTCGGTAACAGTGCTAAAAATATCGTGACCTTCATTTGTGTACATAAAAATCAGTATATATAAAATCTATCTTCTTTGTAAAAAGTTTAAAAACTAACTTTGCAAAAAAAACCAAAAACCTGTTTTGTTTTTCACACACACACAAAAAAAACTAACTTTGGAAGTTCAAAAACTATGTGCATTTAAATGTTAATGGGTATCAGCACTTGGCCCCTAAAATATCCTCCTGGCCTTAAATGCCGGTGGAATCACACGCACACAGAATAGAGTTGGGGCATTAATGCCGAGATCAGCCTACCGCCAGTGATACTAGAGTAGAAATCCAGTATCTGTTGTTAACTTTTATGTCTTTTTTAAAAGATACAATTATTTTTTTAAAATGTCTTGGTAGTAATACAACTTTTAAGTTAAAAAAATATATGAATGTTTTTTTGAGAGATGTTTCCTAATATTTTTTTCTTGAATTTTCATCTTACCTCTGCTCCAGTCGGGAGTTTTAAGTAATTTTGACAGAAAGTATGTCTTTAGACATTCTTGATTTGGCTTGTCATATTCAGTGAAATAGTAGGACACAGGACTTACGAGCCTTCCGCTCTCTTCCTTAATCCCTCCTCCATCCCTGTCCCCTCCCTCCTGGCCTTGGAGACCAGAGATACATTGGCATTGGTACAGCGAACCATTTTGATTTATGAGTGGGTGATGGTTGTAAAAAATCTAAATAATTTCTAATAAAAGCTAACATTTATAAGCACTGAATTCATGTCTTAGGCACTAAACATAAAGCTGGGTTTATCTTTTCTGTTAGTCCTTAGACTTCGTGGAATATGCTCCCATCTGCGGAGGAATAAATCGAGGCACAGCGAGGTCGTCTAGCTGGCCCGGGGACCCGCTGGGAAGTGACCACGGGGGTCAGATCAGGGCACCTGAGTGCAGAACCCGGGCTCTCCCTTCCGGTGTCAGAATTGATCGCTTCCTCTCTCATTTCTCAGCTGGTTTTGTGTGTATCTTTTTAGCCTTTATTATGATGCACACAAAAAAGTATATATTTGTATAGTTTACAAAATACACTTTGTATGTTTTATAAAGTGAAATATATTTTCTAAGAATGAGCTCACACTTGAAAGATTGTCCAACCATCTCTTTTCCTTTCTCACGATGTTACGGGTATTGTTTGTTGTTGGTACATAGAAAGCCTGCCTTGTGTTTGTAAAATTGCAAAGTGTTGTGTTGTGTGATCATCTGGGACATTGGGGGGTCAAAGAATACATGTATTTGTGGGTATAGCATGTGGCCCTCCCAAAATGTCCTACCAAAGTTTACATTGACCACAGCAAGTGAGACAGCCTATGTAAGTCTTTATTAATCGGTCATCTGTTCAAGAGCTGATACACTAAGAGTTGGCATGCCTGGTGACCACTTTTCTTCTGGAAGGTTCTTCCCCAGGAGAATTGCTTCCACAGCTGTACCCTGATAGCTGAGCGTTAGCCTCAGGGCCTAGAGTACCAAACAGCAGCTTCGTAAGAGGGATTTGAGCCCCATCTCCAGCTTCCCTGGTCCTACCCACTGCCCAACCCCAGTGCTGGACAAAGGCGGGCACCCCATGACGGTGCCTGACAGTAACTTTCCCTTCCTCCCCACAGGAGTGCTACCTGGACAGCGACCAGACCAGCCTCTACCACGCAGCCAAGGGGCTGATGACCCTGCAGGCTCTGTATGGGACGATCCCCCAGATCTTTGGAAAAGGAGAGTGTGCCCGGGTGAGAAACACTGGTTGTCTCTGGTGGTGAAGGAAGTGGCCCCCTAGTACCCAGAAAGAGGGAACAAGTCAGAAATCATTTACAAACAAGTCCTGTCAATAATCCTTTTTATTTGGGGATTTGTCTACTTGCTAAAACGTATTTGTAACCCCAAAATCGATATTCAGTGTTTTGTGGACATGCCCACTCAAAGCAGCAAAAAGTTGCAGTTGCCCGGTGTGCATGTTGGCAGCCGAAGTCAAAGAAAGCAATGCTCTGCCCTCTTGTTTCAGCTCCTGCTGTAAACAGTGTCCTTTCTGCCACTAAATGGGGCCACGCGCTATATAACACATGTTTTACATTCTTGGGCGTTGGGGTGAGTTTGCTGCTGAAACAGCCCTGTGCGCAGTGCTGAGCGCCGTCTAGATCGCTGAGCGCAGGACGGCTGTGACGAGTCGGCTGTGACGAGCCTCACAGAGAACCGTGTGGTGGGTCAGCTTCATCCAGGGGGGCGCTGTCCTGTTGGCTCTGTGTTCAGTGTTAGTGATCAACAGTGTATGTTTAAACAAAGTGTCTCTAAACAGAAACACATTAAACAAGGTTACATGCTGGCCAGTTGACAATGTGACCAGAAACTGGCAGGAACCTCACCCCGTGTTTCCCCTGGGAGCAGTGGCTCAGTACTCGCTAATCCCTGTTTATGGTGACTTTATAGAACAGACCACCAGGAATCACACACACAGACTGTTCCTCATCTTGTGCCTCATTGAGGAACAGCTGCCTTTGGCCACAGTGTAAGTGTTGGAACGGGTGGCCAACAGCAAGTGTTTTTCTGAAGCTGCTTATTTCTTAATCTCACTATTCCACAGTTTTTCTCTTTTTATTTTTAAAAATTTTTCTGATTGTCTTTCTGTTTTTAGCTGAATCTTAAAATCTGCTCATTCCCAGGAGGGTCCCACCTGATGCAATGTTTTGTTTCCAGCAAGTGGCCAATATGATGATCAGGATGAAGAGAGAGTTTACAGGCAGCCAGAATTCCATATTCCCTGTTTTCGATAATCTCTTGTTGCTCGATCGGAACGTGGATTTGTTAACACCCCTTGCCACGCAGCTTACATACGAAGGACTCATTGATGAAATTTATGGCATTCAGAACAGTAAGTAAAGCTCCATCTACTTTTATGAATAGATCACCTGATAAAAATATCCAGATCATTTTTTTTAAGGTACTTTCTTTGCATGTAAATCAGAATATTTGAAAATATAAAAATACGGCTTTTGACTTAGACGCTAGAGGTAAACAGCGTCCATGCAAACTGTTAGCCACACCAGGGCTGGCCTGATGTGTAGTGTGAGGGCTGTGCTTGTCCCCTGTGAGCAGAGGCCTGGGGTTAAATCCAGGTGGTGCTGCAGTTTGGAGAATACGGACACCGTGGCCAACAGTCGTGCAGGAAGCTGTGGGAGAGGCGGCCTTGGGGGAGTTTGGAAAGAGGAGTCGAGTTTCGAGGGGGTGCTGGCGAGGGGCAGGCAGCATAATCAAAGCAAAGAATAAGGTGACCGCCTTGCTAAAGCAGAGACATAGTTGGGGACATCACTCTGGGGCAGAGGTTGATATGGGCAGTTGGGGACACTGGCTGGAAGCTGGAAGGCCTGCGGGAGTTTAGGCATGACAGATTATTGGGTCAGAGGTCACAGATGTGTTTGGTTTGGTGTTGGCTCACTGATGTTTGGTTCTGTCGGTGTTTAAAATTGGAGAAAATCTTAATAATAATCCCGATTTATTTATTTATGGTCAGAGTGTACTTTGATCAGGGGAAAAATCAAAACCTCGGTGCTCTGCACCATGTTTTTGGTAAAGGCGGGGTGGCTTACATGTCTCCTGGGGAGGAAATGCTGTTTCGTGCCTGCGCGCTTGAGTGGTTCTTCCAGGAAGGACACACAGGTGCTCGTTCCCATCCTGTTGTCCAGGTTATGTGAAGTTACCTCCAGAGAAGTTTGCACCCAAGAAACAGGGCGATGGGGGTAAGGATCTTCCCACGGAGGCCAAGAAGCTGCAGCTGAACTCGGCAGAGGAGCTGTACGCCGAGATCAGAGACAAGAACTTCAACGCGGTGGGCTCCGTGCTCAGCAAGAAAGCCAAGGTGATCTCCGCAGCGTTTGAGGTGAGACGGTGTGGTCACCCTGCTGCCCTTGTCACCAGCTAGGCCGCCTGCCCGGGAGGACGAGCGCTGCAGACGGGCACAGCCATGAGCAGGGCTCCCGGCGGTGGTCTCCCTCGTCCTCAGACCGCAGACTCCGCTGTCGGAGGACCAGAGTTTCTCCTAAACTTTTCCCCAGGCCCATGAGAAAAGGTATTTTGTTAAGTTTTGCTCTCCTTTTTTGTGGGGGAGCAGTGTTTGCAGTTTACAAGCTTTTGTCATAAATATTTGTTTTCCCTCCTTTTTCGTTATTTCCTACCTCACATAAGAGGAAGCCAGCTGTCCTATAAATAAAAGATCCTCTGTAATAGAACTTGCAGTTTGGGGTGAAAACGCCAAGTTTGGGCAACATGCCGGTGGCAGAGGGCCCTGCAGACTGGAGGGTGATAATGAGCGCAGAATCCTCAGCGCCTGGGGCTTAGGAGTTAGCGGCTTCATTATCACCTTCCTGCCGCCTCCTGCCCGGTCTCTGCTTAATTCTGGGTTAAGCTCAATTTTGAAATGTGGGAAATCAGTGTGAGAATAGATGGAATACTTAGACTTTAGAAACGTAAGTTTGGAGAACTTTGAAAACAAGTTTTTCACTGACTTTGTATTTCCAGATTTCATTTTTCTTAGGAATTACATTCTGTATTGATTTTCATCTTTCTGCAGTTACTTTTGGTTTGAAGGATTCAGTTTTTCTCATCACTAAGCGAGGTTCACTTTGTTCATGGACAATATTCAAGATTGAGACTCAGTAGAAAGAGTGGATTTTTTTCTTCCTATTATAGAGGGAACTTTCTGGTATGCATGTTCCCCTCTTAATGTAACATTTTTCTTTGTAGCTTATCCAGTACTGTCCCCCACAAATACTCAGATGCACATAAAATACTGTCCACAGCATGAGCCGGTGCCTCAGAAGAGGAAACCGTAGACATTTGCTCTCTGCAGAAGTACATGAACCGGCACCATGAACTTACCTTCTCTGCTTTACTGGGTGATGCTGGTCTGGCCTTCTTTCTTTCTATCCCATCCTTTCTGTCACATTGAAAACTAAAGGTCCTCTGAGCAATACAAAGAACAGAGCTGTAAACAGTGAATATCTTCCCCTTCCCCATGGTTCTGCCATCCTGCCCACTTCAGGAAAGGCACAACGCCAAGACGGTGGGGGAGATCAAGCAGTTCGTCTCCCAGCTGCCCCACATGCAGGCTGCGAGGGGCTCGCTGGCAAACCACACGTCGATCGCAGAGCTAATCAAAGATGTCACTAGTGAGTATCTGGGGCGGCGATGAGGCTCATCTGGGCCGCCTTGCATGCCCAGTGTCCGCCACCGTGGTCACGGCACCACCGTGATTCTCCATGTTAATTAAGTGCACACACGTTCATAGTTAAAAGTGTGCCATTTGTGGTTAACACATTTCTTTTGATTATTAAAATAATGTTATGATAAAATCTTTGGAATATTAATAAGAGGGGAAAAAAAGTCTTTCATAAGTTTGCCACTAATATGAAGCAGTTAATTTAGGTTTTTTTCCTGTTGTTAAGGATTATTTAAGTAGATGTGATGTTTCTGTTTCTGTTTTTGTGTTTCTCTTGAAAACTTTTTGCAGAATTGGTATATAGCATATGGTGAATGTTTTGAAAGAGCTTGGATGGTGTATATTAAACTGAAGATAAGTTTATTCATTAAAACCCAGGCTGTAACAGCTGCCTAGGAGATTGGTCAGTGAAGTATACTTTGATCTTAAGTATAGCACAGTGTTGGATGGAAATCTTTGAAACTGGTTGAATATGGTGTTGAACTACGCTGAGGAAATTAGCTTTCACTGATACTGAGGCAAAATTTTTGAGATCCAAATTTGAGTTTGGAGTACAGTAAAGGGGTACGGGGTCAACTATTGTGGATGTAACTTAGGAGTACAGGGTTATAGGGTTTCCATGCTTTTAGAAGATTCTGGCCAGGTGACAGTTGCAGCCTTTTGCTTGCTTACTTTTTGGCATGTCTTGTTTCTTAAGCATGCTTTGTTCATAAAAGCACATCGCTCAAATAAATGGACATTTATTTAATTCCTAAGTTGCAAATTTCCTAATTGCGTTTCAGCTTCTGAAGACTTCTTTGATAAGTTGACAGTGGAGCAGGAGTTTATGTCCGGGATAGACACTGATAAGGTGCGTGAGCAGTCAGACTGTCTAACAGATGATGGGGACTGAAACGTAAGATTATGGCCAGAAAGGCAATGGCTTCGATGCCAGTGTCTTGCTTAAATATTTTTAAGAGCAAATACAAAATGTGAAAATACCATTTTATCAGGTAACAGGTATTTAATGTCACTCTGTGGAGGGTACTTTTCTGCAGTACACAGAGAGGTGAGACCTAGCCTCTGTAATCAGAGTTTTAAGGTCTGTAAGAGACAAATTAAAATGTTTGCTTTCAGAGGGAACTGGTCATGTACTTGCTTTACATATTCACCTCTCTGAGTAAATTTTAAATGATTCAGTTTATGAAAATTTCCATCTTCTAAAAAATATTCCTGTTTCTGGTAAATTGCTGCTTTACTGGGATAGACTAGGTCACACTAGCCTCTCAGGACGTTGTCCACAGAGACGGATGAGCCCAGGACATCTAGATTGGCGAGCGTGTCCTCGCCGGCCTTACGTTCCTGGTCACTGGCGGGGGGGGGGGGGTGGCAGGGGCTGGAGGGGGCTTAGGAAATGTGGGGAAAAGAGCCATTTTCCCACATATCTCCTTTCTTTGATTTTGAAAAATAATAGTACATGTCAAGTCCTTGAGCTCCCCAAACCAGGTGCCGGTGTAGATCTGTCTATACTTTGTTTCCAGGTCAACGGTTACATTGAGGATTGTATTGCCCAAAAGCATCCTCTGGTCAAGGTGTTAAGGCTCATTTGCCTCCAGTCAGTGTGTAATAGTGGACTGAAACAGAAAGTGTTGGATTATTACAAAAGAGAAATTCTCCAGGTCAGTATATTTTTAAATTACTAATTTACCAAGGGAAAAAACTTTTTTTTTTTTGTTTAAAAAAGACTTCCAAAATCTCCTATTTTGGTATATTTTTTCTACCATCTTTTAGATTTTTTAACACCTAGAAGGATTGTCCTTGGTGTCAGTCATTGTTTACTGTGTTTGCAAAGTAGTAATAGCTAAAGTTTATTGAGCACTTACTCTGTGCCGGGCTCTATTGGAAGAGCTTTATAGGTAGGTATTCATTTGTTTAATCCTAACAACAGCCCTGTGAGACATCCTCATTTTATGGATGATAAAACTGAGGCACAGAGTGGTTATGTAACTTCCCCAAGGTCACTCAGCTTGTAAGTGCAGAGCCAGCTCTAAAACCCAGGCACCTGAGGTCTAGTGCCTGTGCTCCTAACCAGTTTTCAGTTGAGGGAGGCAACGTTTTGTAAATTTCTAATAATTCCTTGGCAAAATTACTTAAATCAAGCCTGTGTTACCTTATAATAAGGAAAAGCTGACCATTATTTATTTTTAAAATTCTCTCCTCTGTTTGCAAATGTCTCTGGCAGTATTTATTTGCTATTACCAGTCACAGTTAAGTATGTTATTGTTAAATCTAAATGCTCCTTCAATTTATTGGCTTTTGTCCTTTTAAAAATTATACACATAACACATGTACCCTTGTCATGTGATGCAGAAGTATATGGGGCAAAATGTGAATGTCCCTGTACCCGCTGTCACCCCCACTCCCTGCCCAGACAGGACCATGTCAGAGGTTGGGTTTGCTTCCAGACTGCCTTCTCACATTTATACACAAAGAGTGTTTACATGCCCAGCCTGTGGGCCGAGGCTGGCAGATCCAAGTCCCAGCTGTTTTGATTAGCTGTGTGACCTTGGACAACTTCCTTACACTTCTCTGTAAAGTGGAGATGATAGTAATATCTACCTTGTGGGGTTATAATAAGGATTACGGAGTTAATGTATGTAAAGCACTTAGAACAGAATAGTGCCCCCTACATAGAAAATTTTATATGAGTGTTGGCTATTATTATTTGCTTCTAATAATTTTCAACAGGAATAAAATTTTTCTCTGCACATAATATTTTGTTATTATACTTTTTGTCTTAAGAATGTTGCCAAGCCCAGCCGGTGTGGCTCAGTGGTTGAGCCGATCCATGCACCAAGAGGTCTCCGGTTTCATTTCCAGTCGGGACACATGCCTAGGCTGTGGGCCAAATCCTCATCGGGGGGCCTGCAGGAGGCGGCCAATCAATGTTCTCTCTCATCGATGTTTAAATCTCTCTTTCCCTCTTCCTTCCTCTCTCTCTAAAATCAGTAAAGAAAAGAAAAACTTTAAAAAGAATGTAGCCAGGATTTTTCTTATCAAGATGTATAGATCTGCCTTATTCTTTTTGTATAGCTAATTACATCCCATATAAATATATACTGTACAGCTGACCCTTGAGAATTGCTGGTGTTGAATATTCCCATATAACTTTTGACTCCCCCAAAACTTAACTACTAACAGCCTACTGTTGACTAGAAGTGTATGACAACACGAACAGTCAATTAACACATTTTGTATGTTCTATGTATTATGTACTGTATTCTTACAATAAACTAAGCTAGGGAAAAGAAAATGTTACTAAGAAACAGGAAGAAAATATATTTACAGTACTATACGTATTTAGTGAAAATAATGCATAAGTGGACCTGCGAAGTTCACAGCAGTGTTCAGGGGTCAACTACAATTGATTCGATGCTCACTAAAGTTGGGCCCATAAATTTTGACTCTAACCATGTTAAATCCTTCTCTGAAATAATGAGCTAGATTAATTGCGATGGGCAGGCGGTTATAGGGCAGGTTTCATCCCCTGTCCTTTTCCTGTGCGCACAGACCATCATTACCTGGACCTTAGTGACGTGCCCTGGAGAACAGAACAAATTGATTTATTGGAAGTGCTCTTTTTTAAAGGCTCAGAAACCCTTTTCCTGATCTGACATTCAGGCCAAACGACTTCTCTTGCAGACATACGGCTATGAGCACATCTTGACCTTACACAACCTGGAGAAGGCTGGCCTGCTGAGACCACAGACGGGGGGCAGAAACAATTACCCAACGATCCGGAAAACCTTACGCCTCTGGATGGATGACGTCAATGAACAAGTAAGGCACCCTCCTCACATCAGCTCAGTTACTGGTTAACAGTCTATGGCGACAACATAAGCTACTCAACCCACACATCTATCTTGTTTTCTAAAACCAATTTTCCAGTGTTACGAAAAAGTGGTGCGTTTGTGTATTATATCTGTCAGGATCCCAGCAGGAAACGGGGTACTTTGAGGAGAGTTTCATAAAGATGGGGGGACCAGTGAGAGGCAGTGCAGTGGGCAGCCCTTACCGGGCAAGGCCTGAGGGCAGGAGAGGGAGCTGCACCGGAAACCTGCTCCAGACCTGGACAGAAGAGTGAACGGAGGGGCCGTCTAAGAAGACGGTGAGAGGCCTCTGGTCGAGGGGCACAGCCAGCCTCCAGCCGTGTCAGAAAGGAAGCCAGGGCAAGTAAACCCGACCTCCCTGCAGCCCGCACTCCCATTTTTATCTGGTGCCTCCCATTGGCCCAGCCCGAACAGAAGGCGTGGAGCGTGTTGGGACAGAGCCTACAAGTCTGCCTCCCGGGCTCAGAGTGCTGAGGAGAAGGGCAGGGAGGATCTGGAAGGTGCCCAGACATGCTCCGTGCAAAGTCAGCTGGTGCAAAAGTAAGGTCCCGTCCACATCTAACCACAATTTCTCCTCGGAAGCAGCTGTTGTGAACCCCAGCCCATTTTTGTGTTCTTCCAGAAAGCTTTTGTGTACATGCAAACACTTTGGCATAAATGCTGCATGTTCTATGCCATTGATCAAGCTCCATAGCAAGCGCACTGGGCTCCACGTGTTCACTCGCTCTTCCTGAACTTCTGTCTCTTCTTTTCTCTCTCGGTTGTCACAAGGGACTTTCGTAGGCTGCCTCTTGCAACAAAAGCTATTAATTAAACTGTCTCCTCTGTCAGTAGCAAAATTGAGTTCTTTTTCCCCAACTGGAATATAGAGACTTGATTTCTGTGTGGTACAGTGTAAGTAATAACATGAGTTTGGCTCTCTTCACGGTTCTGACCTGCTGCTCCCCACCCCACTCACCATGTACACTGTCTCTTAAAGATTCTTCTGTGATCTGCCTCATTTTAAAAAGTTCTTTGTAATTGCTACATAGTGGTTTTTCAGAATACACCTTATTTTGTATTTTAACAGATTTCCATTGCTAGTAATTCGGGCTGTTTTCGGTCTTTTACTAGTATAGACGATGTTACAGTTACTGTTTGTGCCTTGGTCTAGTCTTTCCTGGTGTGCCAGCCCCTTTAGGAAAATGCCTAAAAGTAGAATTGCTGGGTTCAAAGGTTATGCCCATCGTTACTCAGGTAGAGAGTGTCAACTTACCCTCCAAGTAGTTTTGTGCCAAACTAACCATTTTTCATCTTCAGTACCTAGAGATGCTTAGTGGAACTTTTCTTTTTTTATTTATCCTCACCCGAGGACATATTTCCATTTTTTGTTCAGATAGAGTGGGAGGAAGAGAGAGAGAGAGAGAAACATTGATGTGAAAGGGACACATCGAGTGGTTGCCACCCGCACAACCCAACCAGGGCCGGGGACAAACTGCAACTGAGGTACGTGCCCTTAGCGGGAACCGAACTCAGGTCTCCCTGGACCTCAGGCCGACGCCCTAACCGCTGAGCCAAACCGGCCAGGGCTTTTTTTTTTAAGTGGAGCTTTTCTAGATGTCAAAAGTGAATCTCTGGCTGCCAAGATACGAGGGTTGTTTGTGGTTTTGCCGTCAGAGACAAATCAAATAACTTCAGGTTCCCGAAAGGCCACGGTTAGGTGGCTCTGAGTCTGTACCTACAGGCTTTCTCCCCTTTCCTTGTGTAACAGAATCCCACGGACATATCCTATGTGTACAGCGGCTACGCCCCTCTCAGCGTGCGGCTGGCCCAGCTGCTGTCCCGGCCTGGCTGGCGGAGCATCGAGGAAGTTCTCCGCATCCTCCCAGGGCCCCACTTTGAAGAACGGCAGCCTTTGCCCACGGGACTGCAAAAGAAACGTGCGTCTAGCCGGATCCGCAGATCCGTGTGTGTCAGTGTGGTTTTCGTGTGTTATGCAGGTGCTTGCGAAATACGTCTGTCAGGCTTCGGAGTCAGAGTCCAGTACACCTCCTTTGTCAGCTCGGGAACCCACTATTCCCCCAGGGGTAGCAGCTTTCAGCTCCAGGGTTGAGGGAAAAACAGTAGTGAGAAAAAAAACAACTGAAAGCAAAATTGTGTGCCTGAGTTTTAAAAGAAGTGTTGGAGTAAGACATGTTTGACTTTTTTTTTTTTTGGCCGTATGAATGATGCAGTATTTTAAGGCGTCGGAAGAGGAGCTCTGCTAATAAATAACTCTTAATTCTGAAATGTCTCCATATCAGGTCAACCGGGAGAAAACCGAGTCACCCTGATATTTTTCCTCGGGGGTGTGACCTTCGCTGAAGTCGCTGCTCTTCGCTTTCTCTCCCAGTTGGAAGATGGGGGTACGGAATATGTCATTGCCACCACTAAACTAATGAACGGGGCCACCTGGATAGAGTCTCTGATGGAGAAACCTTTGTAGGCCTTTGAGAGAGGACAAAACAAGCGAACTGCAGAATAAACTGCCCCTTTGGAGAAGTTGCTGGAGGGAAGTACAGCCCCACAGAGGAATAACAAACAGGAACGCAGAACTGCCCTTGGGGTCAGCCTCTTGCATTGTGCTGTTTTCTCCCCTCTGCTTCTCTTTTGTATTCCTAACTTCTTGATGAAGGAAGAACAGAAGAGACAACCTGGGTAAAGAAATACCAGTTTTCAATATTCCAAGCTCAGGACCTTTGCTCGAGACCTCTGGAAATAATGAAGGATGGTGGGGATAGGTCATCCACACAGCCGCACCGATGGGGCCCATTCTTCAAATAAGGAAGCAAGGGCCAAGCAGGTAAAAATGAAAATAAAAGTAGGAAGTGCAACCCCTAACAAGTAGAGCCACGTTTCTTGAAGTCACGTGCCGAGGGCAGTGATTAGGTGTTGGGGGCTAGAGCCAGTGTGACCACCGGGTGAGATTTCTTCTTCCTGCAGAGCACGGCGCGTTATATTCAGTGCATCAGCCTCTTTCTCACGTGATCAGGAAGGCGGGTTTTGATTCCTGTGCTTTTGATTTCTTGCTTCTATAAAACAAGAGGTTTAGGGGAGGTTTTTCCCCCAAAACCCAGTGTATAATCTGTCCATTTAGCTACATCTGTGTGGCTTCTCACCAAGGGCTTTGTACAAGGAGAAAGGTAATACTTGGGGAGCAGCTTCCTGATACTTTAACAATCAAGGACACTTTCTTAGTGCACGTTATTAACTCCAAGATCTTTCCATGGTAGACGCTTCCATTGAGATTTCAGTTGTCTTCCCTGCCCATTGTGGGCCCAACACCCAGCTGGCCTTGCTCTGCGCAGTGGCGCCTTTGCTTCTTCAGCGTCTTGCAGCTCCGTCTCCCTCCTAAGCGCCACATGGACCTTCCGTAGCAGTCTGTGGCCACTCACACTCAGCCTCTTGTGTTTGCTCTGCTTGAAAACACTCGGCTTCGTGCCAGTCCCTGGTCTGGTGACCTTGAACTCCTCTGACGCAGCTTGTGGGTGATCTTGGAGTCCAGCGGCCACAGCTGCCACTCTTCCTGCAGGGGACTGCTAGGCCATAGGACAGGGCTGGGGTGCAGGTGCTCCATCCCAGTGTCTGGAGGAGTCAAGGCCAAACTGATGGTTTCACAGCCTTGTCCAAGTCTCTGGCAAAATGAGCTGGTCCCCTTCTTTACAGAGGGACCAAAATGAGCGTTGTCCCTGCCTAGGTGTGGTTTCTATTGTTAATTAGTAATCATACGTGTTTTTCCTCACTTTTTTTTATTAGTGGAATTTTGTGAGGCACATTGCATGTTAATGAAGTGAAAGAGAAATTCTGTATTTAAAAAAAAAACAAAAAACTCTAAGAATGAGGGGTAGAAGAGGTAGTATTTAAAAGATTCACTTGTCCTGGGTTTAATTTGGTCTTGGCATTCAGTATTTGGAAATGGTCTTAATGAAAATGATTCCTGTTTTAGGAAATCCTTTCTCAGAACCTTGTTATCCCAGGGAGATTAGTTTATCCCTTCCAGCCCCGGCAGTGGTTAACCTCGCTGCCTTAGCGAGCGAAATGCACCTTCTCCCTCAGGTTTTTGGCTCATGGGATTCAATTCAAGTCCGGTCAAGTCTCCTTGGCTGGGGTCTTTGTCCTATGAACAGACACTCAGTTGTGTCTCATGTGTCTACATTTACTCGTGGCTCTCGACTTGCCTGCTCAGAGCATAGTTAGGTCAGCTCCTAAAAACGCATTCCACAGAAGACTTAAAGACATCAATTGCTTCATTTGTATGCAAATAGAAAGTGGTGGATAATTATATATTATGCACCTTTGTGTCGGTTCATTCAATACTTGCAGCAGTCTTTGTCTCCGAGGAGTGCGCCTTACTGAGAAAGGGGATGTGAATGGTACGTTTATTCCTGGAGAAGGCGGATTGTTTACATCATGTCTGGACTTTTGTCTAGTTGGGTACAGTTCTGCTGCACCAGCAGCCCTCTAAAAAAGGAGTCTGTGTAGATAAAGAAGCCTACATAGGCACTGTTTTGTGTCTTACTATACACTTTTGAATATTAGCCAATAAAGAAATATTTGAATTGCTAACAGTGGAGCAAGAGTGTAATGATTAAAAGGCAGTAAAAACAGAACATTGAATTGTCAGAGAACTGGGAAGGGAGTGTCTCATGTGAGTTCAGTCCGTCCTAGCTCTGCCCTCCCTAGAAATGGATTATGACTGATCACAACATGCCGGTTTGCCTCTTGTTCTCAGTTCTGCTTTAAAGACCGGCCTGTCACCAGAAGGAAGTGCTTGTGTTCAGCAGAGTTGAATTCAAGAAGAAACACTGTAAAATAGCAAAGTGAGTGTCGGCCCTCGGCAAAGAGTCGCGGGTTCGATTCCAGCTAAGGGCATGTATCTCGGTTGTGGTTTGTCCCCAGCTCCGGTCAGGCTCATGCTGGTGGCAACCAGTTGATGTGTCTCTCTCACATTGATGTTTCTCTTTCTCTCTCTTTTCCTCCCTCTCTTCCTCTTGCTCTATCTGAAGATAAATGTAAAAATATCCTTGGGTGAGGATAAAAAAAAATAGCAAAGTGAACTGAGTGTCTTCAGACAGGAAGAGGGGCTGTGATAGAGATGGCAAGGTGTACGGACGCAACATCATGTAGAGAGTGAATCATAAATAGACCATGAATTAGACTCTGGAGCCTAATGTATTATATAGTCATGTGGTTTAATGATGGCATACTACAGAAAACAGGATGCTTTTTTGTCAGTCAAGAAAAAGGCAGTAATGTAAAGTACCTCAGGTTCTCGTATTTCTAAAGGAATGCATATGAATTTCAAGCCACATGTTTCTTAGATTGTTACTCTATTACTGTTAAAATGTCCAAAATTGGGTGGTGACCAGAGGCTGCAAAGGCTCGAACACATAATTGCCCTGAGACATCCGGATGAAGCGTGTGAGAGGTAAAGCGGGATGGAGTCGGGCCTATTTTAATAGCCTCTCTTTTCATCTGTTACTTTGGTGTGGGATGAGGGTATAACCTTAGCCACACTTTCTTTCCTGTGACTGCGCAGGACGCAGAAGCCCTTCAGGTGACCAATTCTCTCGGGGAGCAATTACTACTCACTGACTTCCTGAGCAGCTTGATAATGGTCTGCTCTGGTTTACAGCTGAGCTTCGGCCGGGGCAGTGATTTGATAATAAGAGATCCTGATCAAATTAAAGAGCCATTTGCTTCTGGATGATGATGTTGATTTAAGGTTTAGTGTGCACACTGCCTGCTTTTTTTTTTTTCTTTCTTTTTTAAGGTTAAAAAAAAACGGTAAACAAACTAGTACAAAAAGCAAAATAATCAGAAGCAACATAAAGTTTGCATTTTCTTTCACTCTTACATCCAGAAAAGAGTCTGTTCTGTGTTTGCTGCACTCCTGACTGCTTTTCTTGCCTCTCACTTGGAGAACTTGAAATTGGAAGTGGATATATTGGCAAAGTGACTGTATGAGTCTGTAACCTACTCAACTCTGAATTAGAACCAACCACTCTGCTCTTAGTTCTCAGCTCCTGGTTCTCACACACATGCATGCTCACATTTGCATGTGTTTTTAAGACAACAGCTTTTGTTTAGTTGGGTGGTCGTAATGAATGTCGTTTGTACAATGTTTCCTCTACTCTGAGAGCAGGATTGGGGTTGCTGTCAATGTGAGTATTAGAAAAGGATTTGGACTATATCCCACCCGCAGTGCTTAGAAAAGCAGACAAGAAGAGGCATGAAATACCCCCTAGTGTACCACTTGCACAGCCCATCTAAGTCAGGAGCTTTGCAGGCAACCTGGGAGTTCTGTGGGCAGTGGTAGTGACATAGGCAGAGAGGGTGGGCAGGGTTACCAATGCCCCGCCTGGCCTGGGATCGCCTGTGCGCAGCTCCCTGGGAGCTCAGGGACCACGTGGAGATTGTGATTGGTCTCTAGACCACACCTAGTTGGTGAGTGCAGCTGCTGTCTGAGAATCACTCAGCTCTGCCAAGATCGCTGGAGTGCACACAAGCTACCTTCCAACGCCAGATCGGAGAGGAAGCCCGGAGCTGCCGCGGCTGTGGAGTCCTGAAAACTTTGCTGAGTGAGTGAAATGGGGAGAGGGAAGCTAGTGGTTGGCGCTGAGGGAAGTTCCTGGGCAGGGCAGCAATGGAGGTAAAAAGCTGGTTTATGATGGTTACCATCTGATTGTCTGTGGCAGAAGAGCAGCAGGGCTGGAACAGATGGACAAGAGCACAATGGGGAAGCAGATAAGCCCAGAATCCAATTGAGAGCCACCTCTTGGCAATCCTGGCTGGCCAGAAGGGTAGCATGCCGGACCACAAAGCAGATCCTCAAACTTTACTACTGACAAGCCCTGGGGGCCAGGGGAATTGCAGAGGGGCTGCCTTGAGGGCCTGCTGCCTTTCTCCTACCCAGGTGGGTCTCTCTCATCCTCCCAAGCAGCAGATGGCTTGGAGCTGCAGCCTGAGCGATGGGAAAAGAAAGCTTTACTCCACCAGCCCATTAGCAGCACTCGCAGCATTAAAAATGCAGGAGGTGGATGGAGGAGATGGCTAGGGTCGAAGACTAATGCAGCAGCCGGTGCTGGGAACAGCTAGGCTGCTCTGTTGGCCCAGCCAGATCCAGATGGGAAGCCCAAGAACGAGGGGAAATTTTGGTTAAAAAGAATGAGCATCCAGGTGGTTGTTAAGGAGAAAATCATCGCTTTGGGCTTCCTTAGCCTTCGGAAAGTGTCTCCTCTTTCGAGGGTGGGGAACTGATCCAGCTGCCTGCATCCACAGTGCCTAGAACGGGGCCTGGCTCGGCAGCCTCGCTGTGTCCGATGGAGGGCGGGCGCGGGCGCGAACGGTCCCTCTGCGTCCTCAGGGTCTCCTGGTTGCCCGTGCCCTGCAGGTCTCCGGGTCTCCGGTGCAGGGCAATGCCGGCCTCGTCCACCATCCACGTGCTGCAGCTGCTGCGGGAGCTGCTGGCCTTCGTGCTCCTCAGCTACACGGTGCTCATCGGAGCGCTGCTGTTGGCCGGCTGGACCACCTACTTCCTGGTGCTGAAGTGACAGCGCCTCCGCCCCGGCTCCCCGCCCCTCCCGTGCTCACTCCCGGCTCGGCCTGCCTCTCGAGGCCCGCCCGAACCTGGGCCGCAGACCCGCCACCCTCCTCGACCGCCGGCTTCGCCCCGCCCACCCCGCGCCCGCAGGCCCAGGGCCCGCCCCGCCCCGCGCGGAAGCTCCGGCGGTTGGTGCCCGGCACTGCCGTTACAGCCGTTTCCCCGGACTCCGCCCCTCTTCCCCGCCTATCCAATCCCGACTGCTCCCTCGGGCTGGGGCGTGGTCATGGGGCCAGGCCCTCTCAAGTGGAGGTAGCGCCCCGCCCCGCTCGCGGTTACGTCACTTCCGGCGTGTACGTCTGGCGTCCGCCCGCCGCGGGATGGCGGCTCTGAGAAGTTGGCTGTCGCGGAGCGTCTCCTCCTTTTTAAGGTGCCGCGGCGTTGGAGTGGGAGGGCGGGACGGGGTGTGGGAGGCGATGCACGGAGGGCTGGGCCGAGCCGCCGCGCGGCCTGGCTGGCGCGCTTCCCCCGGCCGAGCGGGCCGCGGCGTCCCGCCCCTCTCCCAGGTCGGAGACGCGCGACCTCGGCCGGGGCCCGGGCCGGGGTGTTCCCCGCTGACGGCTGTCCCGTCCTTCGGCCTTCGGCCTGCCCGCGTGTTCCCGCTGCCCAGCGAATCCCGGGAGGAAGTTTCCCCGAGGGCAGAGGGCGCGGGAGCGTGCGGCCCGCCCCCCGCCTGCGGGCTCCGATGTCGCCTGGCGGGGACTCGCGACACCTCGCCGGGGCCCAGAGCTGACCTGCCTGCAGGAGCAGTTGCTGGGCCTGAGGTTTCTAAAGCGCCGGCGTCCACACTCGGCACCTGTTGAACTCCAGGACCGTTGGGCCCGCGGGCCCGCACGGCCGACCCTACCCCTCGGGGGTTCCCGCGTGGCCCAGCTTGTCGCAGGGGCTTCTGCAGGTCGGCGGTTGTGGCTTACACTCGACTTCTGTGCCCAGGTGCAGACAGCGGGTTCCTGTGGTGGCGAGCCTGCGGAAGCGCCGTGTCTCGGAGCTGCTGAGGCCATGGCACAAAACGGTGGCCGCTGGATTCGGTGTAGCCCTGTGTGCAGTTCCCATTGCACAGGTAACGTGCTGCCGTGACGCTCAGTGTTCCTGGGGTCCGCTGTGCGGCCCGAGTGGAAAGTGAAGCGCAAGAACACGCGCGCACACACACGCGCGCGCGCGACGGTGGACTCGGCCGTGCCGGCACCTTTTCAGAGCTGGACAGACATCAGTATTTCCGTTTTGATTGTCTCTTTGGGTACGGACAGTGTGAGCTGTCAAATTATATAAAGAGGGAAGAGAGTGATTAGAGTATATTACAGACTATCCACAAAATAGTCTTGAACAAAAACGTATTGAGCATTTTTCGTGTACTGTACACTGAGCAAAACAAAGTTTCTGCTCTCTCAGCGCTTACCCTCTGGAGAGAAGAAGGGGAGAAAAATCAACAGATATAAAATGCCAGGTGATGATAAGTGCTGTGCAGAAAACAAATAGGGTACGCGAATAGGAAGTGCTAGGAGGGAGGCGTGTTGTTGTAGATAGGGTGGTCGAGGAGGGCTGCTCTGGCAAAGTGGTAAAGTAGAGATCAGAGCGATCTAAGAGGGAGCCAAGTGATGTCTCGGGGAAGTCTTGCCAGGCAGAAGGGGCTCTTTAAGTGCAGAGGTAGAAGCAGGAGCGTGCCTGACGTGTATGGTCAACACCAAGGAGGTTAATGTGGCTGGAGTGGAGCTAGGAAGAGAGAGTAATGAGCCCTGCGGTGTGGCTCAGTTGTTTGGATGTCATTCTGAGCACCCAGAGGTCACTGGTTAGATTCCTGATCAGGGTGCATGTGGGGGTTTCCAGGCTCGATCCCCAGAAGGGGACATTGTAGGAGGCAACCATCCATGTTTCTCTCTCACTCTCCCTCTCTGAAATCAATAAAAACATATTTTAAAAAGAGAGAGTGTAATGAGGCCACAGAGTCAGCTGAGGATCAAATTGTGTTCTGTACTTTGTGGGCCATTGTAAAGTGTTAGATTTTTTCTGAAAAGGAGGCCCAAGAGCCCGCCGGTGTGGCTCAGTGGTTGATCGTGGACCCCTGCACCAAGAGGGTACCTACCTCGGTTGCCGGTTGGACTCTGGGTCAGGGCACATGCCCAGGTTGTGGGCCCAATCCCCAGTGGGGGCCATGCAGGAGGCCACCAATTAATGTTCTCTCATTGATGTTTCTATCTCCCTCTCCTTTCCTCTCTCTCTAAAAAAATCAATAAAGGGAAAAAAAATTTTTTTTAATTTTTTTTTAAAGAAAAGGAGGCCAAAGAGGCTTTTAACACAAGATTATTGCAATCTGATACAACTTTTAATTTTTTTATTTTCTTCAAAATAAAAATTTTCAAAGGACAACAATCCATGTTCATTGCATGTATCCCAGACTGTTGTGTATGGTTGGAAGAAGTACACTTATTATTGAGACTTCTACATATTTAGCAGCCTACTTGGAAAATACCATCTAGATATTTTTATTTCTTCAGTTTGCAAAGATTTGTATCTGTTTAATTGACTGGATCCTGTTCCTGAAGATGTAAAAATATAAAATAGAAACATTCATTAAATGAAAATATTTTTTTCTTTTTTCCATCTTGGTTCTTTCAAATATGGTGGAATCAAATTTTAAGCCTTATCAAATAGTAGTAACTTGTGGGTTCTGCATAAGCAGTATCAATTTCAGTAAGAGAGGTAATTTTGTTAAAACTTCTGTTTTTGGCCCTGGCCTGTTTGGCTCAGCGGTTAGAGCGTAGGCCTGCGGTCTGGAGAGACCCGGGTTCAGTTCCTGCTAAGGGCACGTACCTCGGTTGCAGTTTGTCACCAGCCCTGGTTGGGTCGTGTGGGTGGCAACCACTCGATGTGTCCCTTTCACGTTGATGTTTCTCTCTCTCTCTCCCTCCCACTCTATCTGAACAAAATATCAAAAAATGTCCTCAGGTGAGGATAAAAAAAAACTTCTGTTTTTGAAAATAGAGGTATGTCATGCGCTCTGTACACCTCAGCAGTTATTATTATTAATTTTTTATTCTCGTCCCCCCTCATCTTTTTTACAACCATCAGCTTATTCTCTGTATCTATGGGTCTGTTTCTGTTTGGTTTATTATTTTTTTTGTTTTTAGATTCCACTTATAAGTGAGATCATACAGTAGCTGTCATTTTCTGTCTGACTTATTTTACTTAGCATAATACCCTCTAGGTTCATCTGTGTTGTTGCAAATGGCAAAATTTCCTTTTTTTTTTTTATTGCTGAATGATATTCCATTTTATTGCATATATACATACACATACATACCACATCTTCTTGATCCATTCATCTATCAGTGGACATCTAGGTTCCTTCTGTATCTTGGCCATTCTAAATAATAACGTTGCCATGGCCCTGGCTGGTTTGGTTCAGTGGTTAGAGCATCAGCTCCTGGACCAGAGAGTCCTGGGTTCAGTTCCCGCTAAGGGCATGTACCTTGGTTGTGGTTCGTCCCTGGCCCAGTTAGGGTTGTGTGGGTGGCAACCAGTCAATGTGTCTGTCTCACATCGATGTTTCTCTCTCTTCCTCCCTCTCTATCTGAAGATAAATGTAAATAAATAAATAATGCTGCCACGAACATTGGGGTGCATGTATCTTTTCTAATTAGTGATTTGTTTTCTTCAGATAAATAACCAGAAGTGGAATTGCTGGATTGTATGGCAGCTGTATTTTTAAATTTTTGAGGAACTGCCATACTATTTTTCATAGTGGCTCCACTGATTTACAATCCCCTCAACAGTGCATGAGGGTTCCCTTTTCTCCACATCCTGGCCAGCTCTTGTTATTTGTTGATTTGTTGATAATAGCCATTCTGACAGTTATAAGGCGATAACTCGGTGTGGTTTTAATTTGCATTTCTGTGATGATTAGTGATGTTGAGCATCTTTTCATGTGTGGTTGCTATCTGTAAGTCCTCTTGGGAAAATGTTCAGGTTCTGACATATGTTAATCAGATTTTTTTTTTTTTTTTTTGGTGTTAAGTTGTATGAGTTCTTTACATATTAACCCCTTATTAGGTGTATCATTTGTGAATATTTTCTCTCATTCAGTAGGTCTTTTGTTTTATTGATGGTTTCTTTTACTGTGCAAAACTTTTTAGTTTGGTAACGGTTCCATTTATTTTTTCTTTTGTTTGAGGAAATATATCCAAAAAGACATTGCTAAGAGCAGAATTCACTGCCTGTGTTTTTTTTTCTTCTAGGAGTTTAATGGTTGAGTCTAACATTTAAGTTTTTAATCTGTTTTGGGTTTATTTTTGTATATGGTGTAAGAATGGTCCATTTTTATTTTTATTTTGCAGGTATCTGTCCAGTTTTGCCAATACCACTTACTGAAGAGACTGTCTTTACCCCATTATATATCCTTATCTTCTTTATCATAGATTGATTGACCATATAAGTGAAGATTTATTTCTGGGCTTTCTTTTCTGTTCCATTGTTCTGTCTTTTTTTTTTTATGCCAGTACCGTACTGTGTGATTATTGTAGCTTTATAGTATAGTTTGATATAAGGGAGTATGATATCTCCTCCCACTTTGTTTTTTTTCAAGATTTCTTTGGTTATTTGGGGTCTTTTGTTGTTCCATATCAATTTTAGGATTAGGTGGTCTAATTCTGAGAAGAATGCCATTGGTATTTTATTAGAGTTGCATTGAATTTGTATGTCACTGTAAGTAGTAAAGACATTATAACATTATTAGTCTTTCTAGTCCATGAACAAGGTATATCCTTCCATTTATTTGTATCTTGTTCAGTTTCTTTCTTCAATGTCTCACAGTTTTCAGAGTACAGGACTTTCACCTCTTTGGTTAAATTTATTCCTAGGTATCTTATACTTACTATGCAGTTGTGAATGTATTTTTTTCTTACTTTCTTCTGAACATTTGTTATTGGTGTATAGAAATGCTACAGATTTCTGTATATAATAGATTCTGTATCCTGCAACATCACTGAATTTATTTATTAGTTCTAATCGTTTTTTGGTGGGGTCTTTAGGGTTTTCCATATATAGTATAATGTCATCTGTGAACTTAACTTTTTTAAGGTACATGTGGAACTAGGAAGACCAAGAGGAGTCCAGGTGTGAGATGATAGTGTGCTTGGTCTAGTCAGCAATGGAGGTGGGGAGAAGAGGGCCACATGCGGTCAGCAGAGGTTGCTGATAGGCTAGGTGTGGATTCCAGTGCTTTTAAAAGGTCTAAGCAACCGCCCGGCCGGTGTGGCTCACTGGTTGAGCATCGGCCCATGCGCCAAGAGGTCGCCAGTTCGATTCCCGGTCAGGGCACATGCCCAGGTTGTGGGCCCATCCCCAGTGAGGGGCTGTGTAGGAGGAGGCCAGTTGATGTTCTCTTTCATCGATGTTTCTGTCTCTGTCTCTCCCTCTCCCTTCCTCTCTCTCTCAAAATTAATCAAAGAAAATAAATAAATAAGTAAATAGTCTAAGTAACTGAAAGAATAGAGTTGCCATTTACTGGGATGGAGAGGAATAGGTTTGGGGAGGAAGAAATCAGGAGTTCAGTTTTGGAAATGACAGCCTGACATGTATAGGAGACATCTAGGTGGAACTGTCAAGTACACAGTTGATATGAAAGTGGTACCTTTTTTTTTTTTTTTTTTTAATTTTCAGACAGAGTAGGAGGGAGGGGGGAGAGAGAGAGAGAAAGAGAAAGAAACATCGACATGAAAGGGACACTTCGACACTTGTCTCCTGCACAACCCCAACCAGGGCCAGGGATGAATTGCAACCAAGGTATGTGCCCTTGACTGGAATCGAACCCGCTACTCCCTGATCCACGGGCCGACGCTCTAACTGCTGAGCCAAACCAGCCAGAGCAGGAACCTTACTTTTTTAAAATCACTGGTTAAGCCCAGCTGGTGTGGCTCAGTGGATGGACTGAGAGGTCCCAGTTCGATTCCTGGTCAGGGCACATGCCCGGGTTGCCAGCTCAATCTCCAGTAGGGAGTGTGCAGGAGGCAGCCAATTGATGTTTCTCCCATCAATGTTTCTTTTTCTCTCTCTAAAAAATCAATTAAAAAACATCTTAAAATCACTGGTTAAGCCTTGGCCAGTTTAGCCCAGCAATGAGAGCATCGGCCTGTGACCAAAGGGTAGTGGATTTGATTCCCAGTCAAGGACATGTACCTGGATTGCAGGTTCGATCCCCAGCACCAGTCAGGGTTGTGCAGGAAGCAACCAATCGATGTGTTTGTCTTTTCCTTCCCTCCCTTCCATTCTTATCTAAAAATGAGTGGGAGCCCTGGCCAGTTTGGCTCAGCGGTTGGAGCGTTGGCCTGCGGTCCGGAGTGACCCGGGTTCGGTTCCCGCTAAGGGCGCGTGCTTCGGTTGCAAGTTTGTCCCCGGCCCTGGTTGGTCGTGCAGGTGGCGGCCACTCGATGTGTCTCTTCATGTCGATGTTTCTCTCTCTCTCCCTTTCTCTCTCTCCCTCCCACTCTATCTGTACAAGGGATGGAAAAATGTCCTCGGGTGAGGATAAAAAAGAAAATAAAATAAAAATGAGTGGGAAAATATCCTCGGGTGAGGATTAACAACAACAAAAGAATAAAAGTAGGTAGAACACGTACTCTGGAATTATTTCTATTTATTGTCTTAAATAGCCAAAATAAAGCTTAAAAGGAAACAACTGATACAAAGAAGCATAGTGCAGTTGCAGCATGAAAATTGTTTTCCACGTGGCTGTTTATGATGATCTTCTTGACTCAAGCTTTTGAAGTTGAGGGAAAACATTCTTGTCTTTCAGAAACCGGAGCCTCATTCTCTTAGCAACGAGGCACTAATGAGGAGGGCTGTGTCTCTGGTAACAGACAGCACATCCACCTTTCTCTCTCAGACCACATACGCATTGATTGAGGCCATCACCGAGTATACTAAGGTAGGTGTCCCCCTGTTAAGTCTTGGTCATCTAGACTGATGGTTAGCAAACTGGCTCATAGATCATGTCCAGTCTGATGCCTGCTTTTGTAATTTTACTGGACCACAGCCAGCCTCATTTATATATGGTATAGGGCTGCTTTTGGGAGTTAATAGTTGCAACAGACTATAGGGCCTACAAAGCCTAAGATATTTACTCTGGCCTGATCTAAAGCACTGGTTTTTTTAAAGAAAAATCTTAAATATAGCGGCCCAGTTTATAAGACGGGGAGCCAAGCTGATTTAGTTCAGTCAGAGGTAAAAGGGTCTAAAGTCTACCACCAGCAGCACCAGGGGCTTTCTGTGCGGACAGTTTGAAAACCATTGATGTGAGCTAATGGACTAGATGAATGATCAAAATCACGTAAAATTCTCATATCTTTATTTTACTTTTATTTTTCAGCAGCTGTTTTCTCATCTTCTGAGTTCCCCTCTACACTATGTTCTCTTTCTATGTCTGAATTGCTAACAAACATTTAAAAACACAAAAGTTGACAAGTGGAGCTACTGTCCTGGAGTAATTGCTTCTACTTCCCACACTAGTGTGTGTGAGGCGGAGGACCTAAGGGCCAGGTTGCTGTAATGGGATTTCATCTCCTGCAGGCATGAGTCTCACTAATCCTACTTCGTCATATGCCTCACTTATTTCACTCAGACTTGTTTATTCTATATTTGTAGGCTGTTTATACCTTAATTTCTCTGTACCGACAATATACAAGTTTACTGGGGAAAATGAATTCACAGGAGGAAGACGAAGTGTGGCAGGTGATCATAGGAGCCAGAGTTGAGGTAAGCAGAGAGTCAGGCATTTCTGTGCATAGCTCCTACCTCACTGGGTCTAACCAGTAACTGTTCTCTACCATTTTAATAAGTCCATTTGAATGTGCTTAACTTCATGTTGTCTGAAGCACTTTGTTTAATTTATAGATGACTTCAAAGCAACAAGAGTACTTGAGGTTGGAGACCACGTGGATGACCGCAGTTGGTCTTTCAGAGATGGCGGCAGAAGCTGCGTACCAAGCCGGTAGGTTTGTTTTCACTATGGAGGTGCCATTTGAGTTCTCTTCTAGCAGTAAATGAGGGATTTGGATTAGATGGTCTGAAGCCCATTGTGGCTCTAACTTACGTTTCCAATATGTCAACCAACATTTTATTTGCACATTGGGGAAGATCTACACCCCTCTAGACCAGGCCAGTAGAAGCTAGGTTGTCGATATCTAGAAAATGAAAAATAATAAAATGATAAAACTACTTCCAGTTGGAAAATATGCCTTCAGATCATTTTTAAACTTTTATTTTTTTATAACTAATGTTTGTCTATTTCAGGCTTTGTGGCAGGTATTTCATAGGCACTTTTAATTTAACCTTCCACAGTTCCCTTACAGTAGGACCTATTGTAATCATTCCCCTCTTACAGGTGAAGAAACGGGGGTACTGAGTCACACTGGAGTTTAGCCAGGTAGATCCGATTCTAAGCCTTTGCGTCATCCTCAGCCCCTTGATGCTTCAGTATAGAAAATGCAGTTGATCATTCACCAGGATGGTTTTTGAACATCACTGTCTATCCAGTGGGCTTCAACAGAGGGGTTTCCCTCAAGATACATTTAATTAAAAAAACATAGTTTAACATTTTACCTGACTGGTCCCAAAAGGGTTGCTCACAAGTGATATCCCGCTGGTATGTTAAAACACTTTTTTTTTTAGGGCCATGGCATCTTCCCTCCCACCGCAGCCCAAGTCCAAGTGGCGCTGGCCCTTTAAGCACTTTTTATTTTCTGATATCAGACTTGGGACTCTAGCACCAAATCTTAAAGATGATACAAAAAAGAACTCTTAGCTAACTAGAACATGAGGAGTCAGAGATGTGGCAGTCGGCACCAGAGGCGGGAGCAGGTCCAGGCGCAGTGAGACTGGCTGAGCACTGCAGCAGGACGTCCCAGGAGCCGTCACCTCGGCGGGCTCAGCAGGGAAAACACATTTCCCAGAGCTGATGGAAAGGGCTCACAAAGGTGCTGATCAGACGTTTTGTTTTTTTCTTAATCAAATGGCAAAAATATAGATGTACCTACAAAGGAAGTATAATCTGACATCAGTCTTATCAGCAACCCCAGATGCAAGGTGACAACCTAATAACCTAGAAATCCAGCCAAATGTCATCACAACGTGAGAATGAAAGGTATTTTCAGCCATACAAAGACTCTATAACACACACATACTTTCTTGAAAAACTGCTCTGTGAAGAAAAATTAGAAGCAACCAAAATACAAGAATAATGAACAAAATTTAGTAAAATCTGTCAGAAGTTCTGAGTTAAACAAATTTTTAATAAATTCATTTTAATAAATGAATCAATTTGGGGAAGAAGAGAGACATTGGCTTAACTTTAGACACTGCTGAACAGGGCAGGAACAAAGGAAAGGTGGAGAAGATATCAAGCCTGTTAGTAAAGGCAAAGTAAAATAGAGGAACAAGATCAAACATCAGTCATCACAATAAGAACAGATTATATTTATTGTTATTAAATGATACTTTTATTTTTATTTATTTATTTTTGGTACGTGCCCTTAGCAGGAACCGAACCCGGGACTCTCTGGTCCACAGGCCAACGCTCCAACCACTGAGCCAAACCGGCCAGGGCTTAAATGATACTTTTAGATTGTATTAGAAGTAATTCGAGGTACAACTGTTTACAGAGTCACCTAGAACAAAAAGGCATAGGAAGGTTGAAAATCATTTAAAAACTGAACCATAAATGAAAAGAGTTACCCCAAAAAGCTGGCAGAACCATGTCAGAATCAGAAAAAGGATTCAAGACAGCATTGAAAAGGACAGAACAATTCGAGACGATATCAACTATGAGATATGTTACCTAGTAAGGCAAAAACAGACTTCTGGAGGGAGAAATTGAGCTTTATACACCTGTCAGACTCATTGGTCAAGACCAAAAAAAAATTAAAGCTAAAAAGGCTGGCACATGCCCTGGCTGGTTTGGCTCATTGGTTAGTGTGTTGGCCTGCGGTCCAGAGAGTCCCAGGTTCGGTTCCCACTAAGGACACGTATCTCGGTTGCAGTTTGTCCCCGGCCCTGGTTGGGTCATGCGGGAGGCAGCCACTCAATGTGTCCCTTTCACGTCAATGTCCCCCACCCCCACCCATCTGAACAAAAAATGGAAAAATGTCCTTGGGTGAAGATAAAATAAAAAAAAATAAAAAGGTTGGCACAGAATGATTTTTTAAAGCTTAACCAATTATATACACTGAAAATAAAATTTTGCTTGCCCGCTCATATTCTTTTGAAACACCAACAACACGTACAAGAACTGACTTTGTGCCAGGTGACAGACTCAGCAAATTCCTTCACCCTTTCCCCACCAAAAATCAAGATGGGAATTTAAAAATGTTTACAACTGCAGTGACAGATGCAGTATAGGAAGTTGTAGGCAAAGTGGCTTTAAAGAGAAAGTGACCTCTTTAAAGGCATATGTCATAAATACAAAGAACCGCAGCCATGAACAACAGGTAATGCTCACTGTACAAGAAGCACCAAGTTACTTTTAACACAGAACTTAGAGAAAGAGCAAAATAAATTCAGACAGTGTAATAAAAGAAATAAAAGGTATAAGATTAAAAAGAAACAGTCTTACTGATATAGGCCATCCCTGGACTTTTTAAAAAATAAATATTATCCATTAAAAAAAAAAAAAAAGAAACAGTCAAAAAGGTAAAATTTGGTTCCTTGAAAAGTATTTTAGCCCTGGCCGGTTTGGCTCAGCGGTTGGAGCGTCAGCCTGCGGTACAGAGAGACCCGGGTTCGGTTCCCGCTAAGGGCATGTAACTCGGTTGCAGTTTGTCCCCGGCCCTGGTTGGTCGTGCGGGTGGCAGCCACTCGATGTGTCCCTTCACGTCGATGTTTCTCTCCCTCTCTCCCTCCCTCTCTCCCTCCCTCTCTATCCCTCCCTCTCTATCTGAACAAAAAATGGAAAAATGTCCTCGGGTGAGGATAAAAAAAAAAGAAAAGTATTTTAAAATAAGATTTGGCACAAACGACTTTTCAGAGAGTAAAAGTAACATCAGAAAGGACTATTACAGCCCAGCCGGTGTTGCTTAGTGGTTGAGCATCAACCCATGCACCAAGAAGAGGTTGCTGGTTTGATTCCCAGTCAGGACACGTGCCCAGATTGTGGGCCCGATCCCCACGGGGGGAATGTAGGATGTGGCCAGTCGATGTTCTCTCATCAATGTTTCTCCCTTTCCCTCAAATCAATAAAGGAAAAACAATTTTAAAAAAAGAAATACAATTCCTATGTTATAGAAAGTGATAAAAAGCCTCCTGATTGTGATCCCAGACACAATCTGGGAGAGCTGGCGCACCTCCTGCACCTGCGATTTCACCAGCTGAACTAGGCCAGCACCAAAACAAAAATATAGTTCAGTACCACCAATCTAGATGTAAATTACATATAGCCATTTATCCTCAAAATACAGTGATAATTCAGCATTGGGAAAAAACTATCAGAGATTATCTACAGTGAAAAGCCACTCGTGTAATCCTATCAACATTGAAGTCCCAAAGGCCTTCAATAAAATGTAGTGCCCATTTGTGATTTAAATCTAAGTACAATTATGACTAGAGAGAACTTCCTTAAATGATAAAAAGGTTGATCCTACTTAATGGTGACATATGAGAAGCATTTCCATCGAGGTCAGAAATAAGAGATGGCTGCCTGCTATTAACCACTACCTTACAACATTATGCTGAGGGTTCTGGTTAATGCATTAAGCTAGAAAAGCACCCGGACATTCTGTGGAGAATAAACATGCCTGTCTGTATGGTGGAGTATACTAGCAGCAGCTAAAAGAAATGATGGAGCTCGACAATGTTTTTAAACAAAATTGCAAAATACATTCAATAAATACCTTCGTGCTATTATGTAAATTTATAGTAACTTTTTCTAAGCATTCCACATGTATATGGTCACATTTTAAAAAATGTCTTTTAAACTTCCAACGGAGGTTATAACTGAAGATAGGTTAGGGTGAGGGAAGAAACCTTTGATAATTTTATTAGCGATAATTTGTCAAAAAGAAATTTGTGTAAAAACAAATTCATAAAACATTTAAGTTATGTAGCTATAAGATTATGAGAATTGCATTTAATAAGTGATGATAGCTGTTTATAGCTGGAGAAATATGCCAGGACTTTGACAATAAGTAGTAAAATGCACACCTGAATGTGCATTAGTGCTGTGCAGAGAAAAGGCTGGCAAGAGGACAGAGAAAGGGGCTCCAGAAGGGGCTCAGATGACAACCATGCCCCGTCCCACCCCCCAGCTTTCCTTGTGTCCACTCACACCTGCCCTGTTTGCCTGCTCAGCTTAATTGTCCCATCTCTTGGCAGGAGCAGATCAGGCCTGTATAACCTCCAGGAATCACATTCAGCTGGTGAAATCGCAGGTGCAGGAGGTGCGCCAGCTCTCCCAGAAAGCTGAAACCAAGTTGGCAGAAGCACAGACAGAAGAACTCCGTCAGAAAACACAGGATGGGGACGACAGGGCTGAGTCAGAGCAAGAGGCCTACCTGCGTGAGGATTGAGGGCCTGAGCCGCTGCCCACGTGTGCCCCTCAGCCTGGGGTCGGCATAGCTTTCTCTGCAGAGAGGAGGGAGCAAGTCCTGCCCTGGCCCATTAGGCCAGAGGCCTTCGTGAGCTGTGAGTGCCTGACCCCTCCCTCTGGTCTCAGGCTCACACTGGACCTGGTTCATAGCCCGAGGCACTGCACCGTTTCCTGTTGCACCCCACTCCGCACAGCTGCCCTCTCACCCATGGATCTTTTTATTTCCCACCCAGAGCATCTCACCAACCTGGCCAGAGAGAGGGGTCATCCTCTGTCATACCCAGTTAAATAGCTGTTTTAACTTGTTCCTTTCTTACTCACATTTTCCACTAGGATTTAGTGTTTGCTCCCTCTGTAGGGATGTGAGTTCTGGGAGAGAGGGGAGCTTGTCCGGTTTGTAAGATTTAATGTTTCTAATGCCTTCTCTGACCTGGCCCTACTGCCCTGTAAGAGCCCAGGCCAAAGAGCCCGAACTCCATTCTTTATTCTTGAGGGACTGAGTTCAGTGTTTACCTGGTATTCTCAACAGGACTCACTCCGACACATGCTTCTCGTGTCCTCCCTTCCTTCGAGTTTCTCTATTGTATCTGAAGGAGAACAATACTTTTTTTGCATCTAAAAAAAAGAGTGTGTGTGTGTGTGTCTCCAGGAGCCACCTCTGCCCCCCCCCCCCCAATTTGTTACACTTCAGTTCCCATTCAACATGTGCTGGTGCAAGTTTGCCAAGTTTCAGTGTTTTTAATCAAAGTTAGAAAATTTTGGAAGGGGTTACAGAAACTAAGCCAGCATTTCCAATAGACCATCATGGGTCGAGTTTCTCAATTTCTCATGATAGGAAAATTCACTTGCTGGGACAGGGGGGCAGCTGAGCACTTGAGCTCCTCATCTGTCACCAGTGCCCACATGGTCCACATCTCCAAGGGGCTAAGGCGGTGCACAAGCAGCAGCCCCTTGTACAGGCAGGGGTCCAGGGGGTTCAGAGGCCGCCGTATTCCAAATGTCTTAAAGCCAGCATGGTGCATGGGGCTGAGCCCCAGCTTCCTCAGGCACATACCCACAAAGACGTCATCGATAGGGAAGAGTTCAGCCTCTTCCACGGCTGCTTGGAGGTGCTGCACGGTGGCTCTGGACATGACATACCCTCCACCCCCAGCATAGGGCGGGTAGTGGCGAGCCCTGTACATGGAGGGTGGGATGAAGTACTTGACCTTGGTGCTCCTATGAGGCAGAGCCTGGCGGATGACATCTCCCACCAGGAGGTCCTGGTCTGGGTCCCAGCTGTCCAGGAACTCCAGGACATTGGGGACATGGACAAAGACATCGTCATCTCCCTTCAGCATGAAGTGGGCCTGGGGACAGGCAGCCGCCACCCAGCGCTGCAGGTGCAGCTCCTTGAGTGTCAGGTTGAAGAAGTCCTCCACAAAGTCCCACTGCAGGATGTCGTCGAACTCCCGGCTCTCGTAGGCCAGCAGCTGGGCTGGGGGTGCGGGTCCTGCCACCCCTAGGAGGAACACCAGCTTCAGCTGTCGGCCCCCAGCCCAGTCCCCCACCCGGCCCCACGTGCTGCGGATGGCCGCACGCCGCTCCACGTGGCCAGGCTGCGACTTGATGGCTAGGAGCAGAAAGATGTCCGCGGCACAGCCCGAAGGCTCCAGCAAGACAGAAAAGTTGCGGCAGTGGCGATAGGTCAAGAAGAGACGGTGACGGCTAGGCAGGGACAAGGAGGCATTAGCCACTGTGTGGTTGGGTCGACAGTGGCTGCGGGGTCGTGAGGGAGCCCAGAAGGGCTGGCGGACTGTGTGGGCCCCCGTGGGCTTGGCCTCCTTCTTCAGGAAGAGCAGGCCGCTGAGCAGCAGCACGGCCAGGCTGTACAGGGCCAGCCAGCCCAGCCTGCGGGACATGGCCTGCAAGGAGAGAGCGGGAGTGGCCCCCGCCCACAGCAAGTTACCCTCAGCCCAGCAGCTGAGTCCCTGCTGGCCCCTGGGACTCCATGTGTTCTGTCGGAGCCCCTTTCCCAGAGGACAGACTAGCACAGCTGCTGTGCCGGCCCTGCCTTCCACCTCCTGTCTCAGGGCTCTTGGGTCGGCTTTTCCCCCAAATTACTTGCAGCCACTTTAAAACAGGCGCCATGAGTGTGGTCAGCACTTCCCAGGAAACTCCAGTGAAGCTGACACGGAGCTGGTTTAGCTTTGGGTTAAATTCATTCTAAGTACCAAACATGGCAATCCGGGCTCTTGCGTCTAAAGTCAAACCATTTCCAAAAGTTTGCTGTCTGGTCTGTTGGTGGCAGGTCCTGTGATGGGTGTCTCAGGTGACAGCCACCACAGAGCAGCAGTGGCCTGGGTTTCCTAGGGAGACAGCTGGGTTTTAGGGGCAAAGCACACGCACAGGAAGCGCGGGGAAGCGAGCGGGGAAGCTGGAGCCTTGGGCCAGGGACGGCTCCCTCGCACTAGGGCTCTAGTCATCCCAGATCCCAGCATTCCAAAAAGAAGGCCGAGAAACACAAACCAGCAGAGGCATGTGCCCAAGGTCCAGAGAACAAGCCAGGCCTCAGTGCCCTCCCTCTTGCCACGCTGTCCTGGTCTGACAGCCCTTCACGTCTATCCAGCCTACCACCTCAGCCTCAGCCGTCATCCCTGCCGGCACCCCCACCCCCCACCCCACCCCCACACACAAAAGCATCTCTTCTAGCTGCTAGGGATGCAGGGGCAGGGGCAGAGCCCTCACAAAGAGGCAGACCCTAAAAACCAGCACAGACTTCGGAGAGTGCTGAAGACATCAAAGCGGGGTCACAGAACCCAGTGACAGGAAGGTGGCTGCCCTGCTGTAGTTCAGAAAGCCCACCTTGACGAAGGATGCTTGAGCAATAGCCACACACAGACCTGGGGCAGCGCCTGGCCGAGGGGACAGTTCAGCAGGGAGCTCCTGAAGCAGGAGCCAGCCGCTGTCCCTGAGGGCAGGGGTGCAGCGTGGCTGAGGTGAGGGGGGCCGCGGGAGGCCCCGCGGTGTTAAGGGACCCGGGAGGGTGGAAGGGCACCTGGAGATCCGCTGGAGGACTTAGCAGAGGCAGGAAAAGAACGGACATTGTTTGAAAGGTCCCTGCAGCTGCCGCCTGGACATTGGGCCACGGAAGAGCAGGGACAGGCGACCAGCTGGAAGTTTGCTTTAGTCAGGACCCAGGACGCAGCTGCAGAGGGAGAGCTGGGTGGGCTTCAGGTGTGCAAACCGGGCTTCAGGTGTGGAGGCACGCGGCCTGCAAGGGACGGCCGCCGGTGGTGCCAGTCGCGAGAAGGGGCACCTACGACCCCTGTGCCGCCCCCCACTGTGCCCACACCCTGCGGCGCCTCTGCCAACAGGCCAGCCCGCACCCTGGTGCCTCCAGCGGCTCCCCCTCGCTACTGTGAACCCCGAGCCTGGTTCGCAACCGGCACCGCTTCAGCGAGGGCACGGTCCCCCCGAGTGGGGTGCTGAGTCCCAAGGCTCTGCAGTTGTTCCCGGGGAGACGGCTGACCCGACAGGCCACGACGAGGCAAAGGGCCAAAGGCTGGTTCATCCCGTCCACGCGAGTCTGCAGGGCTGTCGGGCTCGCAAAGCACAGACCAGGGGCCCGCGGTGGGCACCCCTCGGCCTGAGCACACAAGCGGCCCAGGCTGGCTCCGTCCCCGAGGCCCGGCTCGGCCGTTCGGGTCACAGTGAGCGAACCGAAGCCGAGCGGCAGCCAGAGGCCGTCCGGCCCGACCGTCCGCCGAGCCCTGCGGCGACGAGCCCGCGGCGGGGTCCGGCGGCACCGGGACAGGCAGGGCGCGGGGTGCAAGGCGCGGGCAGGGACACCCCTCCCAGCAGCAGGGCTCCAGGAGCCCCCGGAGCCCGGCCGGGCACGAGCGGCCCTCGCGGACCTACCTGGGCCGGACGGCGGGTCAGGCACAGGCACGGAGTTGGGCGAACAGCTCGCGCAGCGGGGCGGCCACCGGAGCAGCCGCGGCACCACCTGGCTCAGCGCGGCGGCGGGCGGGGCCCAGGTGCGCGGACCACGCCCACCCGCGGGCGGGCTCCGGGGGCGGGGCCCTCCCACCGGGTCTCCGCCGCCCCGCGCCCCGGGGGCAGAGGGCTGAGCCGGGCCGGGCGAGGACGCGGGGCTGCGGTCGCAGAACCACCTTTCCTGCTACACGACGACGGCCCGCAGCGCCTCCTCCTTGGAGCGGCACTGGTTCAGCTGGACCCGCACCTCCACCGTCAGGGGCTCCGGCCGGTAGTCGCTGTCGTCCGCTGAGGAGAAGCCAGCACCTGAGCCCCCCCCTGGCGAGCTCGTTACCCCCCAAAATGCAGACCCGTCCCCCGTGCGCCCCGAGGGCAGTCCGACTCGCACTCTGCCTCCGTGATAACGAACAACAGGAAATCGCGTTTAATTACGGGGCCACCGGGGCCACCGTTTCACTTGAACAGACACTGACCAGCCCTGGCCGGCTCGGCGGGGGCAGAGCTCCTGGTGGGCCCGGAGTCCTGGGTTCCGGCAGCTCCCGGCACGAACCTCCACGGAGGCTTGTCCGGGCCCAGCTGGGGTCCTGCTGCGGGAGGCCACCAGGCCACGTCTCTCTCACATCCATGGTTTTCTCTCTCCCTCCCACTCTATCTGAAGATAAATGGGAAAATAGCCTCCGGAGAGGATTAAAAAAAAAAAAAAAAGACTGTGGTTACTCAGACTTGAGTATTCGGCACATACTGTCTTTTAAAAAGCTAATGAAGGAAATCTGACACTTCAGGGAAAACATCTTGATACATTTATACTTGAGCTTAAAATAGAAATCAGAATTTTGGAACATTGTATCTGCCACCATGAACTTAGTTTTTCCAACACTCCAAGACGCTTCTTATAATATGGGTGGTGATAGCCAAGGATGTGATTTCCGGATAATGGATGCAATGTGACCACACTTGGAAGACCTGCGTAACTCGGTGAAAAAGAATGGATTGTGCATGGGTAAGACAGACGTGCACAGTGCAGGGTAAGCCCGATGGATTTCAACACAGCTGGTTATGAAAACAGTCATTCCTATATACAGCTTTCACGAAAACTTCAAATATCAAAGAAGGATATCCGCAGTCATTTGAAAGCCTACTAACACACTCTTTTCCAATTGCATGCCCCTGTGAGGTTGGAGTTCCTTCAGACACCTCAACACATCACAAGGGACCAGCCACAGGAGCAGCTGTGTGACTGCAGCTGTCCTCAATTAAGCCAGACGTTAAGGAGATTTGCAAAAATGTAAACAAAAATGATTTTAAGATCATATTATCCCCGAAGCTCTATCACGAATCAAATGTCAATATTTGTATGGGCTTGAAATCTAAGTCCTTTGTGCTTTTTCAAAGTTGTTTTGCCAATCCTGGGTCCTTTGCAATCAGCTGATTTCAATGAAAAACATTCCTCTAGGGTTACGGCTGAGAAGACACTGAATCTCTAGATCAATTTCAGAAGAACCAACTCTTAACAATATTCAATCTCCTGGTCCATGGACATAGTATTCCTACCTTATACTTTTTTTAGGTCAATGTTTTTCATTGAGAAAAATTTTCATAAAATTAAACATTTTAACCCTTTTTAAATGTATAGTTCAGTGATTTGTAGTATATTCACAATGTACAATTATCACTGCTACCCGATTCCAGAACATTTTTATCACCCCAAACGGAAACCTCAGACCCATTAGCAGTCACTTCCCAGTCCTCCTTCCTCCAGGCCCTGGCAACCACCAATCTACTTTTCGTTTCTATGGAATTGCCTGTTTTGGACATTTCATATCAATGGAATCATAATATGGTCTTTTGTGTCTGGCTTCTCTCACTCAGCATCATGTTCTTTTTTTTTTTTTTTTAAATCCTCACCCGAGGACATTTTTCTTTTCTTTTTTTTTTTTGCATAGTTTTTTATTTATTTTTTTTATTTTTTTAATCCTCACCCAAGGACATTTTTCCATTTTTTGCACAGATAGAGTGGGAGGGAGAGAGAGAGGGAAACATCGATGTGAAAGGGACACATCGAGTGGCTGCCAACCGCACGACCAACCAGGGCCGGGGACAAACTGCAACCGAGGTACATGCCCTTAGCGGGAACCGAACCCGGGTCTCTCCGGACCGCAGGTGGATGCTCTAACCGCTGAGCCAAACCAGCCAGGGCGCGAGGACATTTTTCAATATTTTGTTCAGATAGAGTGGGAGGGAGAGAGAGAGAAACATCGATGTGACAGGGACACGTCGAGTGGTTGCCACCCACACGACCCAACCAGGGCCGGGGACAAACTGCAACCGAGGTACGTGCCCTTAGCGGGAACCGAACCCGGGTCTCTCTGGACCGCAGGCCGACGCTCTAACTGCTGAGCCAAACCAGCCAGGGCAGCATCATGTTCTCAAGGTTCATCCACGTTGCAGCAGGTGCCAGTGCTTCGTTCCTTTTCGTGGCCGAGTAATATTCCACTCCACAGCTAGGCCACATTTTGTTTATCCAGCATCCACTGATGCACATTTTGGTGTTTCCGCCTCTCGGCTGCTGTGATCTCACCTCACATTTTGCAGCGGCCTCCCTGCTAGCTGGTCTCCGGGTCTGCTCTCTCCCTCGAAGCCAGCGATAATTGTACATTGTGAATATGCTACAAATCACTGAACTATACATTTAGTCCTATCTAAAACGTACCTACTTCTGACACTTCGGTGGCTGCCCAGCGCCCCCAGAACAAGTCCGGGCTCCTCTTATGGCAGATAAGGGCTAATGACCCAAAGCAGGAGCCTAACGTCCACTGAGCCAGGAGGACCGTGCGTCAGTGCCCACTCTGAATTCCCCACCCTCCTCACCCTGGCTCCCACCCCGGAATGCTTTTCCTGCCCGTGGCCTGACCCACAGCAGGCTGCTCTGGTCTCGGGGCCCCGGGAAGACACAGGGCTGGGTCCTCCTCAGGGCGCGTGGCCTCACCACTGGCCGATGAGATTCTCCATCCTTCCCTTCCTATGGCCCTACATCAGCCTGACTCCTCAGCAGGCCCGGCTATGACTGAACGTTGGTGCCCCACCCCAAATTCCTACGAGCAACCCTAACCCACAGGGGGTGGCGTTAGGAGGCAGAGCCTGGGGAGGTGATCAGGTCAGAGGGTGGAGCCGTCATGAGTGGGATTGTGCCCTCTCATGAGCAGCTCCAGGAGCTCCCTCCCTGTCCAGCAGGTGAGCAGAGAGGAGGCCCTGGCTATGGCCAGGAAGGCCCTTACCTGGCAGTGTTGGCATCTTGCTCCTGGACTTCCCAGGCTCCAGAGCTGCGGAGATGAGTGTCTGCTGTCTGAGTGGCCGTGTGCGGAGACCCACGGCCCCGCCCCAGCAGGCCGCAGGCCCTCGGGAACGCCCGGGCCTCCAGCAGCCCCACCGGCCCTTACCTTTCTTCGCTTTCTTGTTCTTTGACTCCTGAGAGAGAGAAGCGCCCAGTGAGAAGTTCACGGAGTGGGGTGCCCACTTGTGGCTGCTCCACCCTGCCAGGGCCTCCTAGGGAGGAGGGGGCCCTCCCTGCCCTCTTGGCCTCTCTCCTTGCCCCTGGGAAGGCTGCCCAATGTGCCAGGGCCCCACAGACCTGGGCTCCCTGCCGCATGACCTTGGCAGAGGCCCTCCCGCTCCCTGGCTGTCCTGTGCATGCGGGGGCCCTGTCAACGCTGGGGCTCCTTGAGGGGATTCAGGGGCTCGGAGCCCCTCTGCCCTCACTTGCCTCCCCATCTCCCCCACCGCCGGCTCCATGACCCTTCCTCGCCCAGCACCATTTCTGTGGGGAAGGTACGGCAGGGGCAGTACCCTGAGAAATGTCATCCTGTCGGATTCCAAGGTGCGGATCACCCCAAAGTTGCACACGGTGGACACAAGCGGCTCCCCGGCCAGCAGGGGCTCCAGGACCACCAAGCCGCTGCCCAACACCCGCAGGACGGGCGGGTCCTGGCGGAGGTCCTTAGAAACCTCTTTCTTCTTCTTGGCGCCCTTCTGTGCCTGGGAGGAGAGGCCGGGAGGGTGACCAGGCCCGGCAGGGGTGTGCCTGGTGCCCGTCGCCACCGCCCAGGGCCAGCGGTACCTTCGTCTCTTTCTCCTCTTTCCCTTTCTCGTCCTTCGCCCCCTTTCCCTTCTTGGCAGGCAAGGGATTGTCCACAGGAGGCGGCACCGCGGGCCAGGAGAGAATCTAGGGGACAGCAGTGCCGCCTTGCTTGAGCAGAGGCCAGGCTGGGCTGAGACCACGCCAACAAGGGAGCAGGGCGACAGCGTGTCCACCCCGGGAGCTCCCACCTTCTCCTCCACGATGGTCACGGTGGTCCCCGCCAGCAGGAAGGCCTTGAGGGGCACCAGGTCCCTGAGCGTGTGCTGCATCTCGTAGTTGCAGGGCATGACGTCAGCCCAGGGCTTGCGGACAGTGCTGAAGAGGACGGTGCTGGGAGGGGACAGGAACCCGGGCGTCATCACCCAGGGCCAGGGACAAGGCTGCGTGTGCAGCCCTGTGGGGCTGGGGCTCCCCCGGCGGGCGGGGCAGGGACCAGGAGGCCAGGAAGGGACACGGGCAGAGCGGGAGGAAGTGGGACGGTGACCGCATGGGGGCTTCCTCCGGGGCTGCCTGTGCCCTGGACGGCGGACGGAAACCAACAGGAACCAATCACGAGTTTAGAAACGTCAGCCAAGTAGAACTGTTGCCAACTCCTGAACGGTTACAGAGTGATTCTCTGGGCGGGAAGAGCTCAGAGTCAGGGCTCGGGGAGCATGTGGAGGTGCCCCTGGGACAGAGCAGGACTTCTGGGGAACACCGTGGGGAGCAGGGACTCGAACAGGTGTCTGCGCCCCGATGTTCACAGTCGCGTCATTCACAACAACCCAAGTCCCTCGATGGCGAGTGACTGCGGGGTCACCACGCTGCAGAATGTTACTTGGCCTCAGTAAAGGGAGGGGCCCTGCCCTGGCCGGTTTGGCTCAGTGGTTAGAGTGTCGGCCCGCGGACCAGAGGGACCCGGGTTCGGTTCCCGCTAAGGGCACGTACCTCGGTTGCGGTTTGTCCCCGGCCCTGGTTGGTCGTGTGGGTGGCAGCCACTGGATGTGTCTCTCTCACATCGAAGTTTCTCTCTCTCTTCCCCACCCTCTCCCTCCCCCTCTGTCTGAAGACAAATGCAAACATGTCTCGGGTGAGGATAAAAAAAGAAAGTGAGTGCTACCGATAGACGGAATCTGAGAAAGACTGTAACTGGGCTTCCCAGGTGAAAGACACTTCATAAGCTCCTAAATTAAAAATTGCATGTCAAAAAAAACCCTCGTGATAAAACAGTGCGTACAAATACAAGGTGGCAGCCCTGGCTGCTTTGGCGCAGCGGTTACAGCGTTGGCCCGCGGAGCAGAGTCTCGCTCGATTCCAGCCAAGGGCACGCGTGATCTGTTCCCAGCCCGTCGGGTCGTGTGGGAGGCAGCCAACTGGTGTGCCCCTCACATCAATGTTTCTCTCTCTCTCTCCCTCCCACTCTGTCTGAAAATAAATGTAAAAAAAAATTAAAATGCGGCTCTGAAAATGTGTGTATAAAAATCAGTGGAGACAGACCCTCGAGTGAGGAGTAACCGACAAATCGGCGGGTTCGACGGGAAGGCCTCCCACCCTGGGGCTGACATGGCGAGGCTGGGGCCTTCGAGGACCGGGCTGTTCAGGGGAAGGCAGTTAGCTGCACTTTGGATGGAAGGTTCGGACCCACACACACCTCAGAGGGGAGCTGCCTCAAGGGCCTCAGTGGTTCACCCCGGGGCTCCCGGGATCGCTCAACTGTCAGGATGGCTGGGACCATGACCTCGGGCCCTGCTGCGGCCAGGCCTCTGTCCTTACCCCGGGGACGGGCAGAGCCGGGGATCCATCCTGGGCCGCAGCTTGGCCAGCTCCCCTGCAGAGTCTATGGACCTGCGCAAGGACGGCGACGGCGACCCGCCCGAGGCCAGGGACTCCTCCAGCTCGGCCGACTGGGACTGGGACGGGGACTGGGACGTGGTCGCGGGCACAGACTCAGCGGAGTCCTCAGCCTCTTCGGCGGCAGGGGTGACGGCGGTGATCTCTTCAGGAACCTCCTCGCCCAGCTGCTCCACGCTGGGCGAGGGCTTGACGATCTGCCAGAGGGGACGCAGTCAGCCCGGCTGTGGCCCAGCTCTCGGCCCCCCGCGGACAGTGGCAGCGTCTGAAAACTCTGAGGCTGAGCCCCTGAACCCAGGTTTCAAAACAGCCGGTCTCGTGCCTTCCCCTGGGCGATGAGGGCCTTGGGTTCCCCCCAAGGGGGGGTGGGGGCAGAGAGAAGGGAGCAGGGGCCGGAGCAGTCAGTCTACTGGTGAGATTGGGGCTGTCCCTGTTGGGCCGTTTGCTCGCATTGAGGGGACAGAAGGGCGGGCTAGGGGAGTTATTCCGGCTAAAACAAAGGGCTGGGCAAAGGCAGGTCCCAGCTGGAGCAGGGCCTGGGACTCAAGGATCCGCCTGCGCGGTGACCCCAGGGACCCGCAGCCCCACCCCGTCCTCAGGACCAGTCCTGGGCGCACCTCAGCCAGCACCCCGCCGTATTCGTGCCCTTCGCCCTCTTCGTCCTCCACGAAGTCATAGGTCACGTAGTAGCTGTAGCTGGTGAAAGGCCCCTGGGGCCCCGGTTCTGGGTCCAAGATGGAGGTGTCCAGAACCCCTCTGACATTTCCGATCGTCACTACGAGCTGCGCCTCGTGCGCCAGGAAGTCTGCAGGGGGCCGGGCAGGAGTGAGAGGGACTGTGGGGGGGGGGGCAGCAGGCCGCACGAGGGCTGAGCCCTGGAGTTTGCAGGCTCAGGTTCGACCCCAGCGGGGCCAAGTTCAGAGGGTGACTTTGGGCAAGTCTGCGTGGTGAGATGCCCCTCGGAGCCTTGTCCCCATCAGCTGTGTAATGGGAGTGAGCAGCTGCTTGGCAGGAAGGCCCCTGATCAGGGAGCTGACATCAGGGAGCTGACCCCCAGAAGGCTCTGGTGCAGCTTGTGGCGTGGGCCACAAGGGGGTGATCTCAAGCCACCACGGAAGGGAAGACACTGATTTAAAGAATGTCTCCCATTTGCCCAGGAGGGGAGGGGCCGAGGAGGTCCCGGCCTGCCCACCCAGTCCGGCCCCAAATCCCTATCCCAGGGGTCAAGTCCGGGATTGGACTCCGGTGAAGAAGGTGAGCTGCACACAACCAGGGTCTGGGTCGACCAGGGAGCTGGGGGACAGACAGCCCAGGGAGGGCCGATGGGCAGCAGCTGGGGACCGAGCCGGGACGGCGCCCTCACCCCCACTGTGGCGGAGCCCCCGGAACTGGTGCTTCTCGCTGGAAGACACGGTGATGTCGTCCAGCACGCAGAGCCGGGCCAGGCTGTCGATGGTGAAGCCGCGGTAGTAGGGCACCAGGGCCAGCGGGTTGCCCTGCAGCACCAGGAGCCGCAGGCACTGCAGGGTGCGGAGGCTGGCGATCATGCCCTGCAGGTCCGTCAGGTCGTTGAAGCTCAGGTCCAGGGACACGAGGTTGGGCCTGGAAGGTGAGCAGAGGCGTGGGGACGGCCTGCCTGCCCCGCCTCCCCCAGCACCCCGCGTCCAGCAGACAGGAGGCCTGAGGCTGGGCCCGCGGTGACTGTGGGCAGCCCTTGACCCACACACCGAGGACAGGACTTCCTGGCTCCACCGGGGGCCCCCTCTGCGGCCATCCTCACAGGTCAGGGATGGCCCTGTCACTCCTGCCCAGCCTGCCTCCCATCGACACAGATCCCCTCTTCCAGCTTAGCTGTCTCCGTGTCGCCCCTGGAATCTGACACGGTGACAAAGACTGACCGACTGCCAGGGAAGGCAGAGGGGAGCCACTCTGGGGGGGGGGCTGTCAGGTGGTATGGGGACCTGGGGAGGGGATCCAGGAGACATGAGGGGTCTAAAAGTGGGAGGACACTATCCAAAGCCAGACTGGCAATTGACCACAGGAAGTCATTTGGTTCCTCTCCTGCGGCCCCTGGTGCAGAGAACCCGCCAGTGAGGGCAGAGAGGGGGGCGGGTGGCCGGGTGGGGGCAGGGTGGTTCCCCCACTGCCAGCAGACTAGAAAGCAAACTTTCAGCTCCGAGAACAGAGGCAAGATAAACAGGGAGATGCTTCCTCTGCACCCTCTCGGCTGACTCAGCAACTTGCCCGCCCAGCCGGTGGGGAATGCACAGATGTCGCCCAGTGCAACAGAACAAGGGGGCGTCAGCAAAGTCATATGGCGTCCACCTTCCTTTTCATAGCAAAACAGTGAAAGACGGGCGTTTTATAGGCTTCTATGAAACCCACACTCAGCATTAAGCAAGTAACCCAGGTTTAAGGCAAGTATTATTTTCCAAATAAAAAGAACGCTTGGTACTCCATCCACGATACAGGTGTGAAGTCCAAGCGTCCGCCTCTCTCCGGGGCTACATCCCTGACAGCTGGTCCTTGGAAGGAAGCGGTGGGATCGTGTGAACCCGGCCAAGACTGTGCCGTGACAGCGTGGCCAGGAGCAGGAGGAAGGGGAGGGAGGACGTGATGGTCAGAGAGGGGACCTTCGAAGATGCACTCATGTCCCATGGGAAAGCAGGAAGTGACGCTGACCTGCGCCCTTGGCCCCTTCCAGGCCAGGAGGGAGGGAGCCCTAGTGACCCTCAGCCCACGGAAGTGCCCCCCAGGACTGTGAAAGCTCGGGCATCTTCAGAGACTGCTGACCGGCCGCTGACCGGCCTCTGGCCCGCTGCCTGCAGGGGCCTTTCACGGGGGGCCCTGACCCCTCGTCATCCTCAGGTCCAGGGCTGTCAGTTTCCCACTCTTCACCCACCAAGGAGACAAAGTCAAACCAAGAGCTGTCTGTCCGGCAGCCCTTCTTAGCTCCGGGCAGTTTTGTCCCCCGTGGACCTTTGGCGCTGTCTGGGGACATCCTGGTTGTCACAGCTGGAGTGGGGCGGTCTATGGCATCCCTGGGCAGAGGCCAGGGACGCTGCTCAGCATCGACTGTGCACCAGACAGCCCCGCACGGAGGTGTCAGCCCAAGAGTCCACGGTGCCCGAGTCACCAGATCTAAACACGCAACCGAGCAGAGGTCTGACTCACACCCACCACCTCTCAGGGTCCCCTCCCAGCCTTCTGTGAGCTTTTTATTTTTATTTGTGTATTTGTTTTTAATATTTTCTTTTCTTTTTTTTTTTTTATCCTCACCCGAGGATATTTTTTCCATTTTTTGTACAGATAAAGTGGGAGGGAGAGAGAGGAAGGGAGAGAGAGTGAGAAACATCGACGTGAAAGGGACACATCAAGTGGCTGCCACCCGCATGACCAACCAAGGCCGGGGACAAACTGCAACCGAAGTACGTGCCCCTAGCGGGAACCGAACCCGGGTCTTTCCGGACCACAGGCCGACGCTCTAACCGCTGAGCCAAACTGGCCAGGGCTTTAATATTTTCTTTATTGATTTTAGCGAAAGAGGAAGGGAGAGGGAGAGAGAGAAGCATTGATGAGAGAGAACATCGACTGGCCGCCTCCTGCATGCCCCCCACTGGGGATCGGGCCCACAACCTGGGCATGTGCCCTGACCGGGGATCAAACCGGCGACCTCTTGGTGCAGGGTCGACGCTCAGCCACTGAGCCACACCGGCCAGGCCCATGAGCTCTTTCTTTTCGAGTCAGAGAAATGCGGTCTAGAGTCTGCAGCCAACCAGGGGTCACCACAGGAAAAGCAAAGCGGGTCCTTCGAGCCACGGGACCTAACATTCACCCCCTGCCCCTCACTTCCCCCCTGGGGCTGCCCACCTACCAGTGTTCAGAGGTGACGTACAGACTTTGCAGGGGGCCCAGAAGCTTGTTGTGCCCTAAGCCCAAGTGCTGGAGCCGGGGCGGTGGCCGGGCGCACAGACACTCCATGCTGGTGATGCTGTTGCCGTAGACCTCCAGCACCTGGGGGCAGACGCGCCTGTGAGCCGGCCGCCGGCCACCCCTCCGCCACCCTGGGGCCGGCAGAGGAAGAACCAACCAGGAGTCAGGCCGCGCCTCCCCGTCCACCTAGACCCCCTTAGAGAAGTCTGCGGAGAAAACACTGCGCTGGGGAGTGTCTTCTTCTGCGAATGAAACTGTAGGACTGAGAACGGGGGTGATGTTGGAGAGCTCGGGAGGGGGTACGCGTCACACCTGCGACTTCTCAGCCCAACGTGCCGTGTCTCTGTGCCACCCATACCCCCCTTCTTTTTTATCCTCACCCGAGGACATTTTTGTATTTATCCTCAGATAGAGCGGGAGGGAGAGAAGGAGGAAGAGAGAAACATCGATGTGACAGAGACACATCGACTGGTTGCCACCAACACGACCCCAACCGGGGCCGGGGACAAACCGCAACTGAGGTACATGCCCTTAGCAGGAACCAAACCCCGGACTCTCTGGCCTGCGGGCCGAAGCTCTAACCGCTCAGCCACACCGGCCAGGGCAGCAGCCTTCTTTTGGCACTGGTTTCTGTAAACGCTTTCTCTCATGATCTGTCTCTTGCAGATAAATAGCATGTTCGTATCAGCAGAGCAGGCTCCGGCCCTCAGGCATTCCGGCCCCGGGAGGTTTGCTGACCCGCAACCGTAAAACCGGCGAGGTGAAGCCGGCCGACCTCCCCTTGCCCAGTGCCGAGGTCCTTATCGGACTGGCCTGTGCCGGCCTGCAGGGGACTTTGCGACGCCCACGCCTGATGTCCGCGCTCTGCTCTGTCTCCCTCCTTAGAACCACCGCTGCCTGCCCTGGGAGGGGGATTTGTGACGAGAGTCCCCATCTTCTCAGGCTGCTGGCTCTTGAATAAACCTACTTTTCTTCCACCAGCCTCTCTCTCTTAAATGTATTGATTTACTTGAGAGAGAGAGAGATCGATTTGCTGTTCCACTTACTGATGCACTCACTGGTTGAACCTCGTATGTGCCCTGACCCGGGGATCAAACCTGCAACCTTGGTGTATGGACAACGCTCTAACCAGCTGAGCTACCCGGCCGGGCCCGCTGTCTCTTGATTATCGGCTCTGCAGCGGCAGGCAGCCGGCCCTGGATGCGGTGTCACCTGGGAAAGCCAGAGGGACTCCGGACAGAAAGCGGCAGCGGGTCCCTGCGGTTCGGCCCTGGATGCGGTGTCACCTGGGAAAGCCAGAGGGACTCCGGACAGAAAGCGGCAGCGGGTCCCTGCGGTTCGCCTCCGAGGCCGCGCCTGGGGTTCCCTGAGCCTGGCGCTGAGGGAGGGTTCTCAGTCCCTCTGCCACTAAATCTACTGATATCAGCATCTGGTTTAAAACTGACAGCATTTTTGAAGGGATTGAGAAGTACAAGTTGATATTTACAAACTCGTCACGGGGAGGCAAAGTACAGCAAAGGGAATGTAGTCAGTAATATTGTCATAGCCAAGTGTGGTGGCCCAGTGGGCACTGGGAATATCGGGGGGCCCGCTTTGTAAAGCAGATGATTCTGTAGCCACGATGCTGTGCACCTGAAACTAATGCAAAATAATATGGAAGGTACGTTGTGATCGAAAAATAAATCTAAATTAAAATAAGAGAAAGTGGAGCCCATTTTGCTGTGCTGAGCTTAAGGCTCCCGATGAAACTAGCCTCCCTTTCTTTTTAAACTATTTTTTTTTATTGTGGTGAAATATATTTAACAAAATTTGCCATTTTAACTATTTCAAATATAAAATTTAGTGGCATTAAGTACAATCACTGCAATCTATCTCTGAATATTTCATCACACCAAATGGAAACTACCCACTCAGCAACGCCCCCCCCCCCTAACCTCTCACCTACTTTCTGTCTCTGGGGACTTGTCCGTTCTACATACTTCATGGAGGTGGAATGGTCTCACGTGTGGCCTTTTGTGTCTAGCCTTTGTCATTCAGCGTAATGTTTTCAAGTTTCATCCATAATGTCGCCCGAGTCACTCCTTATGACTGAATAATATTCCGCTGTAGGGACAGACCCCCTGTGCTCATCCAGCCATCGGCCAGACACTGGGGTTGGCGCTCATGGATGAAGCTGCCACAAACTGTGTGTGCACAAATCTGAGTCTCTCTCTGTCTTCAATTCTTTGGGGCTATACCAGGAAGGAATGGCTGGGTCTATGGAAATGATGCTTTGTGAGGAATCTGACCCACCTCTGGAAAGCAGGGGCCCGGCTTCACCTACGGCCACAATGGCCACAATGTCTGTGTTCGTCTGTGTTCGGCCAGGGGAGGGCAGGCCTCTGGGCAGCGCTCGGGGGCTCTTTTACCTTGAGAGTTGGGGGCAGATTGACGGCGTCAATCTCCTTGATTTGATTAGCACTCAGAACCAACTCTTCCAGCCTTCGGAATTTCAGCAGGTCTTTATCCACCAGGCTCACCTGGAAAGGAAGCGAGTGCTCAGGTGGGCCAGGCGGAGCTGGAGCGGAAGCCAAGCCGAGCGAGGACCTTCTGCAGTTACCGTCTAACACCCCAACCCTTCCCATATCCTTCCGCCAGGATCCGGGCACCGCAGGCGTTGTGGGGGGCCCCCACCCCTTCCGCCCTCACCCGACTGTGGGTGCTGTTCAGCTTCCAGTTCAGTGGCCTGTGCCCTTGTCGGACTGTGAGCTCCGAGGACAGCAAGCCCATCTCCTCCGCTGACTACCCTGAGCCACAGTGTCCTGTGGTCTTCAGGAATGACTGGTTTTCACACCGCAGGGCCAGGCCACAGCGGCAGAGCCTGCCCATCAGCCCTCAGGTCCCTGTGCGCTCAAAGACATCAGGGGCCTGTCCTGGCTGGGCCGCTCCTCTTGGGTGACTGACCATGCCAGCTCACCTAGGACTGAGGGGTTCCAGGGGTTCCAGGGACCCCTGGGCATGTCCCAAACAGGTTGAACCCCCTCTTTGTCCCCCAAGTCCTGCGTCATTCAGTTTCTCTGGGAAAGGAGGTGCGAACTGGGAAGGCCGCGGCCATGTTTCCATGCATATCTGGGGCTCTTATCAATATAAGGCTTTTCAGAAACAGGAACTACTGTGGTACTATGCCGCCCCAACCCTATGTTGAAATTACGTAAAATCACTATGAACACTTCGAAAGGTCTCTACTGGGACCCAGGAGGATTGATTACAGGGTGCTCCAGAGATCAGCTACAATACACAGTGGACTGCCACCCCGGGGAAGGAGGAAGACAGGTAACAGAGAACAGGTGAGCAGCTGGCTCAGCTTGGGGGACCAGCCGGTGAGATTGATTAGAAAGAGGGAAGAGTTACCCCCTCCCCTTCCCCCTCCACACCCACTAAGTGCTCGGGGGGGGCCTCCTAACATCACCTCCGTGTGCGGGCCAGCGGCCAGCACTGACCTGCTTGTCCACCACCTGGAGGGACCTGAAGTAGGAGTACAGGAAGGTGTCTTTGAGCATCAGGGGGTTCCGGATGGCCAGCTCCCTCAGAAACCGGTCCTCAGCGCTGGAGCCCTCCGGCAGAGCCCAGGGTGACTGGGGGCTGCAGACCAGGCCCAGCAGGTCCTCCACCGTCTCCTCCTCGGGGCTCCCGGCCTCCTCCTCTCTGGGGACCAGCCCCCTCCATGTTCGCCAAGTTTGAGGAAGGAAGCGGGACTTGTTCTGCAGTGGCGGAGATGGAGAAGGTCTCTGTTTATGACTCAGTCCTCTCAAGGATCCGAAACTCTCAGAACTGAACAGAGTGTAAAACAGGACAATCGGGGGTAAAGAGTTCAGACGTTTAGACAATGAGTGAGCGATACTTCTGACTGATTATCAGCCGTGGATGTAACCCCAGACGAGGGAAACTTAAAAAGAATAAAAAGGTCCATCCCTGCCTTTGGGAGTTAGTTCTTGAGCGGGGACCCTGGAAGATGCAAGTGGAAGTCATTAACGTTTAAAGAAAGGTTTCTGTCCTGGAAGCCGGAGGCCCCAAGGGGGTCTGTGGGAGTCATTACTAAGGGGCAGGCGGCCGAAGGGGCGGCAAGGCTGAGAGGGAAATTCGGGGCCTTTATTTGCCCTAAGTGGAAGATGAAGAATCCCTCCCATAGTTTCCTTCCTCCAGGAGACTATGAAACCCCAAGGCTCAATGCTGGGCACACAGTAGGTGCTCAATGGGTGTTTGTCGAGGAAATACGGACACCCCCTCCCCCCAGCGCTGACCAGTGTGTGGGGCCCAGCTTCCCACGGCGACCACTCGCATGCTCTGCACCTGTGAGGAGCCCCTCTCTCTACCCTGCTCCTGCCCACCCAGGGGCGCCCAGCTGATGACACGGCTCAGGATGAGCCCTGCACCTCCAAAGGAGAGGGAGGGTCCTGCCCAGATCTGCCTGATGTGCTCAGCTTGGGGTCCCGCCCTCCCCCGGGGCAGCGGCCTGCAGGCGCAGGTGGGGGCCTCGTCGGCCCACGCTGTGTCCCATCCGCACAGTACCTGCCCTCGGCCCCGCACCCACCCCGGGCAGGCTGCCACCCTGGACGCCCAGACCCCAGCCACCCCTCGGGCGGCCCCAGACCGCCCCGCCGGGCTCAGTCCCTGGCCCTGCCTGGCCCGTCCCCTCTGCCCCGGCCCCTCCGCCGCCCGCACCCAGCTGCCCACGCCGCACGGGAACTCGTGCAGACACAGCTGCTGCAGGTGCTCCCGCACCGCGGCGCTCACGGTCCCTCCCGGCGCCGCCATGGCCGCGGCCTCCGGGCGCTGCCGGTTGCTAAGCAACCGCCGGGACGCGAGGCTCCGGGCGGCGCAGGCGCTCTGGGGTCTCGCGACTTCCCGGCAGAGCCAACTTTTTCCCGCCGGAAACCCCAGCGCCCGACTCAGCCGCAGGCGGCCTGGGTTTTCCCCTCCGACCTTGGCCGTGCTCGCCGCGGGGAACGGGGCAGCAGCACACGTCCCGCCGCCGGGGGCTGCGGACCCCGCGGATGCTGGGACCCCTCGGATGGGGCGGACCCCGTGGATGCTGGGAACCCGTGGATGGGACCCCGCGGATGCGGCGGACCCCGCGGATGCCGAGGACCCCGCGGATGCTGGGACCCCGCGGATGCTGAGGACCCCGCGGATGCTGGGACCCCGCGGATGCTGAGGCCCCCGCGGATGCTGAGGCCCCCGCGGATGCTGGGACCCCGTGGATGCTGGGACCCCCGCGGATGCTGAGGCCCCCGCGGATGCTGAGGCCCCCGCGGATGCTGAGGACCCCGCGGATGCTGGGACCCCGTGGATGCTGAGGACCCCGCGATGCTGAGGACCCCGCGGATGCTGAGGCCACCGCGGATGCTGGGACCCCGCGGATGCTGGGACCCCGTGGATGCTGGGACCCCGCGGATGCTGAGGCCCCCGCGGATGCTGGGACCCCGTGGATGCTGGGACCCCCGCGGATGCTGAGGCCCCCGCGGATGCTGGGACCCCGTGGATGCTGAGGACCCCGCGATGCTGAGGATCCCGCGGATGCTGGGACCCCGCGGATGCTGAGGCCCCCGCGGATGCTGAGGACCCGCGGATGCTGAGGACCCGCGGATGCTGAGGATCCCGCGGATGCTGGGACCCCCGTGGATGCTGGGACCCCGCGGATGCTGGGACCCTGTGGATGCGGCGGACCCCGCGGATCCTGGGACCCCACGGATGCGGCGGATGCTGAGGACCCGCAGGGCCCGGCGCTTCCCATTCGCCGGTCTTTCCCCTCGCAATGGAGATGGGCCCGTTTGACGGCTCTGGGAGGGAGCGTGAGCCCAGGGCCGATCCCCATGGAGCGTGGATCCCTTACAGGGAGCGAGCACGTGTGTTGATCCCTTCACCGGCTGGTGGACACTGGGTCGGCTGCTTTCCGGCTCGGGCGAGCAGGGCTGCCATGTGCCAACCTGCGTTTTCATTTCTCTCGCGTGAATGTCCCTGGAAGGCAACTGGGGAGCCATATGGTGGTAACTCGAGGCCCAACATGTTGAGACCTGCCAGACCGCTTCACCCAGAAGATGCACCGTTTTACATTCTCGACAGCAGGATGAGGGGTCCCGGTTTTCATAGCCTCACCAACTCCTATTAGTTTACTTTAAAAAAAAAAAGCCATCTACTAGGTATGAAGTGGTCGTTCACCGTGGTTATTTGCAAGTCCCGAATTACTGATGACAGTGGACACCTCTTCAGGTGCTTCTTGGCCATTGGTGTGTTTTCTTCGGAGAAAGATCTATTCCAATCCTTCGGTTATTTTCAAAAGGGGTTAATTTCCTTCGGGTCGTAAGAGTTTTTATAGTCTGGGTACGGCCCCTTGTATTATATATGACTTGCACACATTTTCTCCCATTCTGTGGGTTGTTTTTTCACTTTCTTGACTGTGTCTTTTGACAAACAGAAGCGTGTGATCTTGATGAAGTGTCATTTATCTGACTTTCCTCTGGTAACTTGTGCTTTCAGTGTCGTTTTAAAGAAACCACTGCCGCCCTGGCCAGTTTGGCTCAGCGGTTAGAGCGTCGGCCTGTGGTCCGGAGAGACCCGGGTTCGGTTCCCGCTAAGGGCACGTACTTCAGTTGCAGTTTGTCCCCGGCCCTGGTTGGTCGTGCGGGTGGCAGCCACTCGATGTGTCCCTTTCACGTCGATGTTTCTCACTCTCTCTCCCTTCCTCTCTCTCTCCCTCCCACTCTGTCTGTACAAAAAATGGAAAAAAATAATAATAAATAAAGAAACCACTGCCTAATCCGTAAAACGGAGTTCTGCGACCTCTCTCTGTCCTGCTCACAGGTCCTTTCTTGGATTTGTGATGGGAATTTTTCTCCTCTTCTAGGCCGGTCTCTTCGCTCTCTTTACAGTGTCTTTAGAAGAGCAAAAAAATGTTTGACGTTGAGGAGTGCAATTTCCCGACTGAGATCCTTTCAAGAACACCCACTGTGGCGGATGCTTTCCTATAGAGCGCCTTTACTATTATAAGAAAAATTCTCCAAAACTGGGCAATAAGTCAAAAAGAGAATAGTATGTCCTTTCAAAGAATAAAGTAAACATTCATGAGCCTTATTTCTGTATAAACCAATCAGATAGATGAATCAAGATTAACTCCTGGGATTTTGACGAAACAACTCAGTGGTTTTACTTTTTTCTCACTTCTCAAACCACCACGGTAGGCCTTCCACCCCCAGCAGTTTGTTCAAACTCCCCTGGCGAAGTTCCCAGTGACCTCATGTTTCCCTGCGCAGGGACTCTTTATCTAAGTTGACCTCTCTGTGGTTGGAGATGGGACCGATCATTTCCCCCTCCTAGAATACCGCTGGCGTCCCAGAGTCTTGTTCCATGACATGTTTTCTACCTCTTTCTTCCTTGGGAGCACCTTCTCCGTATTCAGGGCTAAGTCGGTTTTATCAGCCACAAGATACAGATGGCACCCAAATTTATGCCTCGAGGTCCTTCCTTCAAGCTCCAGACCCAAACGTTCGGTGGCCTGCTCTACACCTTCACCTGAGAGTCAATAACAAAACTTGAATTCATCCCTGCACCTGAGCCCTCTGGTCCTGACAGAAGCAGCCCCATCCATCCAGTTGCCCAAACCAGACAACTACAAGACACCCTCCCTCCTCCCTTTCCACGCTCCGCAGCCCAGTCGATCGCTGTCTCTTGTGACTTTTGCCTTCTACCGATCCCTCCAGTCCGGCCACATCACTTCATCGCTGCTCTCATCCTGACCCTGGCTCAGCTCCTCGGCTGTGGACTGGCGAGGCTGCAGTGCCGGTGGGGCACTCAGGTGCCGATGTCCACTGTGCAGTGGGCCCTTTAGATCTGGAGTCTGAAGGAGAGGGGTCCTGACGTATAAGGAACGCAGGTCAAGAGTGAAGCCTTTGGAGACATGTCCGTTAAAGGGCCAAGCAGGAGGGGCTTCAGCCTCAGAAAGCACGGTCAGAGGGGCCAAAATGTATCAGGATAATGTCATCAGGAAGGACAGGAAAAAGAGGTTTTCAAGAAGGTGGAAGTGGTTGGCATTACTGCATAAACTGAAGTCAGAAAAGAACCAGTACGTTGGCACCAGGACCCTGGAGACCGTTGGTCCTTTACTGATGCCGCAATAAGCGCCATAGAACAAGCAGTTTAAAAACCGCAAGGTTGCCCTGGCCGGTTTGGCCCAGCAGTTGGAATGTCAGCATGCGGACCAAAGGGTTGAGGGTTAGGTTCTGGTCGAGGGCACGTACCTTGGTTGTAGGTTTGATCGCTGGCCCGGGCTGGGGTGTGCGGGAGGCAACCAATTGATGTGTCTCTCTCACATATCAATGCTTCTCTCTTTCTCTCTCCCTCCTTTCCTTCCACTCTACCTAAGAATCTATGGGAAGCCCTGGCCGGTGTGGCTCAGCGGTTAGAGTGTCGGCCTGCGGACCAGAGAGTCCTGGGTTTGATTCCCGCTAAGGGCACGTACCTCGGTTGCAGTTTATCCCCGGCCCTGGTTGGGATCGTGTGGGTGACAACCAGTCGATGTTTATCCTCCACCTCCCCCCCCACCCCCCCGCTCTATTTGAAGATAAATGCAAAAATGTCCTCAGGTGAGGATTAAATAAATAAATAAATAAAAATCTATGGGAAAATATCCTTGGGTGAGGATTAACAAAAATAAAACCACGAAGTGACTGTCTCTCGGTTCCTGTAGGTCACAAGTCCAGAATGGTGTAAGGGGCCCTGTGCTCAGGGTCTCATCAGGCTAAAGTCAAGTCATCGGCCGGGGCTGTGGACTTCGTCTGCAGCCCAGGGTCCTCCTCCAAACTCACTGGGCAGTGGCCAAACTCATTCCTTCCCCTGCGTTCCACGTGGCTCCCTCCACCTTCCAGCTGTGGCGGCGGGGTCTTCTCACGCTTTGAGTCTCTCTGACTTCCTCGTTGTTTTTAAGGGCTCATAGGACTACACTGAGCTCACCTGGTAATCAACCTACCTTAAGATCAAGTGATTGGTAACCGTGACTGTATCTGCAGAGCCCCTTCGGCCATGGAATGTAACGTAATTGTGGGGGTCACCAGCAGAGGGAGAGTCATAGGGGCAGGATTCTGCCAGAGGACTTTGCCAGAGGGTTCTGAATAAATTGTTGGGGTGAAAACCACATTGTGGCAGTTTGGGAAGTGAGGTGAACGGAGTCCAGATTGCTCTGTCAATAAGCTTGGGTGAGAAAAGGAAAGAGCCCTGGCTGGTTTGGCTCAGCGGCTGGAGCATCAGCCCACAGACTAAAGGGTCACAGGTTTGATTCCCAGTCAAGGGCATGTACCTGGGCTGCAGGTTCGATCTGTGGCGCCAGTCGGGTTCGAGTAGGAGGCAACCAATTGATGCGTCTCTCTCACATCGATGTTTCTCTCTCTCTCCCTCCCTCCCTTCCACTCTAACTCAAAATCAATGGGAAAATGTCCTCAGGTGAGGATTGGCGACCAGCAGTGGCTGGAAGAGGGTTTGGGATTAAGGTGGTAGGGGATTCTTGGTGTCTCTTTGTTGCCACCTGGAGTGCTCTGGCCTGACCTCAACCCTGCACTCTTCACTCTTGTCCGACGGCTGACCTGACACTGAACAGATGCCCATTGGGCATCTCACGCGTCACTCATTCCAAACAGGACTCCTGGTTTCGTCTCTTGACTTCTTTCCCTTACTGCACATCAACCACTCACTCGCTTTACCAAATCCCAGGAGTCCACGCCGGCCGGTCTGGCTCAGCGGTTAGAGCGCCGGCCTGCGGACCAGAG